TAATTGATGTAAAAGATCCTGATCTATTTCAGATAGACCTTTATTGCTTGGCTTTTCCATTGTGGAGTCAAGTTTCTGCCCATCAGGAAGGCTCGAGTTCTGGTTTATGCTCATGCTGACATGAGATATTGATTGTGTTGAAGGCTTACGGTTTTTGGGTAGCTTGTCCAGCGCAGCTGTCGAATAATCCTGAGGGCTGCTCTAACTCTACGAACAGGGCGACCAGCAACGGCTCGAGACAAAGCGATATCAATCAACCTACTGAAACCGTTAGGCAATACAATTGAACTGCCGAACCGGAGCATACCACAAACAGCGTTCCGCAGTAACATTGCAACACTACCTTAGTTCAGCGTTCAATGGCACACTGAAGCTCTCCCCTGAATGTTATTCATCAATAGATACCTAGATTCTGCAAGGTTTCACTTTTCAGCTGTGACTGCCACATTGAGGTGGTTTTGTGCCCATCGGAAGTGCAGTGCTCAACGCTTTTGGTGCGTGTTGGCAACAATGCATTAGAATTCATGCTTTCAAATGTACTCACTCTACTCAGTTCCAATAAGCACAAGATAACAGTCATTATCGTAACAGGTGTTACCATTTCCGCCACAATATACTGACGAAAATGACAATGCATATTCCCGTCATGTATTTGAGATATTTGGAGATATTTAATTGCTTTTTTCCGAAAGGGGCAGTTTTAAATTTGCTCCTCTATAATTAACCCTAAAACGCTTTTCGTCGCATCAATTGAGATCGCCAATATTTCTTGGAGTTCTGTAAAAGGTACAGTGAGGAGGGGAAGTGTACCCCTTTTTAAGCGACACGACCCCTGAAAGTGGTGTTCAACATGAACATGACACAGCAGTCGGGTACTACACTCTGGTACGAGCTCGTGCGAACGTGATGTCACAACAACACGAATTGGAGAGCGGCTGCAAACTGATATTACAACAGGTAAAGATGCAGTAAATTATTTGGGGTTGTCGGCTAACCCGTAACGAAGACTTCGAATGCCTTTCTCGTCAGGGAAGAGAAGCTTGAGATGTACACGATATGCAAGCAAACTGCCGATGATAAACAATCAAATATGTTTAGGGGGATGGTGGGGTTATTTGTAACTATATCACAGCCCAGATGACCAGAACTTTCAAGAGTGAATAGTTTTCAGCCAGAAAAACCTGGCATCTAAAATAGGCGTAGCTTGAAGACTAGATTCGCGTAGATAATTCAATTACCACATTGGGATAGGAATCAAACATTTAAACCCCTATGTCAATAAGCTATACACTCCATGTCATCATCTTACGGTCACGCTATTTGCCTCGCTGGGTACATTTTCCACCCCGAAGAAATCGATCTTTTCTTCACAAAAGTTAATTTCCGTGACTGAGGTTGTTGGAGCACTCTTAGTATTTTGACGGTCCGTGCCGAATGGTGCTACTTGTGTTAGCAGAGCTCATAGCTATAGTATTGGTCAATCTCACAGACGGGGAAATCGCCACTTTCAAGCGAATGAAGATAAACGCTCAGATACGGCTTGTTTTTCCGATAAGAAAAAGATATGTAAGCGTGAAGGTAATTTAGAGCGCTGTGATTTGCATGTGGACTACAGCAAAGTCAGACAACATTCAGGCTACAAAGTTCTCAAACTTTCAACGAAGACTGGACTTACTAATAAGATTGCAGGCTTTCTTTGTATCTCTGTGCCATTTCTGTCCAGCCGTGGCGCTCGAAAAAGGTTGTTAGTGCATCAGCGACCGCCATGTCGTTCATGCCGAAGGTGTTGAAATACAGCTGTGGCTCAGGCATAGGTTCATCATGATGCAACGTGTAATTGGCCATTGTCGGTAATTGCTCGTTGGGGGTTGAGCCTATTGGAAGATATGAAGCGGGATATGTTTGTAATCCTTCTGGAATACAAAGTAAATCCCACAGCTCCTCAATCAACTTAAAGCCCGCGACTGTTGCTGGGTCGGTAAAACGTCCGCCAAGTGTCCAAAGATCTTTCATAGCCGGAAGCGACACCATTCTTTCCAAAATGTAGATCTTGATTCGGGATATAGCTGGCTTGACGAGATCGCAAGAAAGAAGTCGCACACTTGTCGTGCTGTTCAAGCCACTGCGTGACTTTGCATACTCTTCCAATACTGAAAGCGCTGGAAGAATACTGTTATGCTGTAGCGAGACTTTACGGACTGAATCAAAAATGAGCTCATCGGTTGACTTGCCAGAAGCAATAGCTTTAAGTTCCGGGTAGATGTAGGTTTTCAACACAAAACGATCTCCCTTGAGATCCAAGGCAAGTTTATTTTGCGTTTTGATTCCAGTCTTAAGCGGGCCTTTTTCAGCGAGAAATTTGGATTCCGCGGAGCTGAGAGTGAGTTCTTGTTTGAAGTGATTGAACCATTCGAGATTAACATCCGGTTGAATAGCGACCAGTTCATTTAAAGATTTCCAGATTGAGTGAGTGTTAAAAAGATCATCCGCAGTGCCTGTTGAAGAGTTGATAGGCTCATACGTATACCTCACAACCGAGTCGGAGCAGTTAAGAGAGAGCTCGAAAGGGGTACCGAAGCGTGTAAGAATGCTCAACCATCGGTCGTTGCTATCTCTCTCCGGATAGACTCCTAGAAATGGAATTACTCGCTTCTTGTAAATAGCAAGATGCTTGTACTGAGAGTGAATGTCGTAGTTCGCCATACGCAACATCTTCGCAAACATTGGACCTGTGCTGTGCCACCACCGTTTTTCATCCTCATTGGTAAAACTAAAGACATCGCTTAAAGTGTTGTAGACCACTTCGTCTAGTGGGGAATTCGTTTCTGAAACCGTGCTGACAGGCATATTGGCCAATCTATGACATTTCTTGTCAGATAGGAGTATTGATAGAGAATTTGGATAGCGTTGTTGCATTTATATATAAATTCATTATGTGATACTAAGGTATGAGCAAGAAAACTGATAATTCGACTTCTCAGAATAAGCCATGACGTGCGATAACTTTGTTGCACTTCCAGCCAGAGGTGAAATTATTATGTAACATTTCACCGCAGATAAATTTCCAAAAGCTCGTTGTAGTTGCACATGCTCAGCTATCTCAACTAATTATCTGATGAAAATTGTAGATCAGTGACATTCGCCTATCTTTATTGTAGGCAGCCCAGTCCAGTCGGGTCTTTTCTACCAAAAGCGCCACATGAGTATATCACCGACACGATGCTACCACGCCCCCTATCTTCAGTATACGACGAAAAAATCAACTTTTATTTGGAGGGAAATTACAGAATCGCAATGCAGTGCCGAATTGCTAGCACGACATTCAGCCAGCCACCAAAGCGCATCTATGTAGCCCAGAGGACATACGTAACCACAACGTATGGCTATGGTTAATCCCACAAACCCGTCTGCTTTAACAAAGAAGTGCGATCTTATTCGTTTTGGGATAACGACGACCCGATGCGTGAAACAGTCTTGTGTTGTGACCATCGAAGTATTCTGCAAGCTGCTTTGCAAACTTTGCTCAGTCAGTACCTTGTGCTTCACTATCATTCTCGACGCTATTCAAACATCCACTCATGCTTTGTTTTAGATGTTGACATTACACTCCCCATCGCCTTTTGCTCAGAGAAATGCGTAATCATTACCTGTATCCTGTAATCGCCGCTGGAATCATATACTTATACGTTTCTGCAAAGTGGACGGGGAAACCATTTTGTCGTTGTAGACCAAATCAATCATGTTGGCCTAGCATTGATGAATGGAAGTCACTGAATGGATCGATCAACGGCAATCTCGTTAGAGTAAAGCCAATTGGAGCAGCTTGCCGCGAACCGGATTTCAATCACGACGCATGTATCGAAACGCTGCTTCTATCCCGCAACAGTGGCTGGAGAGCTTCAAATCCAGGTACCTATTTTAGACTAGTTATTTTCACGTTTGCTGATTTTGGCCTTCGATAGGCGCTTTACAAGACTGGGTATGGGAAAGTGAAAACTTTCAGAACCATAATTGCAGCTTAGACGTAAATTCAGGACGCAGATCTTGTAATCAAGGGCGAGTTCCAATATATTCTGCTGTCGTTCAATCTCCTCAGCACGTTCGCAAAGCAGTCAAATTCGCTAAAAAACACAATTTGCGGTTAGCAATCAAAAGCACTGGACATGATACTTCTGGAAGGTCCAGCTCGCCAGACTCTTTCCAGATCACTACTCATCTTCTCAAAGAGATCCATGTCCATCGGGACTTTTTAGCTACGGGCGCTTCGAGAACTTCGGGGCCCGCAGTGTCTGTCGGTGCTGGTGTGTTGCAATCTGAGCTCTATAGGAAAGGCTCACAAGAAGGATTTACAATAGTTGGGGGCGAGTGTCCGACAGTAGCAGCTGTTGGTGGGTTTCTTCAAGGTGGTGGTGTTTCAAGTCTTCATAGTCACACAAGAGGATTGGCTATTGATAACGTACTGGAATACCAAGTTGTCACTGCGGAAGTATTACTATCAAAACTATGAAATGGCAACAAATGCTGACTGAGATAGGGAAAGCAACTCATCGCTAACGAATACCAGAACAAAGATGTTTTCTGGGCTCTCAGAGGCGGTGGTGGTGGTACATTCGGCATAGTCACCCAGGCTACACTACAGGTGTTTCCTGATGATCCCACCGTTATAAGTACTTTATCGATCTCTGTCCAAAGTCTAGGAAATGTCTCACTCGTGGAGACAAACATCCTTGGTCTTTTGAAAATCTTGCAAAGATTTAATAAGGAAGATATTCCAGGTCAATTTATTCAACGAAGGCCTTCTTCCACGATTTTAGAGGCGACTCTAACTTTATATTTCTTCAACATGACCAAAACAGATATCGTTGAGAGACGTATAAAAGGTCATTGGCAAACAGTCTTTGAAAACGACCAAACCGAAGCTACACTTTCCGTGAGGTTTCAGCCCAAAATTAGCTCCGAGCTTCGAATGGTTCCTGATATTTATCCCGAAAATTATGGGATCCTCTCGGGTTCGAGTCTTATCTCTAGCCAGCTGTTTGAGTCAGTTCAAGGTCCACAAATTATTGCCAGAGCCTTTTCAGAACTACTCATGGCCCCGGATGACATCCTTTTTACCAGTAATCTTGCAGGCCTTGTAAAAGCGAGTAATGGCTTTTTGAATACTGCAATACACCCTGCTTGGCGATCAGCTGACCACCTTATCAATTTTGTCCGTGCCGTTGAGGCGAATACGCTGGGGAAGAAGTCAGCGTTTGAAGAACTTAGCAACGTTCAAATGCCTATCTTATACTCGATCGAAGATCCCAAATCCAGGGTGTCATATCGTAACTTGGGCGATCCTAACGAAAAGAATTTTCAAGAAGTATACTGGGGAAAGAATAATTATGAAAGATTGTTAAATATCAAATCTCAAATAGACCCAGAGGACCTGTTCATGACAAGATTGGGAGTTGGTAGCGAGGGTTGGGATACAGATGGAATGTGCAGAGGAAAAGGTCTTTCACAAGCTTCTTGGGGTCCCAAGTGGTCTGGAATTTTCCGTGTGCTTCAACACCCTATACGGGATTAGGAATGGAAAATATAATTGTACATGAAAGCACTCATTGAGAACTTGGTCTAGAGAAACAGCCTGTCTTGAATCCTGCCAGAATAATTTTTGGAATAGATATCTTCACTAAGGTACAAAACTTCTCAATCCAATTCACTCAATCTCAAAGTAGTGTAACGTTTTCTATCAACACGTTAACATCTAGCTACTTAAACCTGCTCGGCAACCACTTAACAGATCATTATGACAGCCATCCCACGATAAAATCTGTTATTCCGCCATGTGAGTTATTTTTTGTGTATTGTGGAAACATTGACAACGTAGCAGTTTAGCATGGTGCGTGACGGGTTGCTGCAGTGATAACCAAAGTGGGCAGTACAATTGATATCTTAAGATTATTGGTCTAACCACAGAAGCCACTAAAAGATAAACCCCTGCTAATTACATGATGGGCATCCTAGAAAGGAGGTACGTTGGGCAATCATCGGGTGAAGAGCAGGGGCCTCGTGCATATTTTATCTGTTGCTAGATATTGGTTGTTGGGATACACAAGGTAAGTGATCAGAACGTGATGCTTGCAGATACAGATTCTTGAGTTTCCGAATAGCTCAAGGAGTTTGGCAACAACTCTCTTGGGGTATTGGTGAGATTTCCCCTGAGAAACCCTTGTGGTATAGCATTTATCAATAGTTTTCGGTTTCAACGTCTGCTTAATTCAGATTACAAGTTCGCCACAAACTGCTCTAAATCTTGAGATGACAACACATCACAGCACCCGGAAACGGCCTCTGATTCTCGACATTCGTCAGCTCGATTTTGAGGACTCGATTACGAAGCAGGTAATTGATGGCCTCTCAAATAAACCTCGGACTCTTCCGGCACTTTTATTCTACAGTACGGAAGGGTTGAAACATTGGAACGTACACTCACAGCAGGCTGAGTTCTATCCTAAGCATGAGGAACTGCGAGTTATCAAAGACAGGGCTCACGATATAGCTACTAGCATTGAACCAAACAGTGTAATAGTAGATTTGGGTAGCGCGTAAGTAGAATCCCATCTCTGAGTTGCAATTCTCTGTTTCCTTCCATCGCCCTCCGTATTTGATATGAAACCTGATTCTTTCTTTAGGAGCTTAGATAAAGTCATACCGCTCCTTGAAGCGCTAGAGTCTCAGAAAAAGAACATCAGATACTACGCTTTGGACCTTAGTGCAGAGGAGCTTGCATCAACACTTCAAGCTATTCCTACAGAACGTTTTCAGCACGTACATTTTGCAGCACTTCACGGAACGTTCGAGGACGGCTTACTATGGTTGAAAAACACTCCAGAAATATGCAATTTACCTCACTGTCTTCTTCTTCTGGGATTGACTATTGGGAACTTTTCACGAGAAAATGCTGCTGCATTTCTAAGAAGTATTGCGGCCCACGACCGACCACAGTCCAGAAAATCAGGAGAGACGGATAGTCGAACTTCTATAATTCTGACAATAGACAGTTGCAAGACGCCGACAAAGATTTTAAGAGCTTACAATGCTGAGGGTGTTGTGCCTTTTGCTCTCACTGCTTTGAAATACGCAAACGTACTTTTAGGGAAAGAAGCAGAACAATCTGATCAAAATTTCCCTTTCGTCTTTGAAAGTGAGGAGTGGCATTTCCTCAGTCAATGGAACCATGTGCTCGGTCGACACGAAGCATCATTGGTCCCGAAGAACGAGAACATTAAACTTGGAGCTCCCCTTGATGCGATTGTTGTGGGCAAAGAGGAAGCTGTGCGGTTCGGATGTAGCTATAAATATGACAAAGATCAACGCCGAGAATTGTTCGCGGCGGCTGGCGTGGAAGAAGCCGCTGTTTGGAGCCACGATGAATGCGATGTTGCGTTTTATAAATTGCAGACATGTATAGATAGTATTGCTTATCAAGAGGTATGAACATCAATATAGATTCTTTCAGGAACCACACCAACAATATATATAACGCTACTTAGAGCTGTAGTGACTAAAGTTTCAGGCATGCTTTTGGTCTAGGGTTCAAAAGTTTCTCCAGAATCAGTTCCTTCAACTTTACTGACTATCTGGGATGGAACAAATTGCAGTGCGAAATCGATATTCACATCCAGCATTCTTTGTGCCTGAAAGCAAAATCAGTGAAGGTCTCAGGAGGTGAACCAGTTACCTCCTCAACCACATCGTTCAAACTTTCTTGCCCCCCGTTTTTGATACCAGTTTCCATAATTGCCATAAATTCTGCGTCACTCAAAGGCACACCTCTTGAGATCAAGTGTTTAGTAAAATCAGCTTCGCTAAGCTTCACGTGAACTATCTCTCGTCCCACAACACCACTAATGATTGAAGCAACCTTTTGCCAGTTAGCGATACTCAACCTCTTTTATCTTGTTTCAACGACTTAGAAAAAAAGACAACTTGTACCTCGTCATAGGTGTGTAATTTGGGTCCCAAAAGAACATATTCTTTAGCTTGCAAGTTTCCATTTGTCAAACATTTGACAGCAACTTTCGCTATATCCTTTGCAGATATGAACGGTATTTTCCCATCTCCGGCGGCTGAATAGATCTTGCTGTCATTCTTGATGGCCAACTGCTGTAGCTCTCCTGCCGTTGAAAAGTTGTCTGAAATACTTGTTATCGAAAATTCTATCGACCACCGAGGGCTGATGATATTCACTCACCCATGAACCATGTAGGTCTCAAAACAGCATATACAATTCCTTTGATAGTGTCTAGATGCGCATGGACTTGACCCATTGCAGGTCCCCCTTTCTCAATTGTACTTGCACTGAGAAGAACAAATCTCTTGACTTCTCTGGCTCGTGCAAATTCGACAAATTTGATCATTGGCGGAGCTAGCTCGAAAATTGGAGGTGCCACCAACCAGACGGAGGCGATAGGTTTCATTCCTTCACTGGAGGCTTTGAGAAAGGGGCTTTCATAGGTTCTTTCATCAAACCAGTCGAATTTAGCGTGTGTGTAAGTACTGCCTGCTGAGGCTGTGCGTGAAGCTACTAGAAAAGATTGGTTCGACGCACGGAGAATGGCAGCGATTTGAAGAGCTGTTTTGCCATGGCCACCAAGTAAAAGAGTAGTCATTTTGAAAAAGTTTGACAAGTATTTCTCTGTCAGATAGAATAGGGTCTTTAATTGTTTAACAAGAACCTATAGAGAAATCAGCGGACTCTGGGCAGCTACTTATAAAGATTGTTCGCCGTGAGAGGGTGTCCTTGTAAACGAATGCGAATAAATGTATAAAAAAGTGACAAGAAATAACTCGGATCAACAATTTTAGCCCAATAAGTAGTGCCACTTCTAAATAAATGCCTAAAACTCTGTTGGCTCAACTGCGTCCAAGACTAGTCCGACGTACAACTAAGCATGCACGTCTAGACTGTAGTGTTTTGCAGTTGCAAGGGCACTACTTCAATGCAAGATGACTACTTCAAGTGAATTCTAAGAGCACGCGGTACTAACTTATATTTGCCTAGTTGTAAACCCAATCAATCGACAGGAGTTAATCATGTGTTCTAGTGGATAAACAATAGTTGAGTACTAGAGCATTTGCTTATTTAATTAATTATACTGTATGTAGAGATCTAAAATTTCACATGTTATCATCAGCTACCGAATTGATTATACGTGCTATGCATCATAGCATTGGATTTGCATCATTCTCGAAATCTCATAACTGAATCTTGGAAAAGCTGGCCATTTTCACAATCTGACTACAACCATGACCTTCTTTAATGCGAATCAATGAACTCCGAGCTGAAAGGATAATCTGTATAACCTTCAGAACCAGGACCGTAAAATGTCTCCCGGTCATATGGTGCAAGCTGGATACCGTGTCTCAACCTGAAGGGTAAATCAGGGTTCGCAAGAAAGTGCCGACCAAAGCCGACAGCGATATTGTTATGTCCAGCGTAGGTATCTTCAACAACTTTCCTAGCAGATTCTCCATTGTAGCCGCCTGCGATAATGATAGGTTTTGCTTTACCCCACATGCGAACGAAGGTTTCATTGTCGACGTCTGGGTGCGATTTACTCTCCACCCATCTTGAATTGGCAAGATGAAGATAGGCGACGTTCATCTCATGAAGCTGTTTGATTATGTACTCAAATTGAGGGACTAGATCCTCCATGACCCCCATTCCAAGGTAAGTGCTCCAAGGCGAAAGTTTTATTCCAACTCGATCAGCCCCAATCTTCGATATGATCCTTTTGGTTACTTCCAGCCCAAATCGAGCGCGTTTCTCCAAACTGCCACCCCACTCATCTGTTCTTTTATTACAAGACTCTTGGGTAAATTGATCAATCAAGAATCCATTCGCACCATGAATCTCAACTCCATCAAAGCCGCAATTCATCGCATTCTCAGCGGCAAGAACGTATTGATTGATGAAATTCTCCACTTCCATAGAAGTGAGTGAGCGAGGTACTGGGTAAATTTCGTTCGGGTCTTCCTGGGGTGGAATTTGAATTGAGCTGCTTGACACACAATTAAAGCCAGGCTCGGCAGCTCTTCCTGTGGCCCACAATTGAAGCCAGATGAATGAATTTTTGGAATGGACTGCGTCCACTATCGTCTTCCAGGCGGCAATTTGGTCTTGATTCCAAATGCCTGGAACCTTATCAAACCCACGTGCGTCTTCTGAGATTGAAGTCGCCTCTGTTATAAGGAGGGTACCTGGTACGCTAGCTCTCTGAGTATAGTACTCTTTCATCAGTGAAGATGGAACTGCACCAACATCGGCGCGAAATCGAGTCAATGGACAAAGAATGACTCGGTTCTTTAAGTAACATTTCCCAAGTTGGAGAGGACAGAAGAGTCCTGACTGATTCGACATATTTTCGGTAGCGTTGAGAGGTGTCGCGAACTTGAGATGAGGCAGAGGAGAAAGCTGCTATTGGTGTAATCTTGATGATCGAGCTGTTGCTAAGGAAACCCCAGCGAACAACTTCAAGTTATTGTGAGATTTTACAAATTTCAAAAGCACTCAGTGTACCCGATGATGGACGGAAACAGCGCCGCTGGGGTGTGCTATGTCTCGTTCATTGGTGAGGTTCGTACCCGAGGGCACGACATTTGATCTTGCATGAACTCAGCGGAACAGAGACCCTGCAGGAATTTATGGTTGTCTTGTTTTACAACACGGCAGTTTGATAATGCAGAGTATGCGAAGGTTACTCAAGTTGTGGAATCAAGCCACTTTTTCGGAAGTAAAACATCCTCCAAGTTTGGGTTCGTCTAGTCCTGCATAAGCTCAAAGGGATAACGGCGAACAACACAAGTAAACCCGATCTCGTTTAAGCTCTTCATCTTTTAAAAACCATCATTGAAGGGTCAAGATGACTTCAGTCACTTCGAAAGTCTTCGCCATAACCGGTGGAGCGTCCGGGATAGGGGCAGCCACATGCCGCTTACTTTCAAAACGGGGAGCATCAGTCATATGTGTAGGCGACATCGTAAACGATCATTTCGACGAACTTCGACGCGATATTGCAAGGATAAATAATACAACCAAAGTTTCATGTACAGTTTTAGATGTCACTTCATCAGCCCAAATTGAGAGATGGATATCCTATATTGTAGATACGTATGGAGATCTGTACGGAGCAGCCAATATCGCTGGAATTGCACAAGGCGCAGACTTACGGACATCGCCTACTATCCTCGAAGAAACAGACGACGAATGGAGCAAGGTCATGAAAGTAAATCTCGATGGTGTATTCTATTGTACAAGAGCAGAGATTCGTGGCATGAAAAATCTTGAGAGGATTGGTCGAAGCATTGTCAATGTTGGCAGTATCGCTGCTTTTTTACATCAGCCAGATGTGTATGCTTATGGGACATCGAAAGCAGCATGTGCCTACATGAGCACTTGTGCCGCCGCTGACGCGTTTCCTTTTCGCATAAGAGTAAATACTGTTTCCCCTGGTAAGTGGTATTACTTCGCGTCTCATTCTGAGAGCGAAGATTAACAAAAGGTACCTGTGCATTTGGTATGAAGTCTAACGTATTTTCAGGCATTACAAACACTCCATTACTACCTAGTTTCAATCCGAAGTTGAACTCTCTTGATGAGGTGAAGGAATTGTACGCAAAGAATGGCTTGCCACTGATTGAGCCTGAAGATGTTGCCAGAACAATTGTGTGGCTACTGAGTGATGACTCGTGGCCAGTCTACGGCAGTCATATCAATGTTGGGGCTTGCGTGCCTTAGATCATTGAGGGGTCACAATTTTGCTCTTGAATAAGTCTTGTTTGTGTGTTGCATCTGGTGGACTCGAGTCCCGACGGAAGTGCTTCAGCAAGAAAGCACATCAGAATGTTTGAGTAGTGGCCGCATTCTATTTACATTGTCTATTCTTTGATACAATTGTCCATTCTTACAAATTGCTGTCAGGTTTTCAAGAAGCCCTGATGATGTCTGTTTGCGGTCAAGCTTTACCCGATTTTCAACGCGTCGCTTCCAGATGTGAATGTAGTACAGTTGATCATTTCGAATTCTTTTGGCTAAAGAGCTAGCAAAAGCAAAAAAAGGAGCCGATTCCAGTAATATTCTCTGACCTAGGTCTCATCATGACGTCTTCCAAGTTGATTGTGGTTTGTACAGCGGGATTTTCTCGTCGGTCCTGTACCACAGATATCCAAGGAGGATATGCGTGGTGAAGATGGCCAATGGTTTCTCAAAATTCTTTTTTCTTCCGCGCAACATCATAGGAATTTGATCCGCTCACAAGCAAAACGGAAGGTTACTGGAAGCGCGCAAAGCTAGCTTTTCCCCGATTTAGCGCAGACGTCCAGTGTGAAGCTTATTTCGAAAATCTCACGAAGTCGAATTTCGAAATACCATCCTTCACATCATATACAGTCTTTTTGAAACATTGATATAACACCAGCAATCGTGCTTCAACACCTCTATGGCAACGCGCAAGTTGCCGGTGATCTCGTCCATACCCATTGCCACCTCGCTTAACACCCCTTTTGTGGAAACGACTTCTTTTCTCGTGACTGAGACATACGGAGCTCTAGTGTCTCGGAGACATGTATTCAGCAAATCCGGAACAGAACTCTTCGCCTCAAGTTCGAGAATGTCGTACGGAATACACCGTGTAGCTTGTGCCGCTTGCCAAATCCTTAGCAGAAACTTTTGAATTTGGCGAAGATCGCTTGGACGCTATCACAACGTCGATATCTTGGAATGATTATATATCAATAGCTTAGTAGGTTAGTTATTTAATTTATCGGGAAAGGCTTTTCTCTTTTTTAAGCTAAACTCTATGTATGTTACATGAAATAAGGTGATCTCATCAAATACCGACGAATTTCGTGTAGGTGTGACCGTAAGTCAAAAGCCACCAGACGATCGATCACCAGCTGAAACAATAAAATTTAGAATCGTTCCATGTACCAGATTTCCCACTGTTTAGTAACAAGGCGCTGGATCACCATTGTTCAAAAGCACAAGCTTGCCTTTATCAATCATGTCGTCAAAAACACCGCAGCTGCTACAATTTGATGGTACACTTTGGTTGTGGACTCTTACTGGCTTGGATGACTTGAGTGATCTACAGAAAAAGGTCACTGTAATACGAACGCAGAAAAAAGCAAGCTGTAGAAGCCGAGACTTATAGAAAAGCACGCCATGAAGTGCCTTGACCACTTGTTCCACGGAGCATCCCGCCGTCAGCCTCTATTCTCTGAACCATCATTCTGTCAAGTCATTATAACACCTTCTTGCCTTTCTTGACATAGCAGAGAAACTCCAAAACTCTTACCTCCCTCTTGCGTGAACAATGGCTACAACATATGAGGGTAGCAAATTCGAAGAAAAGCAAACAACAGAGACACTTCACCATGACAACCCGTCCAAAACCTTGGAAAAGGCTTCCTTTCAGAATGGTCCTCCACGAGAGATGCCAGAATCATTCTCAATGATATCCGGACTCGGAATATCATTCAGGTGAGTTTCCAATGCTTGACAGTATTTCGCGATGGAATCTGATGACGATCAGTATTACCAACTCATGGGCCGTCTATCTCAGCATTCTAGGCCAAGGTCTGATATATGGCGGACCTCAAAGCGTAATATTGGGTCTATTAGTTGCGGCTTTCGTACAGTGGATAATTACATTGGGACTCTCGGAACTGGCATCTGCCTTTCCATCGTCAGGGGTATGCAAAAAGATCGCTCGAACTCATCCAAAGCACACTTACTAATACCTGCGAAAGGGGCAATACCACTTCGTTTATATTCTAGCTCCAGAGAATATGAAAAATTTCTCGTCATACTTCGTGGGTTGGCTCTCAATAATTGCTTGGTTTATCGGAGCTAGCTCAGGAGTTTCCATAGTTGCTGTTACCATCTCTGGTTTGGTGTCATTCTGGGACCAAACGTTTGTAGGTGCTCGATGGATGATATACCTAATTTACCTGGCGACAACAGTGGTGACGTGTAAGCTGAGACCATTTCCCAGATTACTCTTAATATTTCACTCACCTGTCTCTAGTTCTACCGCAATATCTAGCTCCAAAATCAGTCCCGAAAATCACATCCCTTGCTCTTTTCATCTCTCTTTCTGGATTCGTTCTAGCATTCATTCTCGCTCTGGCCATGAAAAGAAACTTCAATGCCTCTTCATACATAACCCAGTCAAATCTTGGAACTAGTGGCTGGCCACAAGGATTTGCCTGGGTACTTGGGACAATCAACCCGATGTAAGGACTACCATAATATATCAATATGTATACTAACGCAGAAATAGGTATGCCTTTGGCGCTACCGATGCTGTTATACACATTTCAGAAGAGATTCCAAATCCCAAAGTCAAAATTCCATTGATAATGAATCTCTGTGTATTGATTGGTATGGTTACTGTGTTTCCACTCGTCACAGTCTTGATGTACACCATGACCGATATGGACGCAGTAATCGCTTCTCCTCTTCCAAGCGCAGAATTGATATATCAGGCTACGGGGAGTAGACCTGTGACAACGTTTCTAATGTGCTGGATCATATTAGCATATGCAACCTCGATATGCTCAGCGTGGGTGGCAAGTGGTCGAATTAGCTGGGCTTTCGCCCGAGACGTAGGCCACTCAGCTCATAATCCAAAAACTCCACTGACGAGATCAGGGCGGTATACCTTTCAAATCTTACTTCGCTCACATTGATCCCAAAAAAGAGTTTCCAGTACGCACCACAGTAGCAACTGTATTATTCGTCTGCATCTACGGACTTCTCTTTCTCGCTAGCAGTACTGCCTTCAACTCCATCATCGCAACGGCCGTTCTATTCTTGAATATCACATTCGCTGTTCCACAAGCTTTTGTGGCCTTTCGGGGTCGAGATAAACATCTTCCTTCCCGACCTCTGAGTCTTGGACTCTCAGGATACTTTGTCAACATTTTCTCGAGCGTCGCAGCCGTGGTCATCGTTGTGTTGGCGTGCTTTCCGCCGATATATCCGGTATTTGTCCAAAACATGAATTACGGATCTGTTATCATGGCTGGAATCTTCAGTATCTTGATTGTGCTATGGTTCGCGGTTGGAAAGGGGAGTTTTGAGGGACCGAAGTTAGACATCGATTCTCAAAGTTCGGAGTAAGTTGTTCAGATGGAAAGGTTCCACAAGATGATTCATTTTGGGTGAATCTCAAGTCGTCCGATCTTGATACTAAACTACCAAAAGCCCATCATTTGAATGCGATTGGAATTTTCAGGGAGACGTCAATGATGACTCTTTTTGGTTTTGGCTCAAAGGGTCATTCCAATATTTGTCCAGAATTGACAAAAATATCTGAACTTCACTCATTGAACGGAGAAGTCTTCAAATAAATAGATTAAAATTGTAATTCAAGTAACCAGATTTGCAACAACTCGCTTTTACGACAGAGAAAATCTAACTATTCATGATAGACTCACTGTCGGCCCTGACATAGTGCTCATCGCATAAGCCTAGGACGTGGAACAGGGTTTTGCCAGTTCAAAGTATTTGAAAAGCCTTCGAAACAAAAAAGGTTAATTACTGCAAGCATATATATGTACGAATCAGATCCCGGAAGCGATTTGAATTTATTTCTAGAAAACGAGCCAATGGGAAAGCTATCGTAGCTAGAACTTCGATCACAGAAGGGCATACTTCTCGGTTAAAGCAGATTTTACAGCTAAACTTGCTATTATGTTTACCTTTCGTACATACCGCTTTTTATGATGGGTCCAATTTTACAGTTAAATTTGGAATTATGTTTCCCTTGGCATATTCGCCAGTTGTACGGACCACAATGCTAAACCATCCCAGTTCCCAGTGTCATCGTAGCCGAGCGAGACCGGATTTCTCACCACCTAAAGAGGTAACCAGATCCTTGGGAGGTGATTGTCTCATGCAAGCTGAGCAAGAGACCCAGCATTACTCTACTGCCCAATTCTCTTGCATGTCTTCGGGTACCTTTCCCGCCAAGATGGTTATTAACTTGAATGCAGTGAAAATAATTTACACAGAGCATTCAATACGTACGAGGGTTTGGTACAGATAGTAGTACTATGAATGCAGGAGAGTGAAACTGCCACCGTCACTTGCAAAACGCAACTTTTAAGTTGTGTCGCCGAACTTAGAGCGCACCACCTGGCACCACCTGGCACCACCGATAAGTAGCGTTATAATTCCCAGCCATGTTTCTTTTATACCGTAACTTACGTCCCATCAATGCACGAGAATCAAAAAAGATTCTCGATGGGACTTGCCAAACATTGTGTGTTATACACAGGTACAACAGGTTAGAGGGGAAAGTTCCACGACTTGAACCACCTCTATCCCAACAATATTTCATCACCCTGACACAAGATAACGAAAGTGTTACCAAGTAGCTCAAGTGTCCGAGGACTGACAAGCACAGCATTCCGTGCCGCGATTTATGTGTAAGTGTCGCTCGAACCAGAATTACATTTCCCGTGTGACGTCGGGTGTGATAAATGGATTTGCTGAAGCTGTTCATTATTCTCACACCTGTGAGTTTGAGCGCGTGAAGTCATGTTTCCTTCATCTCAGGTGACAGTATGTGACTTTTACTATGTGGCCTCTGGTCGCCGTCAGGTGTAACGCGAGCCATTTCGTGGCCGAATGAGGTCTCCAAAAGTTGGTCAGGTGTCAGCTTTTTTATCTGGCACCTAGTAGCGAGTTCAATTGGGAAACTGTAGCTTCGAAGGTTAAAGATTCTGATATAGCAGTATATGTAGCGAAGAATTTTACATTTCTAGATTGCAAACAATGTCAGATATCAAACATGTTCGACAGGTTGAGCCTGAACTTCTGACACAACCTATAGTGAAGATACATGCCGATTACTAGCAAAATTTAATTTGATGACGGCAACCATTATGGATGGGTGATTGAAATTGAAAAACTGGTAGTTTGTATTGTTTGGGTATCATTACGCTAAAATATTCAACCGCCCTGTATCATAATTGACTCTTTCTGTTCAGTCTGCTCACTTGCTCCACCGACTAGCAGCTGCACTACTGCCCCAGAAGGGATTTGGCTGAAAGGAAGATTGCCCATAAGGTTTAGGTTGGTGGCTTTCGACTAGAGATATTTCGTCATCCTTGATCGACGGAACTCTCATTTCACCTAGATATCCTGTTAGCTTGGCGATGTTCACATGGCATGGGGTACCACTTACCCCTCATGATCTCTACTGCCGACACCAGAGGCAGAAGAAGTAATAACATCGGAAGTAATTGTCCAAAACTCCAATCCCGCTCTCCTCCATCCCTCAAGTCCACACTTGGCTTTCCAAACGCTTGTGATAACAGAATAACCCTGACTGCTGCTCCTGCCGCAATCGCTGCACTCATGACAAGCCCTAGAACCTGTATAGTCTTCAACCACGGCCGTTCTTTAACATGTAGATACCAAAATCCCAGCACAAACATGATGCAATTTCCAGATATGACGGCAATCGTACCGACGACTGAAATAGTCGAGTTCGACGCTGCGCCATTTGATTGAACCTGCCAAACGCACGCAATAGGTAGTGTCTGAGACAAATTCCTCATCGTACTCATCAACAAGAAGATTCCGCTGACGCAGCTTAGCACCAAGTTGACAAACATGAAGAACTGTCTGATCCATCTCAACACCCAGTCCCGCTTGAAGTCTTGAACCAATGCCAACAACGTCCCGATATGCGTAGCTGTGGAAAGCAGGGACAACATCCAGATAATGAAGAAGTGGTAAGGAACCATAAATTCCATTTTCGCGAGGCCAACACATTGTATACCGATACCCGTAATTACTTGTTGGTCGGAAAACGATAGTAGGAGCTTTCGAACGACTTTCGATTCGTGGGAGGATCGTGTTATTTCGCGGAGAATGAGAACGGCAGACAGAATGAGGGAGATCCCAGCCGTGATAATGAATGATAAAAGAACCTATTCGCGCTGTTAGAATTCGCCAACAACAGTCTTTCTGAGGTACTTACGCCGGCGCCTGCCACTCCAGCGTCTGTTGCAGCATCGCTGGGAATAACTGTGCAGTTGATGTTGTCAAACATGATTGTGATGCTTCTGTCAACTACTAGCAAAACTCTAGCAGTTCAAGAAGTAGAATCGATAAAAGAATGTGCTGAACGGTTAAAGTTTCTTGAAGTCTCACAAAATGATCTCCCTTCATGACGTGCCCCTCTCCTAATAGGGCTGTGGCAGTGCCGTCGAGGGCATAAGGTTTCAGGGGTAATTAATTACGCGCCCCGTCCTATTGGCCCTCAAACGATGAAACAATCATGTTTCTTCGCGAGTCATTCTTGGCCTGTTGACTTGTCCTTGTTTATGCAAAGCCTCCACGCCGATCAAAGTCGAAAGGGGATGCTTGACTGGAGTGGCACATCTCTTTCAGAATGAAATAATAGTCATGTTTGAATGCGAGTTGCATGAGCAGATGTTTGGGCCAGACAAACCCCTAAATTTAGTTTGTTTCGGGACTTGTTCAGGTACCAGCTTTAGCGGGCTATTGGCTCGGTTAGGGACTGTCACTAGCGAGCTTCGCCATGAGCCAAAAAGGGGGGTGTTAGCTTCCATCCAATAATGGACATATTATGGACAGTAAACTTCAAATGGCTGTTGTGTTTTGTCGTGAAGTAATGATTCCTTTAAATATGAAGTATTGAATGAATCACATAGGTAGTATTCAAATGTTGGAGAACATAATCCTGTAATAAAATTCGATGAGATTTGGGACAACGGTACCTTAGTAAGGATGAAATTTGCTTTTTGCTTTTAACGCAGGCCAGAAAATGTGCGAACAATATCGCCTCTTTAAAGATATTAGGATACCTCTCTTCTTCCTATTGCAGTTTGTCCCACTTGAAATTTGGTCCTTCATAACGAGAGCATCAGTTGGAATTCAAAATTTCTCTCCATTATTGTAGCTCTACCAACTGAAGCAATATGTCTTTCACAAGACTTGGTGCCGAAGAGCAACTGTACAGACGCAAGAGTTATCAGGCGTTTTCACGAGAACGCCCGGTATGTAAGAAGTAAGGAAGATTCTCATAGACGAAGAAAAAAGACACTGCCAGAGTCTTCCACCACTACCCGTTCACTGACAAATGAGAAAACACTGGAATTCTGATTACAGACCAAAGCCGCTCATAGAAGTTTCAAACGAGGCAAACCATATAGCTGGCAAGCCTACGGCCAAGTAGCCAATGTCTCTCATTCCTTCCATCTCTTTATGTAATAAGGCCTTCCATTACCTAAGCCTTGCGAATTGGTCCAAAATAGCTGCCTGGATGATTTTCAAAATAGAGAGCCCTTCCACCTGGAATAGCAAAATATTTGTTGAAAAAAATCGATAACCGCTCTCAGCAGCTGCATGTATCTCTTGCCCTTAGCGGCCCTATGAGACCATTCAAGAGCTCAGCGCAGCAACTTCGTTTTGCAGAATTGCTCGTCTTCAGAAACTTGATTGGGTCTACAATGACTTCGTCAGTCAATTCTTTTGACAGACTGTCGAATACTCAGTTAAGTCAAAACCGTAAATGCCAGATCCAGAGCGACGATCCAAGCAACGCGGCTATCTTGTCTTTCCATTCTCGTAGGTGAAACACAAATACAATTTTTGTTGAGCTGACAGAATATCTGATGTTTAGCCAATTAAAAGAGTGTATAACAAGGTCGATATTCCAATTGTTGTATCGCTGTGTCGAAAGCTCACTAGTCGAGGACCAGAAATTAGCAATAACGGGGAGTACATTGCCTTCTATTTATGATCCCAGTGGTTTTATTTATATGAATTGGAACATTTCGACTTCCCTTTTGCTCTTAATCATTTTTTATCAATCGTTTGCCTCAGCTTTTCCTCCCTTGTGAAAGTTATCAGACATTTGTTCACTTTTGGGAAGATGTTCCAAAACCCAACCTTCAATCAAGAGTTTCCCGTCGCACAAGTACTCACTATAAATCAGTTCTTGGTAGGCCGAACTTCTGACCTATGACTTCTTTCCTGTAACTGAAGGGCGAATATCGACAATGTTTGCTATAAAACGCGTTCTAATTTCGGACCCATTTCTGAAGGTTATTGATAGATTACGAGTGCTCTAATTTACTTTGAATGGAGAAATATGTTACTGATTTTTGATTATCTCAAACCATTTCGCAATCACCCGAATCCAAATCACCTGTTGGCTTCTTGGAGATGCTTTAAATTGACTAACAAATTGTCCGATCAAACACAAATAGTGGCCGAGAATCTTTTCCGAGATTTCTTGAAATAGTACCATCATGAAAACCCAAGGTGGATAGAGAGCAACTGTGTCCTTAGAATTGGAAGAAAAAAATTGATGAAGGTGGGAAGAGATTCAGGCCTCGAATGTTGTCACCAATATCTCGCGTGGGGGCCGCTAGGCTGGGCAGCGCAAGGCGACAAGGCTGCAGCTCCAAAACAACATATCAAAAAATGCGAGGTAACAAGACGCAGCATCACATACATCTATTTCATAATGGCAGAAATCTCCACCCCGTCGCGGAAGCGCAAAGAGATGTCTGATGATCACATCGAACCCGCGGTCAAACGTCTGAAACTTCAAGAGTCGAATGGGAATGCCGCGAACGGAACAACAGAGAGTCTCGAGCTACAACCACCGACGACGACGACCGAGGTAGCGGAGATTGACGAGGAGGACGAGTTTGATGCACCAGCACGAGTCATAAGGCAGGAGGCTCCACCAGAAGGATTTGATGATCTATACCTCGATACCATCAATCGCGGCGTGCTGGACTTTGATTTTGAGAAATTATGCTCCGTATCCCTTTCGAATATAAACGTCTACGCGTGCTTAGTATGTGGGAAATACTACCAAGGTCGCGGTCCAAAATCTTACGCCTATTTTCACGCTCTAGAAGAAGGTCATCACGTATACATCAATATGCAAACGCAAAAGGTCTATGTTCTGCCTGAAGGATACGAGGTGAAGAATAAGAGTCTGGACGATATTAAGTTCGTTTCCGATCCACGATATACAAAGGAGCAAGTCATAGCGATGGATCGAGAAGCCAAAACAGCTTGGACGCTTGGAGGAAAAGAATATACGCCGGGCTTCGTGGGGATGAACAACATCAAAGAAAACGACTATTTCAATGTGGTAGTTCAAGCACTTTCTCACGTTCCTCCACTACGAAATTACTTCATGCAAGAAGAGTTCTCCGCGAAACCCGAGCTGGTAAAGCGGTTATCGATATTGATCCGCAAGATCTGGAACCCTCGAGCCTTTAAATCACACGTCTCGCCGCACGAACTTCTGCAAGAGATATCCTTAAGATCCAACAAGAAATTCACACTCACAGCACAATCCGATCCTGTCGAGTTCCTGTCATGGTTTTTAAACAATCTGCATCTCGCGCTCGGCGGAAGTAAGACGAAACCAGGGAGTAGCATGATCCAGCGTTGTTTCCAGGGGAAGCTCAAGGTGGAATCGCAAGCTATAACTGCAAAGGCGGACGCTGGAGATCGGTTAAGATTCGAAGAGGCAGCAGAAGTTAAGGCAGATGTCAACCGATTCATGCTTCTGACGCTCGATCTTCCTGCTGCTCCTTTATTCCAGGACGAATTGGAAGGAAATATCATTCCTCAAGTCCCACTCACATCCATTCTGTCAAAATACGACGGATTGAAAGCGCAGGAGCACTTGAATTACCGCAAACGATATCGCTTGCTACATCCTCTACCACCTTTTTTACTCTTCCACGTCAAACGGTTCAGCACCAATAAATTCATCTCTGAACGAAACCCAACTATTGTCACATTCGATGCCAGAAATCTAGACATGTCACCATATGTCGAACCAAATCCACAATTCCACCAGATGGGCGAACCGATATGGTATGATCTCGTAGCCAACATCGTGCACGAAGCCGTTCGAGGTCGCGAAGATAGCGTGGAAGGAGAAGCAGAGAAACGCACCTGGAAGTGTCAGGTACGTGGGGCCGGAGAAGAATGGGTTCAGATTCAAGATTTGTTTGTGGAGAAGACACAAAAAGAGCTGTTATATCTAGGAGAAAGCTATCTACAAGTCTGGGAACGGAGGAGACCTGGAAAGGGCAAAGGAAAGGCAGCGAATGGAAGATAATAGCGATGAGCTTGTAAGAGACATGTAGTAATTTTTGTATGAATCTGCCTGACTGAGTGGCATTGCCATATCGACGAAATGATACACCATTTCAAATCATATCTACTCCCAACTGTACGCCCTGTACAATACATGTGACATTGACAACTATTCATCTTTTTCATCAGCTACAACACCGTTGCTTTTTGGTATCCTTGGTATCTCGAAAACAACAGCTCCGTTCTTCGCCCCTTCTTTTAACCTGTACCAACGCCCTGTGCGCAGTTCCTTTCCTACTGCTACCACTACGCAAGCGCCGTCTTTGCCTCTATCACCGCGCTCGAAGACGGATATATCGTTTATCACGCCCTTAACCACTGGCTTTTCATTTGCATGTCCATTTTTCAACTCTTGCCCATTAACTTGAGTGCCGAAATTTGAACCTACACCACCTAATGGTTCAAGCTTCTTCTTGTCATCACTTAACCTCCAAGCTCTTAATTGACCGTCCCAGCTGCCACTCAATATAACGTCTGAATATGGAATCGTTACGAGTGCTGTGATCCATCTCGGCTGTGGTGCAGGCACGATATCATCGCTAGGTTTGACTTCCGCACTTGCTTCATCTGGTTGCAGTGCAGGATCCATGCCATGTGCTTGTGGTAAGGTAAAAATTGGCTTCTTCTTATGAATAACCCACAAGGAGATGCACCCATTGTCACCTCCTGTGACGAATGTCTCCTCATCGATCATAGCTACCCGATCCATACTTCCTTCTAGTACTCTGGGACCTGACCTTGACTTTTTCTCTCCACCACCACCGCGGAAGACTAATTGTGTCTCCTCAACTACTTTCCATAAGCGTGCTGTTCGATCGCGTGCACCAACGGATATACATCGTTCTTGCGCCAGAGCTGCTATATCTACAACCTCATCTTGGTGGCCGAAAAGTGTTTCAATATATGCGAGTTCGTCTAATGACCAAACCTTGATTGTTCGGTCCTTGGAAGAGGAATATAGCTGATTGGTACCGCGACGAAAGGCAAGACCAGTGACTGCATCTCGGTGTTGCGTAAAGACTCGGAGGGGTTTAAGAGTAGCAGCATCCCAAACTATCATACGTCGATCCCTGCCACCTGTGACGACAAACTTCCCATCCTGTGATGCTGCAACTGCCAGAATATCTGAAACATGCCCTTGATATGAATTGTCTTTTGATTTATTCTTGTCTCCTCGAACAAATGCCAGTTGTGTTGGTTTTCGGCGGGGTGGAGGAGGCGGTTTTTTTGGATTTCTTTTTCTTCTGGGGAAATTGATTTGCGGGCAATTCCTGGATTTGCCATTTGATCAGAAACATATCTTTGGAAACTGTGTAAGCATATGGCGGGCAAGTTGCAACGCTCGTAATTATATCTGAGTCATTGCGGAAACCCGAATAAGAGGCGTCTTCGAATGCTAAGTCCAGCGCCAACTTCCTGTACATGCGCCCCTTCGATTCGGCGGCATCTTCTTGCAATCGCTCGGCAATAAGATCACGGTCAATCTCTTCGGCATCGAAGCCATGTTCATCCACTTCCTCCCGGATATTTTCGAGGTACCGCTCAGCAAGTCGCAAACGTCGTTCGGCGGCGGTTTCCTCAGCATCATCCCCTTCTTCCGACCCAGAACTACTAGCTGCATCACTTGAGCCTTGATATTCCTCTTCATCGCCGCGATCGCTACCATCCTCATTTTCGCTGCCTGATATTGACTCGTCCCGCTGTGGTTTCCTAGGCGTCCTCGCAGGTTTTGATTCTCGTGGGTTATTTTTTGACTTGGAAGGTGCAAATCTTTTTTTGGGGTTTTCTGAGCCTTCTGGTCGTTTTCTCTTCTTCGCCGCCGAAGGAATGGTGAAGAACGAGGACATTGTATGTATCAATTTCCTGGACCAGGAATTTCCCGTAGGCAAAACTTCGATATTCGAACTTCTCTCCAAAAATTTAATTCTGCCGCCTCCGATAGACGTAATGGTACTAGCATCCATAAGCACGTGATCGCGGAAATGCCATCGGAAAGTTACAGGGGTCCCTGACTGCTGCGCGGGAGGCATCAGCTACGCGTGGAAAGTTACTTTGAGCTTCAAGCTCCAACAACAGCTCGACGAAAGGTCCATCACCTCCATATCACAATAACAACAACATCGCAATCATGGAGGTATTACTCGGTATCACTGGCAAGGACTTTACCCTCATTGCTGCTAGCAAAGCCGCCATGCGAGGAGCGACAGTATTGAAGGCTGCGGACGACAAGACAAGATCGCTCAACAAGCATACTTTGATGGCATTTTCTGGAGAAGCTGGAGACACAAGTAAGTAAACATTTAATAGCTGACGTATGAGATGTGTTGCTGACGTTACTTCTTTTAGTTCAATTCGCAGAATATATCCAAGCAAATGCGCAGCTCTACTCCATGCGCAATGGAATTGACCTTTCTCCCTCCGCCGTCGCGAATTTCGTCCGCGGTGAACTTGCCTCGTCCCTTCGTTCTCGCAAGCCATATAACGTCAATCTTCTTCTGGGCGGCGTTGATCCTATTACCCTCAAGCCATCATTATACTGGCTGGACTATCTAGCGTCGCTCGCTCCTCTGCCGTATGCGGCTCACGGTTACGCCCAATACTACTGCCTCTCTATCCTCGACAAACACCACCACCCAGATATTGACTATGAGCAGGGTCTGAAGATTCTAAGGATGTGTACCGATGAGCTGAAGAGGAGGTTACCTATCGATTTCAAGGGCATGCTGGTCAAGGTTATCACGAAGGATGGGATTAAGGAAGTTGAATACAATGACGATGCGAGGGTGGCATGTCCATAAGGTGGTGTAGCTGATTCCTACGTTTTCGGTTCCGCTGCAATCCATTAAAACTTTTGTCAACTGGCACGGATGTATTATAGCAACGCATTAAGAATAGCGACCACGGATTTACTGGCAAACGGGAAATACTTCGAAAGAGGCGAATGGCGTGGGCAAGTGGTCGGTATGCACCATAACCATAGGAGTCGTGGTCTGCTGTGCATGGTGAGAAGAGCAAAAATAGAGGAAGCCTCTCGCCAGGTATTGATTGTCATCTAGTCTCCCCAGAAGTTTTAAGCAAAAACACTGCAGTTTGGGCGTTCTCAATCAGTCACCCACCTTTCATTACTGTATATTTGCCATCATAGTAGACGCGTTATCTCTGGCAGGTCTGACGGCCCGGCGGAATAGCCTACAATGTCATGCTTGACTTTTCTTGATACTTTCCAATGGTGACGAAGAATAATTTCGAGATCACTATCAAAGCAACCTGGAAGCGTCTTGAGGTACTCAGATCCACAAGTTATCAAGCTTTCGTAAGTTATAATGGCTGATCATACGAGGACTTGAACCAACAGCTTCGTCATGAGTCACGCTCTCTACTGTGTATCGAGACGTAAACATATAGTGATCTCCTGTTTGTACTAATACTTTGATTTCGAAGCAAACTCTTGTACTTTGCCACTCCTGTCAAAGGTGGAAGAACAAAACAAATATAAGATTAGAGAGTTGTTTCTTTTCCAAATTTGAACACGATGATTTCCAAGTTGCTGCGCTGTCGGAAATCAATGGTAAATGATACTTTGGAGATCCGTGCACAAGGACTCTCGTCTGCTGTATCTTCGAGCCTGTTTCTACTAGCAAACAGCAAACACCAAATACGATGAGGGGTTCAAACGTATCCGATAGAAATCCTAGGAAATAAAACATCTGCACCAAAAAAAACTCTTTTGTTCTTATTCATGCACCAACAAATGGGCGGTGAACCATGATTACATAAAGCCCCCTTGACGTCCCAAAACTGACAAGAACTGACTAGCGTGACCCCCAAGCGAGGCGGTCGAAGATCTCAGAGAAGTCAAATTCGCCTTCGAAATATTTTGTCCTCTCTCTCTTCCTCTACACAAACAACCCCTCGATCCCACGATCACCAACCTCAAAAATACAACACCTAATTTCCTTGAAAGTTCTTTGTTCTTTCGGAGGAATCGGATAATAAAAAGATCGTTCTCTGTTTCTATATCGGAGAGCAGCAAAATTTTCAACTCGGAAGCATTTAGACTTCCAACCCCTAATTTCTGGCGCGCCTTAGAATACAACACAGGTCTTCTTTTCACGCTCTCTTTTAGATCTGCTTGATCTCTTGAGCGTTCAAAGACTTCTATTACAAGGTCTCGTTTCCACAGTCGACAGCTTTTATCGATCTATATTCTTCAGCCTCACTTTCGGTATCTGGAAATTATTATTTCAATATGGCGGATCAACTCAACATGAACGGCCTCAGTCTTGGGGGCAACTCATACAGACCTCCACATATGCGAGGAAAGATGGGACAAGATAGTATGGCAGGCCCAGGTCCAGGACCAGCTCCCGGAGCCACTGGAATCAACGGAAGCGCATGGGCGAAGTATGTACCTCTGCTAATTCTCAGTTGTGACCTCCCACTAACGTGTACTTCCAGCAACAACAACGGCTATGCTGGTGGTGCCCCTCCACAAAACTGGGGTCCTAACGCCCAAGCCCAAACATTCACTCCTCAAGGAGGTCCTCCAGCACGAGGCGGATGGAACGACCAGGGAAAGTCTTCGTTCAACCCTCACGCGTATGGAAGCCCAAGTGGCAACGGCAGTGGTGGCGGCGGTGGAGCTCCTCGTGGAGGTGGTGATGGCAGATGGGTTGACGGCAAGCATGTTGCTGGACCAGCCAACCAACGTATGGAACGCGAGCTTTTTGGTGTCCCAGATGACCCAACCAAACAGCAGACCGGTATCAACTTCGAGAAGTACGATGATATCCCAGTCGAGGCATCCGGACATGATGTACCAGAGCCAGTCCTTACCTTCACCAACCCTCCTCTCGACGACCATCTGATCAAGAACATCGAGCTTGCTCATTACAAGGTCCCAACCCCAGTTCAAAAGTACTCGATTCCTATCGTTATGGGTGGTCGTGATTTGATGGCTTGTGCTCAGACTGGTTCAGGAAAGACTGGTGGTTTCTTGTTCCCAATCTTGTCCCAAGCTTTCCAAACCGGTCCTGTTGCTGCACCAGCTGCGGGTGGTGGTAACTTTGGTCGTCAACGCAAGGCCTACCCAACCTCATTGATCCTTGCTCCTACTCGTGAGCTTGTTTCTCAAATTTACGATGAGTCCCGCAAATTCGCTTATCGATCTTGGGTCCGCCCATGTGTCGTTTATGGTGGTGCAGATATTGGTTCTCAGCTACGACAAATCGAGCGTGGATGTGATCTTTTGGTTGCTACCCCAGGTCGTCTCGTCGATCTCATCGAGCGTGGCCGCATTTCTCTCCAGAACATCAAGTACTTGGTTCTTGATGAGGCTGATCGTATGTTGGATATGGGTTTCGAGCCACAAATCCGAAGAATCGTAGAAGGGGAAGATATGCCGGGCGTTCAACTCCGTCAAACACTCATGTTTTCAGCCACCTTCCCCCGGGATATCCAAATGCTCGCCAGAGATTTCTTGAAGGACTACATCTTCCTGTCTGTTGGCCGTGTTGGTTCCACCTCAGAGAACATCACCCAGAAGGTTGAGTACGTCGAGGATGGAGATAAGCGATCTGTTCTTCTCGATATTCTCCACACTCACGGTGCTGGTTTGACCTTGATCTTCGTCGAGACCAAGCGTATGGCCGATTTGCTCTGCGATTTCCTCATCGGACAAAATTTCCCAGCTACCTCTATCCACGGTGACCGCAACCAAAGAGAGCGTGAGCGTGCTTTGGAGATGTTCAGAAATGGTCGTTGCCCAATTCTCGTTGCTACTGCTGTGGCTGCTCGTGGTATGTACTGATTTTCTTCCACCCCTTTTACCCATACCTATTCAATCACAATTTTTTCCTGAGGAGGGTCGACTCGGTATTTACTCAGAACAATTGGCGAAACATCATGTATATTTCACCAACTGTTCTGAGTAATTACGGATTCGTCTTGACAGAATTGTCATTCACTGATTCCAGTGGGCTTTGGCGCCAATGTCTGCGCTTAGCGCGGCAATCTACCGCCGCCTAGCACTTTAATTTACATTTTGTAATGTTACAATATCGTAAAGTTAGTGTGTAATTTTGTGATTGAGCCTCCAAAGTGGCTCAAACTTCAAAATGCTGTGTTTTAAGATTGAGCCCTCCAAACTAGCTCAATTTCCAAAATCTGGTGTTTTGATATTGAGCCCACTTTGAGGGCTCGATCATCAAAACGTACCTTCCTCCTCAACTTCGTGCCTTCCTCATCAACAACCACGATGACCTCAATTGATGCTACTCCTCTTTTGATGAGGAAGGAGTCTTCACAGCTCTTTCCTCTTCATGATGAGAGGAAGCATACATCCTAAATTCTACTCCCCCCTCTCTTCTTTCTTTTCATCACAACAACAACCACAACAACCTCGCCCGGCATCCCCCAACGCCTCCAGCAATCGTTCTGCTGTTGTTCTGTGATTATTCTACGACATTGTCGGTATTGGACGTCGTCCAAGTTGGAGCCTCTTAGAATGTAAGTATCCCTCACCATCACAGACAAACCAGTACGACCGATAACTGACTATTGCAGTGTGAACCCCTGTTTGAGTCTGCGAAACCGTGCTCTGACGCCCCCGACCGTCGGGACCGTGGATGTAAGTGCTCACCATTGCTTGAATCGGTAGGACCAATCACTGACTTTGTTACAGTGTTCGCTGCTGTCTTAGCTACCTCACGCTCGTCACGCACAAAGTTCGCCCTCTATCAGGCCTTTCAAATACCCACCGTTCCCCGACAGTGTCGTCCTTGAATTTCAGCATACCACTCTGAGGGTTTGGATTAGGACGTCGTCCTTCAGAAGCCTGACCGTCAGCCTGTCAACCGTAAGTACCTTGCCCCACACTGATCGGTGCAGCCATTGATCATGTACAGTCTTCTCTCACCATCGTTGCCAATTCCTCTACTTTGTTGAAATAACCAATGGACACCGACGACACTGTCTCTGTCAATTCCCCTGAGCTTTTGGTAGATTCAATGAACAGTGTTCATTTTGCGGAGTTCGAAGCTATGGATACCAGCGACGACAGTGTCGGTGATGACAGCGGAATCGGTACTACCGATTCCGACACTGTCGAGCATTTTCCGTTCTACATCGAAGACATTGCAGTATTCATTATGTGGATGACCTGGACCTGCCTGTCTCTCACCGGAATTGCTATGAAAAGCAAAGCCTTTGACGTCGTCTTTCCCACAGAAAATCACATCTCTGAATTGTTGCAAATCGCACCAACGCTTGAATTTGCTGCTGGTCTGGTAGACGTTTTTCAAGCTGCAACGCCCCCTACAATCGATTTTTTTAAGACTCTGCCACTACATCTGAACAAGAAATGGGCCGTCTACTTGCTCGTCCTTGAAAAGCCTGGTCATCTCCCTCGTGTTTACATTGGCAGCGGAACCACCTTTACAGTCGGTGTTCTCAGGCGTATGAGCACATATGATCGGAGATCTCAGCTTCACCAATACATCGACACTGTCTCGGAGTATGTCAATTCTTCTATGGATAAAGGCTTCACCATCACTCACAAGGGCCTCCTCGTCTGGGCAGATATACCACTCGCCTCGGAGAAATATCGGTTTCGCTCTCTCTTTCTTCTCCTCGAGACTGTGTTCTCTCTGTGCTTCTGGACCATGAAGAGCCGCACAAAGCATTATTTCATGCCTGGTCTTTGTCCTTGGTCTCGCGAGAGCTTCACTTATGATGGTCTCTGCACACATTTCTCGATCATGGAAATTCCTAAGGGTATTCTCCAGTACTTTACACCCGAGCAACGTGAGGCCTACAATGCTCAGGACGCAGAGAGACATACCGCACTTCAAACGAAATACACCCTCGCCAAAGGCCCAGGAGTCCACGCAGCTTGGGCAAAGCGGTCACGGGATAGAGCGTTGGAAGCTCAGACATACAAATGTACTCTTTGCGATTTGACGTTTCCCAATGAGGCAAAGCGAATTCGACATCTTGACGGCTCTGCACATAAAAAGAAGGTCGCGGGAATTGGAAGACAGACAAATGGCAGGGGCGGCGGTCAAACTGCCATTCGGAACAAGACTTTTTGGTGCGAGCTATGTCAACATGCTGCTTCATCTCAAAAGAGATTAGAAAGGCATCTCAATGCTCGGCCACATGCAAAGAAAATCAGAGACAGAGAAGCGAGCGCTAAGCTTGCCGCGAGTGTTACGCCTACAACATCTCAAACCAAGAAGCCCGAGGAACAACAAGAGCGCGCCAAACCCAATACTCTTCAGCAATGGCTGGTTGTGGGCGGTAAGCCCGCTTAACCTTCGCCAAGCGCCGGATTTTTGGACGCCGTCCTTTCGACATTGTCGGCCTGGACTCTTGGACTTTTCATTTCGTCAAATACATTTCACTTTCACTTTTGCTACTAATCATACACTCTTGGGGACCTTGCTAACTGTTTGCCATGCCTCGATATCCCGAACGTCACCCACGTGGTCAATTACGATCTCCCAACTGACATTGACGATTATGTCCATCGAATTGGTCGTACCGGTCGGGCTGGTAACACCGGTATCTCCACTGCATTTTTCAACCGTGGTAACCGAGGCGTTGTCCGGGATCTCCTTGATCTTTTGAAGGAAGCAAACCAAGAAGTTCCTGCTTTCCTCGAGAACATTGCTCGTGAAGGATCTGGCTTCGGTGGCGGTGGTGGTGGTCGCGGAGGCGGTCGCTCAGGAGGCCGTGGCCGTGGAGGTGGTGCCAACCGCGATTTCAGAAAGACTGCTGGAGGGTTTGGAGCTGGTGGTGGTGGAGGAGGATACGGCGGCAGTGGTGGCGGATACGGAGGGGGTGGTGGTGGATTCAACGGTCCTCCAGCTGCTGCTTACGGTGGTGGTGCTGGCGGTGGTTACGGTGGCAGTTCAGGTGGTGCTTATGGTCAACCATATGGTAAGTTTCTCAATTACACTATAATAGGGATTACAACTAACAGATTTTCAAGGCAACCAAGACAAGAACATGGGGCCCCAATCCTCCTGGTGGTAGAAAACCGCTTCACGACGTCGCTTCAGCCCTGTACCAGTTACCTTTTCAAAGTCATACTTGAGTCCTGGGCAAAGGGCGTTACCGGGATGACAGAAACTCATCTGCGATTCCCAACTTTTCTCGTCAATTTTTACATTTCGATTCGTCTTCGCGTTCGATTTCATATTTTACCGCAAACATTTTCCGATTTTCCGATAGCGACATGATCACGACAGGGCTAGCTTTTTCTTGTTGAATTAGGCTAGCTATAGATTGGTTGTGGTCCGCAACCCTCGAACGGCATACGATTAGATAGCGATTTTCAGGCTGTTCACTTCGTCTCGATACCCCGATAGATTGATTCAGTGAAGCCAGCCGCATGGAGCGCCACTTGCGGCGTGCCATCATGGTGCATTTACCTAGGAAGGAAGATATTCCCTGGGTTTGATACAACGCATTATGACGGTCATGTTGTCGAAATCTTTCTGCTTTAAACTTCATTCGAAGGTCATTGTTGTTATAGTTACGTTTTAGAGGATCATGCGGGCAATCTTTGTTTTCTGCCATGAGTATTTGCGGTGCTTCTTATTAGACAAAAGTGGATCTTCTCAGAGCCTTCGTAATCTTGCGACGAGGGTTCTCAAAGGAGGGAAGAATAGCGTTTCTTTTTCCATCATTTGATTTGCGTTTGGGCGTCGGAACACGCAGACCGTCAACGGATCTTTTCTCTTCATTTGTTGATTTGAAGGAGATGATCTAATGTCTGCTCTTACGCTGATGGCAAATGGAAGTGCTCCTGCCCATCCAGGCTGAGGCACATTTAGCATAGCATAGCACACAGAAAGCTACAACTACGCGTTTCAGTGGTGGAAATATGGGATGATTCTGATCAGGCTTTAATGAAAAGTCTGTTCCACATAACTATTTATCTCCTATGCCGACGTGATTTGTGATGTGTGATTTGAAGATGACGTATATAGTAATAACGACTTCCGAGCTTTTTCGTTGATTTGTCCTGGAATAAGCCTCGAGAGTCTTATTTACTGAAAACGATAGACGAAATGCATGATTTTGTGTATTTGATTGACGGACTGTGGAGTTTGGATGCTGCTTGTTTTAGACATCGAGAGCGATTAAGTGTTAGAGTCAAGGATTCTTTGATTAGGCATCGATCTAAGATGCAAGGTACTAACTTATCTTCTATCGTGTTACAATATACTCTACTGGTATTTGCAGAAAGAGGATTTTTTGACCCCTTTATCTATTTCTTCTGACCTCGCTCCAATAAAAACAACCTCTAGTATATTTCTCGTTTCAATCGTTTATCACATCGTATCTTGACTTAAGCGAAACAATTTTGACAAAATTGTCGAAATTGAGAACGGTATATTTTGTAAGAGTCTATTTGATTTATTTTATCTGTTAATCTCTTATTTGCACAAGTAACTTTTGAATAGGAAGAGTTATGACACGTGACCGAGTTCCAAACAGCGGGAGCTTGCCCGATGTGGATAATCCGGTGTTTTGCCACCTCCACTAAGTCACAACGTCAACTAACACTGTTCAGTTAAATAATGTTTATATCCATGTGTACTACGCCATAGATAGATGGATTACATATCTTCGATTCGATAACGGGAAGAGATTTTTAAAGAGTTATGCTTGCGGTATTGTACTCGCAGAAGTCAGTTTTCGGATCTTCAATTAGGCGGATTACCTTCTTGGGATGCCTCCGCAAGACCCGTCTGTTCCGAAGCACATGGTGATGTTGAGATGGCAACCAGCTGTGAGTTAACTTTCACTTTCAAGTGCTCTTCAATCCGATACTATCTCGTTATTTATATACCGAATAGCACAGTTACTAAAGTTTTGCACATTTCACATAGTCCTACGCAAATCACTAACCAGCTACTCAGAACCAGAAAAAGCGTCTCAGAAAGCGTATTTTCCGGGCTTGTGAGGATTGCAGAAAGAAGAAAACCCGCTGTGAACATGGCTTGGAATCGGACTTCGAGGAAGTTCTGCAACAAGGTGATTTTCGAAATAACTTTCAGACGGATTTTCGGAAGCGACGGCAGGAGCAAGCTCACGTGCGTGGAGATGATAATGTCGAAGGAAGTGCTTCAAGAGAGGGTTCTCAAGACTCCTCGGCTACTCCGTCACCATTTACTAATGGGGATAGGAAAGGAGAATCTTCTAAGGACGGGTCTGCTGTGAATGGAATGAGTAGGTCTGTGGAGGAGGGCAGATCAGAAGTACAGACTACGAGAACACAGAATAGAGAGGATGTCGAAACCTTGGGCTCTCGATTTATTGGCGACCTCAATCCAGAGGGAACGTTGCTAGTTGCGACCAGCCCAGATGCCGTAAGAAGTGCTTCGACAAAAGATGGCATTGGCGTATGGATATCCCAGAAGACTCGAGACAGAACCAACATCCAACAACCATCAGAAGGACGTCCATCACAAGTCGATCCCGCGACTGGATATCCCACCTTATTCCACCATTCTATGATCTCCAGACTAGAAGAAGAAGCTCGTTCAACCGTCCCGCCATCCCACAACATCGCATTCCTCTCAAAACTCTATTTCGAAAATTGCTACCCAATACTCCCCATCATCGACAGATACGTATTCGATTCCTATCCGCCCACTGATCCGCGACGCGTCTTGTTAGAGAAGGGTATCTGCCTAGCGGCATCTCGCAATTTCATCGCCAAAGACTACCTCTTTCTCCTAGGTTCTGAAGCTCCGGTATCATGTACAGAATTCGGTCACAAAATCTCCGGCTCTATGCAACTATCCATCGATTTCGGCATCGTCACAGATAAGATCGTAATCATCCAGGCCCTACTTCTCATGTGTCAGTACGCGAATGGACCTGAAGGCGGGGAGTGGAATTCTCAATTCTGCGCCAAGGCGATTCATCACTGTCATACTATAGGCCTTCATTTGCAGACCGCACGGGAGCTAAGTGGTTCTAGCTATGGCGCTAGGTTGTTATGCTGTATCTGGGCTCTGGACAGAATGAACGCTGCTTTCAACGGCAGGCCCGTTCTCATGCATGAGCGCGATATTGGGCTAGATATGTTCAAGAGCTTCCAGGAACAGAAATATCCATGCTTCCGACTTCTTCTTGAGGTTGTTAAGCTCTTGGATAAGGTGATTCGGCTCTACCGCCCATCCACCTCTGCGTCGACGAATCTCGAAGACGGATTTCCTTCTTTCGAAGAGCTGATTATGGACTGTAAAGCTTCTCAAGCACCTACGCCACTTATAGGTATGTTCGTTACACAAATGCAATGGCCCACGCTAATTTTTCAACAGCCACAGTAGAAACCCTCTACCTCGCCGTATCCATGCTTTCTTTCCGCTCCAAATCCCCCGAAGACCCTCACTCCTCCTCCCCATCACTCACCCGCCAAACCCTAGCCTCCCTCCACCTAACCACCACCACCACCCTCTCACACCTCTACACACTAACCCTCTTCCCCTTCATCCCCTACGCCATCTCCCTCTCCCTCAGCATCGCCTACCGACGCATGCGGCACAGCAAAATAGCCATGTACCGCGCGAGGGCGCAGAAGGAGATACAGGCGACGAGTCTGATCCTGGAACAACTTGGAGAGTTCTTTTGGTCGGCGGGGATGATGGCAAAGATGGGGTTGGAGACTGTCAGGGAGGTGGAGAGGGTTGCTGTGGCGGTTGTGGGGAGGGAGGGGAGTAGGTTGAGGTCGGAGGTTGGTCACAGTAACGATTCTCATGCTATTGTGCAGCAGAACTCAAATACAATCCCTCGTAAGTCCACCCCCTTTCCCCAGCTTTCCCACCTAAACAACACCCCCAAACCACCCTCCATACCTCAACTGACCTCCCCTTCATACCTCAACTGACCTCCCCTCCACCCCCAACTAACCTCCCAACCAGCTCCAATCCCCACCCCACCAAACCCAAACCCAAACCCACACCTAACACCCCCAACCTTCAACCCCTCAATGTTCGACTCCCTCACCGACATAGATCTCTTCGACATGTTCGATCCGAATTTCGATCTGAATGGCATCGACGCCGCGTTGCAGGGGAATCTGGATTTATCGTTTCCTACGGAGTTTTCATGAGGATATGGGTGAGGGGGGGATGAGGGGGATGGGGTGTAATATAATATTCATATACGGGAAGGGGGTTGTAATGATAAGTGTGAGCCTCATCGGTATTATTGTGTAAAGAAGACATACGGGAAGAAGATGTGATTGTACGTACTTGGGTATATAGCCATGGATGTGATGGCATGGGGTTGACACTATCTGGCCTGTATCACTCCATATATAGTGGAAGGTTCTTGGCACGAAAACCCCTTTGTACAATTATAAAAATTGTGCCGTACATCATCAACTCCGAAAAATAGAAGATCTAAAAAGTATATTCATGCATGATCCATCGTCCTTGCTATCTGTTTAATTTCTATAACCCGTCCCCCCTTCGGATACCCAGGAGATTGGTTATACAGTACAGTCTAGCAAAAAAACCCAGAGAAAGCTGTCCAATATCCCTCTGCAACCCAATTAAACCAATATAAACTTTTTTGATGTCAGATTACGGAATTTTCACCCATTTACAAGCCTTTTACGACCACGGCATCTCGACTTGCGCCAACGCCGATATAGTTGACAGGTACTCCGGTGAATTTCTGAGGTTTGTTAGTAAAGGGTGGTGAAAGGGGCTAGAGAAGATATACCTCAATGTATTCGACATATTCCTGTGCCTGTTTTGGTAGATCGCTGTACTTGCGTGCTTCTGTGGTAGGGGTATTCCACCCGTCCATTTCGTGATAGGTGACTTGACAATTGTCGAGACGGCTGAGATCGGCAGGCCAACTAGTGCTCACTTAGTAATGCCCAAGATATAATCGCCGAATAAATCAACTCACCCCATATCTGTTCCCTGTTCGTCTTTGTACCCAACAGCGATCTTGATTTTTGAAAACCCATCCAGCACATCGAGTTTGGTAATATTCAGCTCAGTATCTATTTGAAGTCAGCAAATGTAGCATCAAGTTTAATTAGGAGGACAAGAGGTGTTACTCACAATGATTGATTTGGCAGCTGTATTTCAAGACCACTAAATCCAACCTGATCACAATTAATTTTTGTATTGGTGACAAGGGCCGAAATTTCATACCATCCGCACCGACGTCTCCTTCCAGTGGTCACTCCCCACTCACGACCGACCTCTTGTAATTTCACGCCCTTTTAAATGTTAAAATTCCGACTGGAATCAAGATGAACTGAGTCTATACTTACACATTCCTCGGTTTCGTCTTCTGATGGAAATGGGCCACCTCCGACTAAGATAAGATTAATATCAACTGCATGTCGATGCTGTCTTAGTGCGTACCTCTAGTTGTGTATGCCTTGACTGCCAAACTGTTAGTGAGTCATAACGTGCATCGTGCCAGAAAACTTACCGACACCAATGATTGAAGTGACCTTTCTTGGGTTGAGCGCCAGTCCTGTAAAGATTCCCTGGAATAATTAGCGTTGAGCGAATCGACCACTCTGAAATCACTTACACCAAGACCAGTGTTGGATGAAGTGACATATGGATAACTACCAAAATCCAAGTCGAGCATGAGTGCATTTGCTCCTTCGATGAGAATTCTGGAGTTGCTAGCTTCCGCAGATGCAATTAACGGAACAGCATCAACAACGAAAGGCGCTAATTCCTCACGGTATTTCTGAAAAAACTTAGCATGAGTTTTGTCATCTTTCAGAACAAGAAACACTTACGTCGAATTTTGCGATATCCCGGTCGACGTCATAGGTAACTGGAAATAGTTAGCATTTCAAATTACTTGCTAATAGACTTTGAATGGCCTTGTTCGCGATCCCATAAAATCGGAGAACCGGTAATATTAAAGTGTTTGGCATTGGCTTACGCAAATCCCCATATCTTAATTTATAGGCACGCGCGATCTCTCGAATCTTGCGATCAAACAATTCTTTGTGAAAGATATCTCCAACCCGAATACCACTTCGAGCGGCCTTTGTACTGTATGTTGGTCCGATACCACGCTTAGTTGTGCCGATGGAGTTTCCTCCCAATTCAACTTCCTCGAGTCCATCAACAAGAGCGTGTACACTGAAGCTTATAAGTATTTCCCACGACTTCAAACCATAACTCTACTAACTTCAAACTCAAATGTGCCCTGTCGCTGATGAAGATTCTCTCGCGCGGCTTTTCGAGGCCTTGCGCTTCCAATTCTGCCAGTTCCTTGAAGAATGATGGAATGTGCACTACGACACCGGTTCCGATCAAGTTGATGCATTTTGGGTTCATGAGACCGGAGGGAAGAAGATGGAAATGATATGATTTGCCATTATGCGATATGGTGTGACCTAACAGATGTCAATCCTGCAATTCGGGAATATTCAAGAATCGGTGCGTGTATCGAAAAGAGGGTTGTTGTTCGATTCGCGTTTGAAGGAAGAAGGGAGAGTTAGAGGATGCGTCATACCAGCATTATTTCCACCCTGATACCGTATTAGTGATAATCATTCCAATTTTCAATTGAGTGCAAAATCTCACCTGCGCTCTTGCAACTAGGTCGGCGGATTCAGTTAAGATGTCGACCAGCTTTCCCTTCCCTTCGTCCTACAGAACCCATCGAGTCAGAGACGCACCAACCAGACTTATGCCAATTCAACACTCACCCCCCATTGAGATCCAAGAACAATTGTTGCACCCATTCCGGGAAAATATATTCCTACCACGAAGGAACACGCGTTGAATAGATGATGAAGTTGTCGTGACTGCGACGAGGTCGAGTGGAAAAGAAACAAAAACTCAACACCAGCAAATTCCTCTGATCTTGGGGCCGCATGGCGGGGTGAATGGTGGGGTGTACTGGGCATCCCGAAGAGGTTAGCGTGGAGTCTTCACCCGCTGTTACTCCGATACTTCGCGACGCGACTTTCTTTCTCCAGTCTCCATGCTCAACTTTCACTACAAGATATCGAAAACTTGAAAACTCGCCTTGATCTCGATCACACACTGCATGGGCAAGTATTCTTTGGTAACGTTGCCAACTAGGCAGACCATCAAAATCTGGTTATGCCACAGTTTGCTGCTTGTTGGCCTTCTCTTATTCTCATACGAATTGCTATTTCTGAAGCATCATTACCCGGTTTTCCTTTCTCCTTATGAATGCAACTTCTATCCAATCACCTGGGCAGCGTACGGTTTCGGCAATGTCCAGGCTCTCTGGAGATGTAACGCTTGCAATAGCAGGTTTTATTTCTGATGCTCGGTACAGTCCTATCTCTGATCGTCCTAATCATATGAGGCTCCGGTTGTACACGTCCTACACTGATATTTCTGAACTCTTCCTGATCTCAATGTGGGCCGCCGTCGATGTCAAACCTCTCCGAGGATTTCCATGTTTCTCTGTTCGTTCCCTTCGTCGCTTTTTCAATCTTCAACAAATTCCTTCGAGTCTCTTCTGAGTACGGACCAGTATGATGGCTCGAGGCCTTCATTTTATCGTACTCATTCTCTGAGAAGCATTCATTCTGTTGTTGTCTACGATAGGACAAACGTATTTTCGTTCGACCCCATTTGCTTTGATTGCATGAGTTGTGGCAGCTGTTGTCTCATATTAGTGTCATATCAACATATCAACATGCCAGGATACTCACCAAATCCAAATGGCTTTGAGTTGCCATAGATTGTTTCCCACTTCCCCTCAGGTACATCGTATACTTCGTGTCCAATACTGACCATATCCACGTCACTTCCACTCTGTGCCCACCATTCCCATCCAGCTCGATGCGCCTTGCTCGTATGCGCATAACGGTGCAGGCCGCTCAAATCTGCGAAATAGAGAACAGACATGCTGATACATTTCGTAGTAACGTCTGTTCCATAGAAGTTCGAGTATCCCAAGAGACCAAATTCCTCGGCATTCTTCTCAATCTCCATGAACATGGTGCGGCCATGATCAAGAAGTGTTTTGTATGGGGGATACATCATTCCTAGCGGGCTTTATGGTATGGTCAGGTTTCGATTCTTGATGGACGAAAAACACTTACTGATTGCATTTTGAGGTCAACATCATCACAACCACACCCCTGCCACCAACGCTATCACCAACTTCCCTCGAGAAGCTCCCGTCTGCTTTCGGGAAGATTGCAGTGGTCTTTCCTACGACCACGCCTTTCATGTGCTTGTTTTCTAACCAACCAACTATTACCATCATCGTCCTACATACTTTCCAAGTTGCGAGCGCAAACGTAGGCACCAAGCTCCATAGTAGCCCCCAAGGGCTAGATAGTACAATCACAGCTTGGAGACAGCATCCTATCACCAACCAATCTGCAATACTGAATTGCGAACGAAGGAGGTTTTGCCCATTAGATGACAGCAGTGGATGGTATTTTGACTGCCAACCTTGAGCAGTTTGCGACAGTGGCCGCTCTGATTTTGGTGCGAAGATTGCTCTGAAGGACGACATATTGGAGACAAGTCCTTAGCCGAGATTCGTGTTATGACATGAGATGATACGATACACCAGGATTAGAGCTTTGAGAAAAAGGAAATCACGAAAGTAAGCAATTTTGAGGTGAAAGCAGGTAAGATGGTCCGGCTGTTTCACTGATAGCTTATTGGATTTGAGTTGAGCAGTAGGAGGAACCCAAAGCCTAAGTATTCGAAAGCGTTTTGCTGCGCCTTATCTGACTCTAGGCTTGCGGCGTATGCCCGAAACCCAGTCCGAGTTACTCAGATATGCACTTATGGGGTCGCTCCCTAGAGCGCGGGAAGGGTACGACCTGAACACATCTTCAGAACTGTGGTGTAGATGAACACATTTTTATTCGATGGCCACAAAATTCCCCTGCATTTGTTGAAATTCAGGGTCCTCTTAGCTTCTCTTTGGCGAGAACATCGCTAAAATTAGCAGGCCAAAAGTGTGTCGAATGCTATTATTCCCGGGCTGCGGGACACCCCACATTCATTAAGCTGACTGTTGACTTCGCACATCCAACAACCGCACTATTCGAAGGTTCGGAGGACGATCATAACCTTTCATGAGGCTTTACAGCTGAATAGCCAATAGAAGCCTCTGCGACCTCGCTATCTTATCGGGTTTGGAAGTTGGCGTAACAGCTCAGGCGTTTAGCAGCCTTATCGAACCACACCAGCAAGCGAATTCCTCCGCGTACGCGCGGGCATTTTCACTGGACACAAAGGCAGTACGTATGTTGCTATCAATTTGCCAGACACTGATCATAACTCTTCATCTCTCGATCTTCAGGGAAAACTCATTTATCCCGTCAATCACTTCTCATCGCACCTATGACGAGCTTGAAATGTGTCCGTCGTGGCTTCTGGTGATACCCCCCCTTCCCCCACACCACCCTCAATTATGCCCGTTCACGAAATCACACGCCGGCTCACCATCTCCGGATACGCGAGAAGGATCTCTCCTTCTGCTACTACTGTCTTCAGCGATGTCGCCTGCTATCCAGGAACCCGAAGATCATTCCCACGTGTGACGGCTGCATGTCAGGGTCCGCTTTGATGGGAAACACCGAGCGCAGAGCATTAACGGCTGTGTCTTCGCGGGAGTGCTAGAGCGGCAGACAATAGTGGCATGAAAGCGCTATGGGACGGCGAATTAATGGGTCTGTTACATACGACAGTCAACATGTGTGAAGTTGCGTAGCTGATCTTCCGCAGGTACAGTTAAAGAGTCAGTAAACCAATCGAGGTAAGTGGGCTAGCATCTAAGCATATCCAGTTAACTCTTCTCTAGCTCTCGCACGCACTTTCTTCGTCATAGAAATGCATCATGATGATATCAGGATACATCAATACCTGCTTTTTTCTTCAAATCATGTTAGGGCTCTGGTACGAACAGTTCTTTTTGCCACCCAAACCATTTAGACATTCTCCTACCCCACGACTGCAACATGATGGGATCTACCTTAGGTACTGGGTGAGGCTTGTGGAAGATGATCCTGCCACCAGCAGATTTCCCATCCCCATTTTGGTTCTCGAACACAACAGCAGAACCGCCTCCGTTTCGGGCAGAAAAGCCCATATCTACCATGGCATGGACAAAGTTGTCCCAATCGATGGTCTTTGTTGTATCTGCAGCAGATTCTGGATACATGCAATTTAGTACTGTGAAAGCCCGTTTCTTGACTTCTATTTTGGGAAGGCTCTGATTGTTACTCGGGGTATCGATTTTTAGCGCAGCAATACCCTCTACATTGCCTTTTGAGTTTGTTTCTGCTTCAGCGGGCCGGGTCTTGTTCTTCTTCTTGGAGATGGCTGTGGTCAATTCTTCTGTTCCACTACTTCCCCATTCCTTTTGTGCTGGTCCTGCGGTAGTTCCGCGGTCTTTTTTGACGGCCTCCATAACCGCTCTTTCTTCTCCCTCCACCAACGCCTTGTAATCAGGGTTGGTGGTAGCTGATATGATCTCTGTGCAAAAACTTATTTCTCCTGCCATAAGGCCTGATTGGCCTAGAGCTAATGCGCATGACTTCTTGAGTCCATCCCAGAAATTCTCTAGAGCGGTACGCATCAACTTTTGATTCTTGAGCCATACAGTGTTTTTCTTGCCAACTGGAGTAGTAGCCTGGTGAAAGCTATCCGAGAAATCGGCTCCTAGTTTACTGATGTCTTTTTTGTCCAGAGAAAGTTGTGCGTCTGGTTTCCATGTCTTCCATGCAATTCTGGACATCTCTGTTTCTGACTCCAACAACTCGTCGAGATCACAAGCTTCATTCTGTGGTCTATGAAGACGAATCGATACTAAGATCTCATGGCATGATGCTAGATCAGAGAGCTCTTGGAACAAAAGTTCATCAATCCGTGCATTATCCTTTGCATTACTCTTTGCAAGGTGTGCTTCCAGGAAAGAGAACATGACAGCATGGTCATAGTTTGTCTGAACATCTGGGCGGCCCTGTAGCTGGGTTAAACACCATTCCAAAGGATCTTGATCGTAAAGAAGTTTCTGGTCAACAGGAGCAGCGGGGTTTCTTTCCATATGTAACAAATCTTCACCCAGCTGCGGATCCTGAGACGACGTATATTTATGTGAAAAGCCTGGCCGTTGAAACAGATTAAATGCGAGTCCGTCAGCCAAGCGGTTGACTCCATTGACTACAAGAAGTTCCAGCGCACCAAGGGCTCTGTCGTATGCCTTTGGTAAAGGTTGGCCTGGGCGAATGCTGTCACGGAATCTGTCACGAATTCCTCTGACATGCTCACATTCACTTCTGATCCATGTCATTCGCCAAAAGTTGTAGACTGCCCTGGATAGCTGAGTTGTCAACAGCAATCCTTCAGCGTGCTTGGGTATGGCCTTGTAGAAGATTCCTTGAGCCATGACTCTAATGTAACGCCTCATGTACGCTGGATCGGTTTGAAGATCTATCAGGTGGTCACCCTGAGCTGATAACCGCACATCTATTAGCGAGATGATAGCATCGATTGAGAAATAGGGTGGTGCAGAAAATGCTTGGTTTGTGTAAGGCGACCACAACTCTACTTCGTTGTTATGTCTGAACCCGCCTCTGCTCATTGCCTTCCAGTTCTTGGATGACCCAGGTACGTTGAAATCGACGCCGTCAAGAATGATATCGACGACCTTTCTGAGTCCGGTCATAAGGAGTGATTGAGCTTCAAGAACCAATTCCGCCTTGGGAAACCCAACAATATCAGCTCTATGAGCTGATTCGGCGTCCCAGTCGACAACCTTCCCATATTCAGACCCATACATAACCACACACATCGGCGAAAATTTAACATCGAAATGTCCACATGCCCAGCTCAATATCAGTTGTCTCTGATCGAACGGCGCCCAATCTTGCAATGGATACACCGTACGATTATGCAAGAGCGCAAACAAAACCGCAGGACTCGTCTTCAGAACCTCGACATTAAACCAGTGAAGCAATAGTTGCTTCCTATGTTTTTCAGTTCTCTCACCCATACCCGTTTTCTTATGAGCCCCGGTATAACAAAACAGCGGATTAATGAACCGGTACAAACAAATCTCCGGGATCGCCTTCACTAAAATCTCCTCTCTCTTCCCCCGCGCCTTCTTCTTCCACCGACTCATAATCAGATCACCATGACTCTCTAACCGCTTAGTTAGGTATTGTCGATCCGACTCAGATTGCTGTACATGATCGCTAATGATCTCCTGGACCAGCATGGGATGAGCCGTTAGATTCGCTTTGTACCAGAACATGGGCCGAAATTGTTCTTCGATGGCGTAGAAACTGTGTTGACAGTCTATGCATCGGCATGGTGGGCTTAGAGCGGATTTCAGGATGTCATGCTGATGGACGACAAAGGTGAGGGGGTTCCCGGGCCAGGGAGGGTGGGTGGTGGGGAGTTGGGGAGGCATGGCTGGAATGTGAGGTTTGGTTTCGATAGGGAAAGGGTATAGATGCAAGTGACGCTGAGAGTTTGGAAGCTCTGTGAACGTAACTCTGCTTATGAGGGGAAAATGTCTTGAGCATAACGAGGCTGGCGTTTGTTGTTGGGGTGGTTGTACAAATGCAACTCTGCACGTGCGGGGGGGTTTAGAAGTCACATTAATAGAAGCATAACCATGGGGTTTTCGTGACCTCGATAGCTATAGCAATATTTAAGAACGATACTACAACGCACATGAGTCTTTGCAGGTCTATTATTGTACCTTAAAGGGTTGTCCCAAACTTGGGACGATGAAGGGGGGCGAATCAAATCAAGCGAGAAATGCACGGACCACATAGTTTCTTCCCCGAGATTACAGTACAGGCTCCTCGACTTTGCAAGCTCAACCACGACCATAACTCTTGTTAATTAGTTGCGCGACGTCTTTACAATTATATCCAATTACCCTCTTTCAAATCCAATGGATATTCCACATATGTCTCCTCAACCGAGCTCCCTTCCAGCTCATATATTGGCAACACTCCCATCACCTCGCCCGGCAGGAATTTGAAATTCCCTTCTGCTTCAAATGTATCCTGCGGTTCCATTTCTGCCAATGGATCAAACCTGGCATCTCCTTCAGCCTCATATTTCGCTTCCCCTTCGACTTCGGTCGTCGCTTGTTGATCGATAATCACTACTTCGATGCTACTGTGAGCTGAAGCGTCGTTATTAGGGTCATCGCGTCGCTTGTGGATCAAAAAGAACCAAGTTGTGGCTGCGAGTATGCTGATGATTGCGAGGATCCCGATGACTATTCCAGCGATTTTCTTTTGGCTGAAGCCATGACGTTTGGGAGCACCGTCGATTGAAGACATGGTGGAATTGTCCGTGGCTCGTAATGGTGGAATGGTAACGATACGCTCTGGAGAGTTTACTTCCCAGGTACATGGGTACACTGAGAAGTTCTTTCGCTCGTAATCCACGATTAGATGAGCTTCCTGGAGAAATGTCCGCCCGAGGGTATACTGTGTATCATTTGCTGCTCTCCGCAACGGAAAGTATCGACTTGAATTACCAGCGACGACTGGGAAAGAAGCTTTCAGGTCGAAGCTTTGGTACGGAAGCACAATATCGACTGTTGCTCCTCCCGTCGCCATGTCACCGATTTTGAAAGTTACAGTAGGGTTCTGTGTCAGAAGCTGGGAATGCAGAGTGTCGTTGACAAGATACAAACCAGCTGTGCTATTGAACGTCAATCCGAACGCGGCTTCAAACGCCGTGCAGACATCCAGTGGCAACCAAAGTTCAGCGATAGACGAGTCGATGAATATGTTGATACCAGCATTTATCAAACTGGTATTAGCTCCCGTCGCGTTGGTAAACAGTCCTTGCAATCCTACAGTCAAGTCCCTTGATTGATCGCTAGCAAACCGGAAGGATAAGTCGCTAGATCTTGATCTGCTTGCATCATATCCGCCTAGTACCAAGCTTCCCAGAACTTCCTTTAGTCGATACTTCGCACCAGCTGTGTAGCTGTACGAGAGACTCGGGATCTGGTTCTGCTGCTTCAAAAGCATCATGAAGCTTGGTTTCGGATTGTTGAGATCTGTGAAGTTCGTGGGTTGCGGACTCAGACCGAGCTGCCCGAACCAAAAGTTGGAACCAGCGATTCCGGCGACGATTGTATGGTTTATGGTTGGATTGCCACTTCCTTGGTATCCTAAACTGACTGATTTTGCATTAGCTAGAGTGTGCTGGCAGAACGGCAGAGTGCAATTTCCTTACTGGTATCATAGCCAAATCGGCCATTGTCTGTATAGCCAAGATTGTTTTCAAAGCCCAGTCCATAAATTCCCACGTCACTCCATGTGGACGACTGGTTTGTTTTGAAAATGCCACCTCTTGTGCTCTCACATTCGGTGGAGGCTCCGAGACAACCTTCTGGTAGGACTACCAATGCAGAGGTAGACGTTGTACCTGGGAGAAATCGGACATTCTGCGGTGGGTTTCCAACACGCATTGCAAATGTCGACCACAATCCATCGTTGCCTTCACTTCGTTCAAATGTCAGTATTTTCTTGAAAGGTAGAGTTTCTACTTACAAGTATTGGCTTGGAGAGACGACGACTGGCAGAGGCTCAGCATCCACGCGTTTAACCACGACAGTCGCATTCGAAAATACAAAGAAGGAAACAAGAAGAACGAAAAGTAAACATGGAGTGGGCGTCGGAATCATCTCTCCTTCTCCATATTGTTCTTCACGAAGCAAGAATACGAAAATCGAGTAGGCTTTTCACGATCCATACATCCTTAATAGATGTTCGCGACAGGAACCAGGCTCCTACCTTATCTCAAAAACACGCTTTCAATACCATAAGCTTCCTCAACTCTTCCCTCGCTTTCGGAGATGAAGAAGAATTCAGCCTCTGATCTAGGTGACAGTTGCTCTGAAACATGACCTCCTTTTTCGGTCGCAATAACCGAGATGTTGGGAGCCTGAAGATGCGCGATCCTTAAAGTGTCACAGGATGCTGAATAAGGACCACATTCAGCATCGTCGATCATTGCACCTTAAGCGAGAAATACTACTCAATCAATTTTCTCGCACTTCATATCGGTGGAGCCCGAAATGAAGATGTTGAGCTGAGACGATATCGTTGTTGGGTTCGTTGACTATTATTAGTTTGATATACCCGCAGGATGCACATCTCAAAGCTGATCCATTCAGGTCCCCAATACTACCACCATCTCATTTACTCCACTCCCTCCCATACCTTGCAAACATTCACATCTTCCAGAGCCATCCATTCTCATGAAAACCTGAGTATCCTCAGATCATCATCAGCCGGATATAACCTAAATCACCTTTTCTAAATCGGAGACGGGGATCTTTCCTCTCGAAGACACGCGCCGATGTGGTGTTTAATTGCTTACCCTTTGAGATACGAGAATGTGCACTTAAGTCTTGTGGGTTAGATCCGTTTTTTTGTTCTCCACTTGTGTTTGCATCATGTTTTGTATGTATAGATTGCTGGTCACGCTTGGCGTTTTGCTTTTGGTGAGAGATGTATATTGTAAGTCGAATTTCTAGGTTGGTATTTTACAATGATTAATTGAGGAATAGGTTTATCATTGCCTTCACAGCCTCTAAGTAGCATATTACATGTCGAAAATAAGGAGGCTCTTGGTGCCGCCCAAAGAGATATTGGCTACCGAAAAGACCCCACAAAAGTTATAGACTCCTCTGAAAAGCTTTCTCCCCCTACTGTACTCATCAAAAGAGCATTCGAGGTCCCTCAGAACTCTGGTCCTCGCCACCCCCTAAAATCTTGCTCAAATTATGTCCAAGGATCCGTTGGCAAATGTGGTGAGGGAGCAGATATTGCTACGAGCTCTGGATCTGGGAATCACACAGTCACTCAAGCCTACTCAAAGACGCAACCTGACCGCCTCACAAAGACTGAAGATGAAATCACCAAGAAGCCTTTTACCACGACGCCAGTCTTTCAGGTACCAGCTCGACAATCAAGTCTTTCTCATCAAATCCAAGCAGAAGTTTTGACAGCCATCTCGACGGCGGTGGGACTTGCTGGACCTACTGCACATAAGACTGCTGATGCTTTCTATTTAGTATCGAGTAGTGTTTCTGATTATTCAAAGGTTAAACCTTCTTCTTCTTTGTCACGAACAGTTGTTTTGCACAAATCATGGATCCGAAACACCCATCGTCACAATATTCAGGGTTTTGGCAATTTTAGATGTGCTTACTATGGAATAGGTTCAAACGATAAAACCGACCGCACACGCAAGCATGCTATATCCAGCGCCAATTCCACCACCGGAAGGATCAGGTGATACAGGCCCGCATAGACTTTCCTCGAAGATTGGGTTGTTTCTCAGTGGAAATCAAGAGGTGAGTTCTGCTTTAATCCATGGAATCTAATTCAACTCTTGAATGAGTACCCCCACTAACAAAAAAAAGACACGAACTTTAGCTACGCCAACAATTCCAAACGATTTACTTCTACCCGTTGCGTCGCGACACCCAGGAAATAGCATGGCGATTTCTGGCGAAACTACGACTCGGCAGCCCTTTGCTCTTGTTTCTGAGCCAGCTTACACAACTATTCCCTCATCTCCAACTCATACTTCGTACTCTTTCATCCGCATTGTAGGCATACCAGCTCCTCCGATGGTTGTGAGCACTCAGACGGTAGGCCTCACCCGTCCGTCTACCGCGAAGCTTCTCCCTGATCTCGATGCAATCACAAAGATTGTGTTGGGTAACTTACCGTATGCACTCACTAGTAAGATCGGCTTACCAGAGGGCTCGGTTCCTACGCCAGCGGTGGGGAATGGTCCGTTACGTGCAGGTGGGTATATTGGAATTCAACAGGATCCTACGAATACTGTGTTTCGAGAGGAAGCAGCTCCTGCGACGAGACTTGATGTTATGCCGGATGGTCTAGCTCCTAAGCCATCTCCTACTGCGACTTCAGCGGAGGGAGCAGACGTTGATGCAGAAGATGAAGAAACCACTGAAGATAGCCCGACGATACCAGATGTACCGTCGTCAAGCTTGACCTCTGAACCAATACTAGATGAAGAAACCCCCGATTCCGACACGTCGACGATTCATGAAGACGACGTTAACGGAGTCGTTGCTATCCAAACCGCAGTCGATGGTTCCGTTGATTCTTCAAAAACAAAACCTGGGGACTCGAACAGCCAAAACATTCCAGTTGAAACATACGTCGGAGTCCCAGCCAACACGATTGCAAACCCCCTAACTCCAGTCTTAGACCACACAACCGGGAGTCCAGCTCTCAGTAACTCTCCACAACAAACCTCAAAACCCGCTGTTTTCGTCACATCGTCGACGCACGTATGGGTTTCAGGCGACAACTTGTCATCTTATGATAATGGCGATCCCACTGATACCTTGCCCTTCACGCATTTATGGGAGCCGGGAGCGGCCTCGGTGTTGACTTCGATGGCGGCGCTCAGCCCGGCTGGACCGCAGATTACTTCTAATCCGTCTCTTACTTCGGTGATTGAGGTGCCTGTTGCGGCGGATGGGGATACTACGTCTGTGGGGGAGGATGGAGATGTAAAGAGTGTCGATGGGGGGGATGGGTCTCGGAATACTGCGTTGCCAGAGGAGCCGCAGAGTCCCGTGACGACGGTTTCGAGGGGTGATGGGAGAGTTTCTTCGGCTGTTACGGTGCCAGTTCTGCTGGATACTACGGCAAAGAGTCCGGGGGCGGCCGTTACGTCTCTACCGGATGCCGGGTCTACGGATGATGTGCAGGATGAATTCCCAGATGAGGCTGCTGCTACAGATTCTCCTCTTGATGGAGCGTTGCAGGGCTTGGGTGTTCCGTTTTGGGTTACTAGCACCGCCGAGGATGCGATTGCTACTATCGCTGCGGCTGTAACGTTGCCTGTCGAATCTGCAGGTCAATCGGCAACTGAGGTACCAGATGCTGCCGCCGACGATGATCTGGAAGATGGTGACGAAGGAGACTCTACGAGTATTGGGATATCTGCAGCGGCAGCTAATAGTCAACCTAACAGCCCGACAGCTGTCATTTCTACACCGCCGCCGGTGATTCCTGATGTATCTCTTATAGAAACTGGAATAGATCAGGATCCCGAACCAGCACCAGCACTTCCTGCCTTCAGCATCATACCAGGGCAATCAACGGCGGCAATCGGAACGGGCGAGAAACCAAGTCCTCTTAGAACTGTCAATGGTGCACTTAGCCAATTTACCAATCCTACAGCGGCGGTTTCTGGTCTACCGTCTGGCTCTCTGGGAAATTCCATCGAAAGTGGAGTGCCACAGGAAATTCAACAAGGAAGCATGTTGACAGCTGAGACGGGATATGATCCAAATGATTTGGCAACTGGGACGGGCATACTTCCTACATCCATGGCGGTATCAAACCCACAACAAGACAGCAACCCTCAAGATACACTAGTCGTCGTGACACTGAATGGCCAAATCACCGCAATCACCAAATCAGCTCTCCACACTTCCATCCCCTCTGGTAACCACAAACCACAACCCACATCCTCCCTCATCCCCAGCCAACACTGCGACCACAACCCCAAAGAAATCATCTCCATAACAGTAACAGCAACTAAAACCCTCCTATTGACAGTCACCAGACTGATACCCATCAACCCCAGCACCATCAAAAAAATATCGTCCAGCAAAGGGGTTCGCTCGAGTAAATCAACTAGAAAATTCAAGAGTTCAAAGACCTCATCAGTCCAATCTCAAACGTATAAATCGACGATTACATCTCCAACGTCTTCGATTGCGTCCTCAGTTTTGGTAGAGAGTGCGAGTTTGATGGTTAATGCCACGAGTACGACGCCGGTGACGTTGTCGACGGAACAGAGTAGGATGACGGGGACTGCGAGGGTTAGTGTGGGTGCGAATTCAGCGGTTGGGAGAGGGGTTGGATGGGGGAGTTTGGGGGTGCTGGCGGCGGTCTTGGTTGGGGCGATGGTGGTTTGATTAGGGACTGGCGTTGATGGTTTGAATAGAGGTTGGCGTTGGGGTGTCTGGGCTGCAAGGGGGTTTTCTGTAAGATTCATAGGCATTTTATAACTGTTGTTTCATAATTTAGATTGTAAGAATAGAGACTGGTGAAATTTATCCAAGTAGTTAGATGATACTAACTTAAAACAGAGTCCTCTTCCCCCAAGAAGATCTAAGTCTAACCCATCAAAATATCCTAAACTGCAGTCCATCACCTCATATACCCAAGCACAACCCACAACTCAAACCACACTCACCCCCTCCTCTCCCTCTCCCTAAGCATCTCCCGCATAATCCCCACCAACTCCTCCCACCCGACCACCAAATCCCCAGCCGCTCCCCTCTCAGCCTCCCTCTTAAACGCAAACCCAACCACAATCTTCCCCAACGTCTCAATATCCCTCCCATTAGCCCAACTCGGCGTCCCCGCCAACTCCCTAAACAACCCCCTCACAACCCCCTTCTCCCTCCCATCCATCTCCCCAATCCTCACTCCCAGCTCCCCAACCCTCTGCCGTAACAAGCTCAAACACTGACCCGGCGGCATAACCTCAAAACTAATCTCCGTCGCGAAGCGACTCGCTAACCCTCTATTAACGCGTAATAGCGCACGCATATCCTCCGCGTAGCCCGCGAGGATAATAACGATCTTCCCGGCGTACCTAGGTTTCGTAACGCAATCCACGAGTTCGCTGACCGCTTCCTCGGTAAAAGCACCGCGGGCAGCGAGTCTGTATGCTTCATCCACGAACAAAACCTTACCTAGCGCGGACTCCAGGAGATCGATAACCTTCGGCCCCGTCTGACCCTGATACTCGGCGACGAGGTCGGAGACGGAACATTCCAGCACGTCGGGCGCGGCTAGGAATCCCATGTCGTAGAAGATCTGCCCGATTTTGCGCGCGGTGGTAGTTTTCCCTGTGCCTGGCGGCCCGGAGAAGATATATGTGAATGGGATGTGCGGACGTGGATCGATGTTATGGAGACGCATGCCCGAGACGATCTGCGCGTAGGACTCGAATTGCGCGGCGATTGCTTCTTGGCCTATGGTGTTGGCGAAGAGGTGCGCGGGGGAGGCGCCGCGGGTGAGGATGCGGTGGTAGTTTTTGTCGAAGTCTTGGGGTTCGAGGGTTGTGGTTGTGTAGGTGGATGTGAAGGATGTGACGGTGCGTTTTTGGGATGAGAGTTTGGCGCGGGTGAGGAGGTTTTCGACTTCGCCGCCGTTGCCGAAGTTGGGTCGGTCGCGGGAAAGGGTGAGCATGTGGATGGCGATTTCGCGGGCGGTGGGCGTCATGATGAGGTCTTGTTTGTGGACTTTTTGGTCGAGGATGGCGCCTAGTTGGGGGACGCTGAAGTTGTAGAAGTTGAAAGCATCTTCCATTGGAAAGCGACGTGCGAGTCCTGGATTGGAGTTTGCGAACATGGTAAGCATTTGTTCGGTGTAGCCCATGAGAATAACACATCTATCTTCCCCTGGTGTGTTTTGGATTTGCGAGACTAAAGTGTCGATGACTGCGATGCGGAATATGTCGGTTTTGTTACATTGCTTGCCTCCTGGATAAAGCATATGTGCTTCATCGATAATAAGAACTTTACCCTTGGCGGCGTTGAGTACGGACTTGGTAGCATCTTCAGACCAACCAATCCACTTGCCAATCAAATCACTTGGGTTGCGGACCATTATCTCTGAGCTAGAAAGTAATCCAAGGTCGGCAAGAACTTGAGCGTAAAGCTTTCCAACAGTGGTTTTTCCAGTTCCAGGAGGGCCTAGGAAGAGACGGTTGAGGCTGACTTGCATTGGCGGCTGTTTTTGGAGTTCTCGTTGATAGTTCAACCCTGCTTGATATGCGAGTGATCTTATGGCCGAGATAATTTCTTCAATTCCAACCATCTCACAGAGTTCTGCCCAAGCTTTGCTGGTAGCGAGAGCGTCTTTTGGAGGTGGGCCGATCAAATCCTCTTTAGTCAAGAAAAAGTCATCTGGCTCTTCGTTATTGAGCCTTGCCTCTCGAATTCTGTTGGAGGTCAGTTCTGTTCGAAATAGGTCTCAGGCAGATACTTACCGATCGGCTTGACGCTCAAGAACTTTAGCAAGAGCCGACTTAACAGCGCTGCCATTGCCAAAGCCATCAGTACCTCTGCTACCCGCCAACCTATTAATCAGAATGTTTGTATAGAGTCCATCATGCATCCCTTCAATCACCATCTTATCCCCAAAACGTGATCGAACCAGGTCTCCAAACATTTTGAGCAATTCGTCATTCTCATAATCCTTGAACTTTATGGCATTTGGGATTCGGTCTCGGGCACTTGGATTGAATCCAAGAAGTTTTTCCATCTCATCGTTGTACCCAGCGAAGAGAAAAACAATTTTGCCTTGATAATTCTCAATTTCGCCAAGTAAGTTTTGAACATGATTCTCACGTTCGGCCATCTGGTCAGCATCGTCAATGAAGACAACCTGGTATGATCGTTTAGTAAGAATTTATGACCACCCAGGGTGTACTTACACCTCCACCATTTTCCTCTAGTCTTTTGAGAAGACTGGAAGTACCAGTAATACCTTCGACACGGACAACCTCCATGGCTCTCATAGATCTAACGCTATCACGAACCACCTTTAGTGCCGTGAGAAGTTTAGCATATAATCGAGAAGCGGTTGTTTTTCCTAGCAGGTGTCAGTCAATGCGATTGCCGTGCGCATACTCCTAATAGCAATGGGGATATCATAGAAGAATGAGCTCTGACCTGTTCCTGGATTTCCGTAAAAGGCTGTGTTGAAGTTGTGTTTCTTGAGATCAATTTCCTGACGATTAGCTGTCTCTACCATCGCTTTCAAGCTATGGCAATGTGCTTTAAAGTTCACGAGACCAACCATTGCATCAATTTCCTTCAAAATGTCATCAGGCGTCGGCGGTGGTGGGTCTGGTACGGATTCATCGGATTTTTCAGATGCTGCATCGTTGTGCTCTTCTTCCGAGGTCTTCTCGGTGCCAGCGTCTGAAGCATCGTCTTTGTTTTCCTCTACAGTTTCATCTGATTCCTTCTCCGTACCAGCATCCGAAGCTTTGTCTTCTTGTTCCTCGGCGGTCTCATCAGAGGGTTTATCTTGTTGATCTTCCTTATCCTCGGACTCCTCACAAGCCTTTGACTCATCATCAATTGATTTGTTTTCCTCTTCTGCAGGTTTGACGTCTTCCTCACTTGTGGCGTCACGGGAACTTTTGTTGTCTTCATCACCTTTCGTGTCATCATCACCTTTCGTTTCTTTGTCGCTTTGGACTTCTTCGTCACTTTTAGCCTTTTGGCTATCGAGATTTGTTGTATCTGCTTCGTCCACCTTTTCAGATGGTTGAGCTTGGCCTTTTTCCTCTTGCTCACTGTCTACCACATTGTCGACTCCTTCAGCTTTCCCGTCCGGTTCACCATCACTGTTGATGCGAAGCGCTTTTGAGTCCTTGGGATTGATCTTGGTTTCATTCTCGTCGTTGTCAGTCTGCGGAATATCCTGCTCAGATACCACATTCGAGACTGTTGTTGTGACTCGGTCGTCCTCAAGAGCTGCTGAAGTGTTGGATGCTGGATTCTCTCCATCGTTGATTTCCAAAGTAGCGGCAATTTGTACGGCATCCTTTGAAACGATTTCTTCTGTTTCCAGAGGCATTGTTGTAGTTGAAGTACTGCTATTCAAAGTACTGCTATTCTGTTCGCAATTGTCTATTGTTGGTTCTGTAGAAGTTGAATCGTCTCCATGGCTTTCCTCGCTACTGGGGGTATTTATACCCCCATCTGATGAGTCAACCTCTACGAGTATCTGCTCACCCTCAACCTGTGTTTCGGGTTTCTCTTCAACTCCCATAGCGATGGTTTCTAGCGTACAAGAACAATTGCAATTGGAAAAAAAAAGATAAACAAAGTAATATCCCAAATTCAAATATCAAACCAACAGTGAGCTCACCATCGTCTTAAACCCACGAACAAAGTCAAATTGACTCACATGGCAACATTACCATACATCAAATCCCCATCCTTCTAGGCTGCAAACAAGGCAACACATAGTGGAGAAAGGCGACAACGACCACTCGAAACGTTTATCTCAGCCTCAACATCGCCAGCGACATATACGTACTCGCTTAAATGCCTGCAATTGGGGTTCGGTAAACAAAGGGGCAAGGTGTGATGAACTGGGAGGCTGGGAATGGGGTTCGGTGACTCGGTGTGGAGTATTTAGCGTAGGCTGCGCAGCTCTATCCTGTTGGGTATAGGGAGAAGGACGAGTTACGATCCGTGGATAAGATCAAGAAGTTTTCTTGCATGTTGGATTGTGCTGGACGAAGTAATGGCGGACAATACCTGTCCCGACTCTCGAATCGAGCGTAACGATCTTAACGCCGACGTGTAGATCACGTGATTTACTATCTTCGGGGTTATAGCTATAATGTTGAGACATGCAATAAGAGGATGCGTATTACTATAAAAGAGCCATCTAGTAAAGTATATTGTCTTGCTTGGGTCTAGATACTTGTCGTTCATGTAGAAAATTTTGTCCGGAATCAACTTCAGCTTGGACAACAGCCGGGCCGATAAAGGTTGGCAGGATTCCTTGGTGAGCAGAGAAAAGAAAACGAAAGTTCATAGACTTTTGAAAAATGATTAACATTATTGATATATACTTAAATAATCCAGAACTAATATGTCGCTATTTACAAACTGTATAGCCAGTTTTGAACCCTTGAGGCTTCCACTATCTTCCAATCCGTCCCTTTCTCAGATCAGCTGGCGGCCACAGCACAGCGATCCCCCATCCAAAAACCCCGAATAGAATCTATGAACACTTCAACCCAGCAACCCAACGCCATCATATATCCCATCATGTATTATTTCATCTATAACCCAAACCCGAACTTCCCAACCCAAAAAGTCCATCACAATTCCGGCAGCGGTATCATCTTCCCACCACCAACTCTCTCACACAACCGTCTCCAAACATCCTGAGCACTCTTATCTCTTCCGCACAGATCCAACAGATTTTCCCTTCTCTGATTCTTCCCGACCATAAACCAAATCATTGCTTTCCTCTTCCGATCTTCATGATATTTAACCATCTGTTCCTCTGATTCGAACACTTCGCGCTCTTGAGAGTGGACGAGACCTTTGCCCGCGAGATAGACTAGGATATCTGCTTTCCACAGCGGAGTTTGCGCTGGGTCTCGATTTTGATCTTCCTCTTCGTAGGATGGAGGAGCCGGTGAAAAGACTTCTGCTGATGTAGCTGCTGGACGAGCTGGTGATGCATCAGGACTGCTTTGACGAGAGTAGATATTCCTGACAACTGGCATCGATATAGGAACGCCTGCTATCGTATCAAAGCACGCATTGCATCTGATGGGATCGTGACAAGTCATAACGACGAGTTCAACATCAACACTGAGAAAACATAGATTTTTGCAAGTTCCCTCGTTTTCAGAAATTTCAAGACAGGACATCCATCTTGTATTAAATATGCACGATCACGTAGCTGCACCTCTACGAATAGTTTCAGAAACTAGTCGTGGTCTCGCCTCTGCCCCTGACACTATTGCCCGCCGAACTCTGCTGCTAAACCTATCTTGATAGTAGACGTACCCGAGCGCGACGCTTGATCCCACAGAAATCGGAAAATTGAAAAGGTAAATTCTCCTAAAATAACAGCTTATCGCGCAATCCTGCTGCAGTTGATGTTTTGATTTTTCGCAGGTTCGTTGGACGTGGCATGCAGCTGTGCAACGTCATGAGTGGTGATTCGATCGTGATATGGGTTTGGATCGATTGAGATGGGACACGTGGTCTAATCAAGAAATTGAAACGCAGCTAAAGTTGATAACAGATAGTTTAGATGTTTGGCGTCTAGTCCTTTGCAAGTTGGCGGTTCTTGATTCAGCTGGAAACGGGAGTGGCTTTCATTTTCTCAAGCTGAATGTTCTGTATTTGATATGTCGATCAAGAACTCGAGAATCTTGACTGTCCTCTGTAATACAGTTTTATAATAACATGTGATAAGCTGGCAAGCTTTATTTTCTGGACTGCAAGTGCATCTTGCGTTTCCCATATTTATAGGTACTGCTTCTGTCTTTCTCTAGCCAAGAGTAACCTTAATACAAAATAAAGATTGGTGGGAATTTTAAACTTAGTCTGCAATAGACAAGTGACGGTAGCTTCAGAGAAAAATATGCAGTTAACAAAAGGTTTCATGCTTTAACTTCTCGAAAAATACGAAATTCCCACATTTAAAAAGAAATTTGGTTTTGGACTAGGCAACTATTTGCTTCGTTTGCTAGACTCTCAATATTTCGCCTTCGAGGACCTACAAAATAATATTAATACGCAGACCATAAAGCGCTAAAAAAGGCGGCCAGTATATACTTTATACAAGGTGGTTTGAAGATCTCTGGTCCTACACCAATCAACAACCTCGATCTAATCTAATCTAATCTCCGCCCAACCCCACATCCTCAAAAAAAGTTCCATACACCTACCGCATCACCTCCATCACCTCCCCATCACCTCCCCTCCCCCTCCTCCCATCACCTCCTCACACCCACCACCACAAACCTCCCACCATCCTCCAAAATGAAACTCCTAACCCTCAACTTCCTAACCTGCGCCGTAAAAGCCTGCAAATCCAGCAGCTTATCCTTCCCCCTCCACCCAAAAGACTGCGAGTTAGTAACCGACACCATCGCGCTGAACGAATTACTCATCACCAATGTACTGCCGCGGCTGGATTGGAGTGCGTTGTCGACTATCGCTACAGAAGTAATCTCCCCTTTCCTTTTCTCACACCCATCCCCATCTCCCTCCAACCCGATCCGAACCCCATCTACAGCATGCTAACTGCGTTACGCTGTAGTTAGGATTCCCCGCTCTGCCGCCCACACCACCGACGACCGAGGAATTAAGCACAAACCCCACGATGTTAAAAGAATTACATAATCTGTTATTCGAGACGCAGATCAGCGAGGGGAGTCTGGTATGTGGGAACTGCGGACACGAGTACAAGATCAAAGAAGGGATTGCGAATTTCTTGTTGCCGAATCATTTGGTTTAGGATGGCACGGGTGCAGATTATAAGGAAAGGGGGAGAAAGGTGGGGAAGGTGGATGGGTCGAGGTGCGAGGAAAGACGGGGGGAGAAGGAGGTGGTCGAGTTGAAGGAAGAGTGGTGAGGTGGATGGGATGGGGTATTGGTTTCGCAGGAATGAGAGAGGGAAAGGCGATGGGGAAGGAATATTTGGAGGAAGGCATGAAGGGTGGATATATTGGTTGATGATACCCGGATGATCTATGCTCTGGCGTTACGGAAAGATAAAAGGGGCCGGAAAATAAAGTTGAGTTTGGGTGTCAAGCTACCTGGACACTGGCAGGATCTTGTGTGTTGAGCATCAAATTTTCTTCTGGTTAATGAGTAGTCTAAGATGTTGCGGATGTACTGGGAAGAATGTCTACGGAATTTTTCACATTATAAATCTAGATCGACAAAAGGATCACATGTTCACAGCGATTAGTCAAAAAATTTATCAAGTTTCCACATCAGAAAGATCTATTCTTTCATCTCCATATCTCAGGGACTACCTAAAGTCCTCCCATCACATCAACCCCAGCTATCTTTTTACATCCACCGACTAGCAAGCCATATAACGCATTAACGACCATCTCACTTCCTTTCTATTCATACAATCAGTAATGCCCCTTCCTCTCCAACCCCCCCATTTATAATCACCCAAGCCGCTGATGAAGCAGTGCCGAAAGCTGCCCCCTACCCATGATCAAACCGACGCAAGAGACATCAAGTCCAGCTCTCGAAATCGGGCATGATCAAAAAACAAACACATTTAACGCCGCAAAAAGGGGTCTCGGTTGAAAGAGTACTTTTTTTGCCCCCAACCCACCCGCCGTTTGAATGCATCGCAGAGAAAAAATATCAAATAACCGGGTGGGATTTCCCATGCCGCACAACTCCGGAATGTAAATCGAAATAAATTCGTCGTCGATAAAAGCCGTCTTTCAAAAGAAGTTGGGTTACATGTCGTTGATAGACCAAGGAAATATTAATTAAGGAAACCTTTACAGGCCACTGTTCCACAGAGGCAAGGAATACGATCGGTAGCCCCGATCTCACGCTCAAATTTGTAGTCGTAGGTGAGTTCCTCATCTGTGATATATTAGTGTGATATCTTTGAACGCGGTGAAAAACTTACTCATAGCGATGTCACGTAACGCGTAAATGACAATTCGCTTGCTTTTCTCCACGGTGATGATTTTGGCCGTGCAGTTCGGCATACAACTGTGATTGATGAATCTTGCGATTCCGCCCTTCTTGGTTGCATCTACAACAGTATTCTCATCGATTCGGAAAAGGTAACTGCTGCCAATGCCACTTCGTAGATAATTGTTTTCACGAAGGTCCGCAACTTGTTGTCGGATCTTTTCTCCCACATATTCAATAATCATATCGTTGATTGCAATGTTCTCCATAGCATACAAGCCCCAATTGTGAATTGCCGAACGAGCGAATTTGACGGGCTTCTTACGTTTCTGAAGCTGGTTGAAACGCAGGGCATCAGATTCGCCCCCAAGAGCCTTCTTCTGATCTTCAAGGCCTGCCACAAAACGTCGGTTATTGACACGACTCGCTCGTGAATTCCCTTTCGCTTGCAATTTCTCTGCAGCCATTTTGGCAGCTTCGGCAGCTTCAGCAACGATATCTTTGCCTGCCCTGGAAGCCTGGGCTTCGCGCTCTTCGCGGGCTTTCTGGACTTTGATTCGATGTGGGAGGTATTTGGATTTGGTGTCGTTCAGGATCTTTGTGTATCCTTCAGTACGAGCACAACCTGTCTTGTTGCGCACGTAGTAACCTTCGACAGCAGTGTCGGTCGTCACGGGCCCGCACACCCCACCACGATTGAGAGATTTGATTTGATCTTGCTGCCACGACCATGTTTGCACATTGACAACTGGTCGAGGCGATTGGGACTTTGATAACCTCGAGGCTTTGGACCGAAATAGTTCCAATGCAATAGGAGTATCTTCGTCATCTCGTAGGATAGTGCGGAGCCCATCCAAATCAATAATGGTTCGGAAATCGTCGACAACCGTAGCAGTTGGGTGATGCAAAGACTTGCCCCAGTCGACAGAAGTCTCCACGGGAGCCTTTTCAATAACGTCCTCGTCATCATCGAGCTCAATCTCATGTACATCGCTAGATGGCTGAAGAAGCTCCTCCATGTAGACGCCTTCTTGTTGTTTTTTGAGGGCCTCTCGCTCTTCAAATATTTGCTTCTTCGATTTCTTTTTCTTCACAGCCTTTGCTTTCTTCGTATGCTCCAGAGCATCGGCTTGAGATCTGAGCACGCCGTCTATGTCGGTCATGGCAATATCTTCATCAACAGTTGACGCAGATAACGGGAATTCGCTCTCGATTTTATCAGCATCGATACCGAATAGCTCCTCATCAGTCTTCTTTTGTCGCTTTAAGGCTGCTTCAACATGCAGGTCAAGTTTGCGTTTCTTTGAAGGAACAAGAGAATCTCCAACAACAAAAGCTGCATCGCTTGCAGAATCTTCATCCCTTGTGTCAATCGATCTGGAATCATCCTTTGATAGATCTCTGTCGACACTGGGACCAACTTCTTCGTTGTCAGACGATTCGTCATCTGAACTCATCCGGCTGCGAGATCTTGATTCAGGTTCTTCGGTAAAAATTGCACGAGAGCGGTCTTCTGGCTCTTCGTCGGAATCGTCTTCTTCGATCCATCGATGCGCAAGAGGTCTGACCACCGGCTTCCTACTTTCTGCACGTTTCCTGGCGAAAGGATCTTTGAAACCAACATTAAGGTTCTTGTTCTTTTTGTTCAACTTAATCCGACCAAGTGCATTAAGATTCATAACCTTCGATACACCACCTCCACGTTCCATGATACCACTTCGAGAATTAGGAGTTCCAATAGGACTTCCATCCGTATCGTCATCTGTGTCGATAAAAGCAGGCTTAAAGCCTTCCGGATCAGGAATATTGTACTTGCGACGCCTCGAAGTGTGGTTTGCTGGATCCATAAAGGTATGGAGAGTAGGATCGGCAAGTTCCTTGCGAATATACTGAAGCAATTGCTCTTTCATCTGCCGCCGTATAACCTCAACAGCCTCTTTAGAAGGATCGAAGTTCCTTGCGCGCTCTTTGATCTCTTCCTCTAGGTCGGCTGCGTCCTCAATCTTGCGATCGATTGCATCTTGCTTCTCGCGTAATTCGATCTCGCGTCGGGGTGGACTTCGACTACGTCTGCGAACTGGTTCATGAGCTCGCCCTGCGTTGGGTCGAGATCCGTTCGTGCCATATGGGTAGATCTTCATCATCAACTCATAGTTAAAAAACTGGGTTCCGTTGTTCATCCTATAGCATCGCTCGGCATCCGCCCTGCCATACGAGTTTGCCGGAAAGATAACATAGTACCCGTATCGATCGATTTGTACATCGAATTCCCCAAATTTTCGCAACTTCTTTCGCAGATGCGGTACGGTAGCTGCCAAGATCGGCACTGATTCTTTCGAAACAAAAAGGTACGGTTCGTGTTCAAGTTTCAGGGAAAGTGGCTCATCATTTTCCATCATCTGCTGGGCCCTAGGCTTCGTCGGTACGACCGCAGGAACAAACGCTCGAGGGACTCGATTGGCATACGCCGCAGGGCCTTTTGGAGCGGTCGGTGGTGGTCCTGAGGTTTTGGCGCCTTCAGCGGGTTTCGGCAAGGTTGGCGCAGGAGCAGCGACTGGTGCAGGTGGAGGCGGTGGTTTACTGTGTCTAACAAGAACATCTTCGAGCATGCGCCGGCTCTTTCTGCCATCCGGATCAAATCCTACCTTTACATTATTGCTACCAATGCGTGCGCCATGTGCCTTATTGACCGCAACTCTTGCAGCTTGTATAGCAGAGATGCTTACCACACCTTTCTCATATTTATCTTTGTAACGGAACGTGCCAAATCCCAGGCAGCTGCCATTCTCGGGATGAAGCTTGTTGCTGCTCTCCGCGATATCACCAAAAGCTGAAAAGTAGGCAGTGACATGTGAGAAATTGTGAAGAGGATCGAATCCCATGACAACCACTTGTGTTGGAGGACAAATTAAAGACGTCTTTGGGTCGTATTTGTAACGAGGTAGGATTTCTGGCGCTTGGAGAAATTGAGATCGTGCCAAGTGGAAATTGGTATTGATATATCCCAATCTGCCACCTTTGGCTAGTCGCGGATCTGGGGGAGCGTCATCTTCTTCCTGTAAAAGCTATTAGCTAGGCATTCACACAAAAAAGATGACGCTCCCCGCAGATTTTATACATACCAAGCCAAACTCCTTTTCTTTTCCATATTTTTTTATGCCTTTGATAGCAAAGGTATGCTGATCATATGTACGCTTGTAGCCTTGCACAGTTTTATTCGGGTCTCGAGCGAATGTTCTCGGTGTTGGGAGTTCATGCTCCGCCAGGGCAGAATGCGCTTGTGGGACGTCATGCGGGACAATCGATGTATCGGCAGTGAGCCCACTTAAGTGGTCACTGATCTTCTGTTGTTGCGGGCTTGTGATTCGATTTGGGGAAGAATCGATATTGGTCACAGGTGTGAGAGTGTTCATATTCTGCGAAGCCTCAGTCGTAGGCTTGTTCGAGTGTAGCGCGGCCGCGCTAAAAACAGATGATACTGTACTCGCGTGTGAACTTGCTGAGCCCACCCCATTGAGCAAATCTCCTTGCACACTGTCGTTGTCATCTGCTGTGAAGACAGACGTATCTGTGTTGGAGATTGTGGGAGTCTTGCTACCCCCCGCGGACGCAGGAATGGCCGTAGCATCATCCCCACGAAGTTGTGAATTCGCGGTCACAGCTTGCGTATTCGCAGTGCGGAGACTTGGCGAATCCAAATTGCGAGATTTGACCTTTTCTCTTTCTTTTGCCTTCTCGCGGGCGGCTTTGGTGGCAGCTGGGAAGAATGCGGAGAAGCCCACGGCCCCTTGAGGACGAGACATCGTAGCACAAAGAACGATCTACCTCTTCCTCCGCCAAACGACCATCGTCTCTGTGCGATAAGACTCAGGTAACGGCATGCAGTGATTGAAGCGGCGAAGGCCAAGTATATGCGCAGAGCGAAAGAAGGGAGGTGTTCCACGCGACGCCCTCGAGGGACAGATCTGATGTTAACGTGTACTTCGCGACGAGCGGTTTGGAGGTGAAGGACGGTAATAAATCTGGCACAAGGTCAACAAAAGTTGGCAGATGTAATGACGAGGATAAGAGAGACGGCGGTGTTGAGGAGCGATGGGGTGGTTCAGGTGTTGTCGGGACGGTCAGGTTTGCTGTGGTTGTCGGATGGAATGAAGTTCCAGCCAGAAATGGCCTAGGCTGCTTTCGGACGACCTAGTCCAGTCCCAGTTCAAAGGAGATGACGAAGTGCGCGAGAAACTCTACAACAACAATTCACCTTATTTTCATATAGTCATGAATCACATTAAAGCCGATATGCAAATTTTTATCATTTTTTAGCTGCAAATTATTTCTTAATCTCTCCTTTTTGAAAATTGTCAAGCTTGAGCGGTTATGAACTCAAGACTCCTGACTCGAAGTCCATGCTAGCAAGCACCATCCATCACGAACCTGTCACGCCTTCGAAATTTCCAAATTCAACGCGACAAAAATCTCCTGTTGGAATGAAATTCTGCTCAAATGCATCTTTAGTCTAGGATTCGACACAATCGCGCTTCTATTTATGTTTATTTACATTGCTCCTGCATTTCAAGCTATTTCTGTTGTAACCCCTTCCCCTTTATTATTCGGCACGTGCGACTTCTGCAATCAACCCTAATCACTGCTTTCAGGTGTCACCATTCTTTGTGGACGGTAAGAACGAGCACTTGATTTGATATAATGCATTCGTTCGGACTTCTTTCTCTGGCCATACATTGCCCGCCGTCAATGCATGAATCGAAGAAATCCGAATCCTAATTCATCTGCATACTATCAACAGTGTTATAGTGACAAGTGTTTAAGCGGATCAAATATATTTCTCAAGGAGGTAATCTTACATTGGATACTAGCATTGTGACTCCTTCGAGACAGCCCAGGTAAATCATGGATCCACTATCCACTCCAAATGTGTGCACAATCCCCCTCAAATCTTGTCAATGTATTTTTTGATCCAAAACAAACCAGTATGATCAACAATCCCATGACATTTGACAGGTTTTCTTGTTGTGTAACATATCGGCCTAGCGATCAAGTCAGACACAGAAACCCCTCCAGAAGCGCAATTATAAATACTGAAAGACATTCCAACCGAAGAAAACTGCCTTGACACATAAATGGTAAATGTGATGATGTAGTTACTTGTGGACGTGCTGTATAGATAAGCACTGTTCCCCAGGTAACCTTACTACTAAAATAGCTTTATGAAGTGTCAAGACTAACTAATCTAAGGTATGCACAAGATCATACTCCTAAATACCTAGCCACCAAAAAAAATACACTGACTTACGATGTGACATGACGTCTTCCACATAATGACAAAATCGATCTTCTTCCCGTTTTACCAAGGTTAGATCACAAATGACATTTTAAAACTCAATAACTGGTGACAACCTACACATATACCCGTGTCTCTACTTCATGATGATTATCCAGCGGATACTTCACCGTGGAATGCTAGGAGCATCTGTCTAGTGATTAACGCGTTGCCTGTTAAAATATATGGCCAGAGACAGGCTGAACCATCAGTATGTGACAATATCTGTACTGAGAGTATCGCGTGTTATTCTAGTATTCTCCTCCACAGACTACAATCTCTAGATAGGAAATCAAAATCAGGAGAAATCAATATAGTCAACAGCCCAGGGATTTAAGTTAAAATATAAAAGCGGTTCTTTCATGTTTCACAGATTCATTATAAACCACAACCTAGCATACGCGCAATCACTAAATTGCGGTTGGTGCTTTTTCCATTGGTATCAACGACAGACGAATGAAACATTTCCTAATTGTGATATATATGCGTTTGTGAATCGTTATTCATGCTCTGTAAGGGCAGCATCTTTCCATAGAACGGACTCCACGCAAATCGGGGAAGGGTATCAACCATCGCATTCATGTTCGACATCAAATAGTCGGGGAATCTATAGTACATACATACAAGTTCCTCAACTTGGCCCAAGTGTTCCACGCTCCCGGTAATTAACTCCACGAATACAACGCTTTTCAATTATCCTAGCGTTAATCATCCATGGGCTTGTCAACAAGAGTAACGCCAAACTTCTCCCCGACTCCATCGTCATATCCACTCATACTGCCAACACTGTCGCGTTTCGATTGGTCGTGGTTTTGCCCCATGCGTAAGGCTACTGGCTTTCGACCACCAAATCGTCCACCCACAGCTGCAGGCGCTCTGCCTAAGCTATTCCGTTTCTCGACAGAATTCTTCTCGGCGCTGATGGCTTCATTCATCATACCGTCGTCCATTCCTGGCATGTACGTTGCACTGGTGGTCGTGGTATCTGATGAGCCGTTGGTGATACTCTGGAGAGGCGCCGATGAGGAAACAGGGGCTGCAGTTGCATCAGTAGAGGCAACGATGGTATCTCCGGGAACCTCAAGACTGTGTCTGGCGACGGTCTGCTTTTCTCTTGGATTGGTAGGTGATGTCTGAACCGGGAATCTTGTCTCCGGGCCACCAGAGCTTCTGTCTCGACGATGGCCACGAGGTGATGGTGCAGGAGAAGGTGCTCGGCTGCGCGAACCACCACTGTGACCACTGGCGGCAATTACAGCACGTTGACGCGCCTCGAAATTGGCTTTACGATTGCTCTCATCTGTGCTAATTGCTCTTGGCCTAGTGTCAACACTAATACTATGCGTCAAGGATGAGGCACGCTTCAATTCGCTGAAGATGGCGGTTTTATGTGCGAAGAGGTCCCTAATTAGGCGATAAGAGTATTTCTCCTCCATAGTCATGGAGGTCTCCGTCCTTGGCCGCAGAATGCAGGGTGCTAATGCGGTAGCTAGTGCAGCGATATAAGCTTCATCTGCAGACGTCAATTCGATAAGTCTGGTGAAGTGGGTCATTAATGCGTCTAGAGTCGCGATATTAGCTAGACGTAATTGGCTAAGCGTATTTTGCAATACAGAAATGCGGGTTTCATCCGATGATTCAGATGCTGGGGTGGAATATATGGTCTTCATGATTTCATAGACGTGTGACGAGACAAGGGAATCTGAGTAACGTTAGCTGAAGCTCACAGTCCACAGAAAGACGACGCACCTGGAAGTTCTAACAAGTACAATTTAAGTACGCTGGCAATTATGGGAATTTCAAATGGCTCCAAAGTTTCAACGCTAAATTGCTTGCCGGTATTCAAGGCCTCTCGGACCCGATGAGTTTGTGAAAGTGGTACTTCGACGAGCCAGACGCTTCGGCGAGCCTCATCGCCTTCAAGATCTGGGTAGCGGTTGTCCAAAAATGTCAAGATAGTGGTAATGATTGTAGGAACGCGCTTCCTGTCTGTTCGTGCACGCGCCTCAAGATCCACACCGAAGGTTTGTTCGTCGGCAGAGTTATAATAATTCTCGTAAACAGTAACTTTTGGGGCGAAACCACCCGTTCGGTAATTCTCAAGGAGATATCGAAGATCTCCAAGCGGCTGGACAGTTTCCTGATAGAGCATCATTTTGTCCACGGTAGATTGCAAACTTGGAATGACGTTGCTAATAGTACCGGAAAAGTCCAAGATGATCGTTTTCATGGCCTTTAATCTGTCCAGCTCGCAGCGCTCTAGATATCTCAGATGCTCAATAATAGCTTCTTCCATCTGACATCGGTATAGGTCAAGCTTTCGGACACCGGCTTTATATCTTTGGTCTGCCTCAGCGGCTTCTCTGCGAAGACGGTCGCCTGGTGTTTCATTGGGATAGGCACTGTTCAAAGGATTCCAACCAGCTAGGTACTCGGTAACAGTTCCGACTACTGGAGATTCCAGTGTATCACTGTTGGCGAGCGAGAATGTTCGACCAAGAGGCTGCTTCTTCTCCGGAACACCCGCCCACTGGAAAGCTTTTGGCTTCCATTGGTAAGACATCTTTGAACTATTGGCAAACTCATTTCCTACATTGCCAATCAGTCTTAAGAATCCATGACCAATAAGGTCCTGTCCAATCCTCTCAGCATGGCTGACGCTAGTCGCGCCCATGTGCTTCTGGAGGTAGTCCACGATATCCGCTCCTGGTGTGGTGTTCGTGTATGTGCCCAGAATTGCAACCTTGGTCTCGCCGAGCCTCACAGTCTGCAGGATGTGCGTCAGAATTTTGCGCACCTGCTCTGGCTGGTAGAATTCATCGGCAATCTCGAGTGGCTCATCTTCCTCTTCCTCCTTGTCCTGAACTTTGATCTCGGGTATTTTTGGTTTCGGACTCATTTCTGGATCTTGGAAGGCCAGCTTGTTCTCCTCCTCAATATCTTCGACTAGCCGGCATTTGTTGAAGTACTGACTCCTCAGCTTCTTGACAATCTCGGCCTGCCTATCGTGCGTCTTGATATGTGACTGCAGCTCGTCTTGGGAATTCTGTAGTCGGGACTCGTGTGCGTCGCACCACCTCGTGAAAGGCGCAACGACAAGATCTCTAATGCTCTGGGCAATCTTTCGGTGGTTCTTAGCGGCCTCTTCCATTTCAGTGCGGACACCATCGTAGGCCTAACATCCAGTCAGCTCAACTACTTGCCCATCCTCATGACTCTATGTCTAACCTTCCGCACACTGGCTCCATCATCGCGGGAGAATCCGCCAGCTATCCTATCTGTGGCCGGTCCTATTTCACCCAGTTTCATCCCATAAACATCCTCGGCTTCAGCTCGCATCCGCGCAATGGTAAGAATCTGCTGGTTCTCTGCCACGCCCTGCTGAAGTTTACCAAACAAAACACCAAGGCCTATTCCAAGCATTAGATCTCAGCACGCCAGGAGGTTTACAATTACTTACCTCCAGCATAGTCGCCGGATGACCAGAACGAATCTGCGAAGCCTGGCATGACTGGCGGTCTGTTGTCGTACTACAAAGGAAGCTTTGGCTACAGAACGTGCATGTGCGAGCGCTGAGAACGGGTGTCGTGGTATATGGCAGGCCCTTTGCTATTGATTGTTGCGTTAAGCAATCGCTGGATCGAATAACGGTTTGAGTGGAATCTTGCGTGTGCACAGTGCTCCTTTTCCTTCTTCCGTTGGGATCCTGGTCGCTTCGTCGGCCGCCTCAGTGTTACACAGTAATTGTGGAATAGTAGAGACTGAGAGTGAAGCTATTGATATGAGGGATTATTGGTGTGATATTGAAGTGAGAGTAGATGAGGGAGAATTCTGGGGACCTGTGAGTGTGTTGTGAGTCAAGTGAAGGAGCGACGATGAGGTCAAATTCAAAGATGCAGTGTTGTCCGATCCGTCCAGCCAACTCGTATATCCTGGATTCTGCTTCGCACAGTGACGCGCCAAACACAGCTGTGGGCCCACTAAAAATGACAGAAGCGGAATAGATCCATCTACTTCTAATTACATGCTGACAGGTCACGTGACCGTCAATGTCCACCTTCCTCGCTCCTTCCAATCCCAACTGGGGAGACAGACCCAGACGACATCAACGCATGTTGTTGTTTTTTTCAATAATTATGAACCCGTTTACAGAAAACCGACCTTCACCGGCAGATTTGCTTTGTATACATAGCTCTGAACAGTCGCCAACTCAATGTTCAGAGAAGTCAAATATAGCTATAGAAAACGCGCTTAGAAATCGGTCTATTCATCATCACAATTATTCAAAAAGCCGACTCATCAACATGATTGCATTAGCGTTCTGCTCCGCGATCATCTTTATCACTCTTCATATAATACCAGCAAGCACACTCAACTGGCAAGCCAGCAATTCTCCACAATCTATCGAGCAACGAGTGAACCGGATTCTAAGTCACACCCCACTTATTGGTATATACATGTTCATCTTAGCGGTTTCCATCTGACAAACTAGAATAAGATCATGCGTCTCTAATGCAATCATAGATGGACACAATGACCTTGCAATTCTCATCCGGTTTCTCTACAATAATCAGATATATGACCCAAAGTTCAAACAGCCGTTTGAGGAGGGCGGAATGCCTATGCATGTTGACTTACCAAGATTGAAACAGGGAATGAACGGTGGTGCCTTTTGGAGTGCCTTTGTGCCATGTCCGTCCAACGGGTCTGACTTTTCCAACGAAAACTATGCAAAATGTGAGTGGTTCCCTCTTCCCAGAAATGCCTAGTGCCTGGTCATTCAGCATGGGACTCAAACTCACCTTTTGTTTAGCTGTCGAATTCACACTCACTCAAATCGATCTCCTGAAGCGTTTGCAATCAGCTTATCCTGTCTTCTCTTTACCACCAAATAGCACGACTGCTTTGGAGGCTTTTAGAGCCGGGCAGCTGATTTCACCTCTTGCCATTGAAGGACTTCATCAAATCGGAAATTCGATCTCAAACCTCCGCCTGTTCCATACTTTAGGCGTGAGGTACGCTACTCTCACTCACAACTGCCACAATATCTACGCCGATGCCGCCTTGCTTGAGCAAGATCATGGCGTAGTTGTTGCGGAGCCAAAGTGGGGAGGCGTCTCTCCTGCAGGACGAGACCTCATTCACGAAATGAACCGCCTTGGAATGATCGTTGATCTCGCCCATGTCAGTCAAGATACTATGCGCGACGTCCTCGGTGGGTCGGATCATTGGGAAGGAAGTGCTGCACCACCAATCTACAGTCACTCTTCTGCCTACGCTTTATGCCCACATCCACGAAATGTTCCAGATGACATTCTGCATTTAGTGAAGAAGAAAAATAGCGTTGTCATGGTCAACTTCAGCCCAGACTTTGTATCTTGTGTTGCAAATTCGTCTGACCCATCTGGGATGCCAATTTTCGACCCATCCAACTCAACACTTGCCCATGTCGTTCGACACATCGTGCATATAGGGGAGTTGATCGGATATGACCACGTTGGCCTTGGAAGCGATTTTGATGGAATTCCAACCACGCCTACCGGCCTCGACGACGTTAGTAAATTTCCAGACCTTGTCGCAGAGATGCTCTCCCAGGGTGTCAGTGACAAAGATGCGGCTAAGGTAGTTGGTGGAAACATTTTACGGGTATGGGGGGATGTAGACGAGGTTGCTCATAAGATGCAGGCTGCTGGTGAAAAGCCTCTTGAGGATGAACTACCTAGTCTGAGATGGCTATGAAGGGCACAAGAATCGTCCTTGTGTATAGTTCGAACAATTGTGGACCATTAGTATGACCATGGATGCGAACTGGGCTGGGATTTCTCTCATTCCGCCTTTGCTATTTCCTCGGTGATGTCCTTCTTAATACATCTATCCTCAACAACGCTGCCAACCAGGGGCTGTATACTTATACCACTTGCTTGTTATTTCCAAACCAACCCTGGACTGAAATTTTCGTCATCCAGTTGTGAGTTCTATATCCACAAGTGTACAACTGTGGAGGGGTAGCTTGTAGATTTACTACAAGATAAAACCATCCGACCGATATCTATTTTCACCTCCCAAATCTATCTTGACAGATATACCATGTTTATCTTCGATTCACCTTTGGAAAAAAGCAGACCTGTTGACAGCTGTCCTTTCGAGGTTTATTTCGATCTTTCACCAAGAGTGTTATTCAGAGACTACATTGTGGGGCGACGAGACATTATTCCCATCTCACGCTCCACTTCCAACGCTTCAACTTCAATATAGGTGCCTTTTCATGTGGTTTTGGTGAACCCATAATCTCCTCGCTTCCAGAATCTGAAACCGAACTATTCCGGATATAAAAGCTTCTCTTCCACCCCCTCTCTTCTTTCTTTCAAACCACAGCACTTGCAATCCATCACCCACCCACATTGCTCTTATTCCCTACAATTTCAACTCTGGCTACATTTATAATCCTAATAAAGACATAATGGCTGTTCTAGCCTTTCTCGTCTGCCTTGTTGGCATTTTCCAACTAGTATGTTTCCCTTTCGTCAAGATACTTCGAGAGCTAATCACTATCACCACTAGGCAACTTGCGCGCCCAAAGACGCTCCACTCCCATATCCTGTTTCCGATCTAGTGTTCTCGGGTGAGCTAGGTGGCCACCAAGTCGCTTTCAATGGCACTATCCAAGTGAGTCTTCACTTTCACAAGATCGAATCGATAGTTTTCATTTTCTGTTTTTTCGACATCCCATTACATCAGATGTTTTCTTGTCATCCATGTTCTAGAAAGAAGCATCGAACATTGTTACACTTGGCCCTGTCTTTAGAGATCTGGATCCCACAATCTATTCACTAACATTCCGCCAGCAAGTCTACGCCAAAACCCTCGCCGCTCACCCCGATTTCAACGTCCACGCTCAAATCACCGCAAACATCGCTTCTGCTGCCAAAGTAACCAAGAGAAACAAGGTCAGTTTATCCCAAAGCTTCCGTGAAGTACATCACACTAACTTCCCAATTCAGAGCAACCATTTCTGCAGCCAAGACATCGGAAACCCATGGCGTCCTGCCAAAGTTGACAAAATTGTTGACGGAATCCATTACTTGCGTAGGGTCCCTCCTAAACAACGGCTTCCACTTCTAACACGCACACACAGAAAACAAAGCTCGCTGTGGAGTAAACCCTCGATCGTGCGCCAGAATTTCCTGCTCCTGGGACTCCGCCATTTTCCTCTGTAACGATGTAAGTCCTCTGAATTACTAACCTCAAAAGCTTCTACTGACTAACATCGTATAGCGTAACGATTTCATACAGCCTTCATGTGCTTACTTGGCGTCGTACGCGTCTGATATCATCAACTTCTGTCACCAGGATGTTAACGGCATTGGAATTGCGGTTGCGGGACAGGAGTTTGACACGGAAAATTATAATGTTCTTGTGAGATATAGTAACTGCTAGAGAGCAGTGACCAAGATTGAGTTCCTTTGTGGGCCTCTGATTCTCTGGTAGTACACTTCTGGAAAGCTGAGCGGTGGGCTGGGGTCGGTGGAAGGTGACTTGGTTTAGATTTAATCTGATTTAGACAAGGCATCAAAAATGGTAATCAAATCAAACATTCAATAGAGAACTAATTGATGATTGATTTCAAGACGTACAACGAAGACTGATGCCGAATATCCAACAATCCAACAACATTTGTCATTCTCCAAACCACATACAATGGACAGCGAACGAAAAGAATGCCTTAAGACTCAGACTGCCAGAATATGGCTTGCTTTCAATAATACAACTCCTGTAATTTGACAGGAGTGATAGAGATGTACGGCCGACTTCTCCTGTTGCCCTCAAGAACCAATCGGTAAAGGCTCTAAGGCCTCGCGTTGACAGTTGGTGGAACGTACTTATCGGGAAACTGAGTGACGTTCTGAAACGCGACTGCGGAAGTGATCCGATGTAACTGTAACTCACAGGCTTAATTCTAGATGTTGGTGGCTTTCTTGACTAGCGAATAAGAACACTGTTGTAGACGCTTAGATTGGTAGGAGCCTCCCCTTGTATTGTTAAGGATTATTGACGGGAAGAGGACCGATAATGGCTACTCATCTCAGACAAACCTCCCCTATCTTTTGTATCTTTCCCCAAAAGAAGGTTTTCAATCGAAAATTCCTGAAGCATAGTGGGAAGATGTCATCAACCACAACACAAACCGATCATGAAATTGGGAAACAGCTCCAATACCAAGATCAGTCAGAGCTCCTTGACGCAATCGACGAGTTGAGTCGAAGAGGTCTTCGAAACTATGTGTCCCTGCCACAAATCATCGTTTGCGGTGATCAGTCGTCGGGCAAAAGCTCAGTCCTCGAAGCCATTTCTCATGCTCGATTCCCCACCAACGGTACCTTATGCACAACATTTGCTACAGAGTTAGTAGTACGCAGATCTCCAAGCAATGGAGCTTTAGTTTGTATCATCCCAGGGGCGTCGCGTATCAACAACCAAGAAGCCATAACCAAACTCCAGAACTTTTCTGGCAGCAGTGTCAAGAACGAGCCCGGGGATTTAACTTTCTTAATAGAGGAAGCAACGCAAGCCATGAAAGATGCTTCCAAGGCGACGGGAAACCCTTTTTTCGATGATACCTTGCGCATACAGCTTTGCAAACCTGACTGGCCGCCAATTACAATTGTCGATCTGCCAGGGTTAATTCACGCCGAGAACCAAGACCAGACTCAGGACGACGTGAAACTCGTGCGAGACCTTGTTAATCGGTATATGGAAAATCCACGAAGCATCATCCTCGCCATTGTGTCTGCTGAGAATGACGCTGCACTTCAAATCGTTCTCCGCTTGCGAAAGTCGCCGATCCTGATAGAAAAAGAACCATGGGTATAATTACGAAGCCAGATACGTTGGAACACAAGGGACCCGAGAGCATGAATAGTTTCTTGAAACTAGCACGTAACGAGTCGGAAAGTCACCAGTTCAAGCTCGGATGGCATGTGCTCAAAAATAGAGATCCTCGCAGTCTCGCTCTCTCGACCGTGGAAAGGGACGCAGCTGAGATGTCTTTCTTTTCCAAGCCTCCATGGAGCAGCTTCGACGATCAAAGCTGTCTGGGAATTGATAAATTACGTTTACGCCTTAGTCGGGTACTTCACGAACGTATTGCTTCAAGTTTACCAGACATTATTGAAGAAATCCGTACTGAGACCGCTAAGTCGGAGGCAGAGCTACAAAAATTAGGAACAGACAGGTCTTCTAGAAAATCGAAAGAGACGTACCTTGTTGGAGTTGCACAGCATTTTCAGATGCTTGCCCAATCGGCGGTCGACGGTACATGGAGTGATCATTTTGATCCATTCTTTCAGAATCCTTACGGGGAAGACGGATATCGTAAGCGATTGAGGGCGGTGGTTCAAAACCTCAACGATCAATTCAGTGACCTTATGTATTCGCGGGGACGTCGATGGATTTTGGCTGCGGAAGGTGAAGTTACAGGAAGACCATTTGCTATGAACTCTTCTGTCAACACTTCCCCTAACAAGACCAACCAAACGCCGTTTAATGTTTATCCCGGCATTGATCAATTTGCGGCTAGTGAGAAAATCACGAGAGAAGAGTTCATGCTCAAAATCGAGCACCTGTCAAGTGCCACAAGAGGTCGTGAACTCAGTGGCGCTTTCAACCATAACACGATTGGCGAGCTCTTTCGAGAGCAGTCGCAAAGATGGACAAAACTTGCAGAACATCATGTCGAGACCGTGTGGAATGCTGTCAAATTCTTTCTTGAGGCAGCTTTTGAAGCTTTGGCTGATCCCAGAACTCTCAACGCGATAATGATTGACATTGTCGACCCGATGATGGCCGATAAAAGGATCCAGGCCAGGAAAAAGCTAGAGGAGATACTGGTGCCCCACACCAAACTTCATCCTATTTCATACAACAGCAAGTTACTCAAAAGTGTGCATGACGCAAAGTTTAAACGGGAGCTCGAAAGAATCCAACAGGAAGCCTCTTTGCTCATCCAAGCTTCGAAAAGTAGAAATCTTTCCGAAGAAGACTTAGAGAGTATAGTCCAAGACTCCGCGAATTATACGCAAGATGATTTGGGCGATAAGTTTGGCTCTTCTGATATTTTGGATTACACGAATGCGTATTACGAGGTACGTATATTTCACTCTTCTTCTACTCATTTTCCCGACTGAAAAACGCAGATAAGCCTAAACACATTTGTCGATAACGTGGCAACTCTAGTTATTGAGAGCTGTTTGATAAGTAACCTCAGTGACGTGTTTCCCGCTGCCAAAATACCATTGATGGATGACGAATTATTGGATCGTCTAGCATCTGACTCGGATGAAATCATTACCCAGCGTAGAAAGCTGGAGGCGAAGCTTACCTGTTTTCGAGATTCTCTGAAGATATGTCAGAAGAATTTGATACATATACCTCGCGGTAAGTGACACACACTTGTAGATCCTTTTGCCGATTTTTGTTGAATGCGACCCTTCTCTACATTGACTAGAACTTCCAAATATTTGTTGCTTTATATCGATTTCATTGCCGCTAATGATAATTTACAACACAGACCTAAGGCGCTCAGGAGGAACACAAAACAAACCTAAAACGCCCAACCCAGCAAGTGAAAGCAAACCGACCTCAAACAGCGTCCCGGTAATCAATTCTCCAAACACAACATTGGGATCAACCGGAGCGAAAAAAAGAACTCATCCTCCAAAGTCCGTCCCAGATAAGTTCCCCGGCTTCAACACCGTAACACCACCACCTCCTTTCTCCTTTGCGTCGCCCAACAAAGAATCCGATCATCCCAAAAATGATACCTGGGCAGGTAGTGGCCTATTTTCCAACCTACCGCAAACTTCGAAATCGCCGGGAGGAAAAGAAAATGGTCAAAATCCAACCCCCGGTACTCTCTTTCGCGGTATAAATTTAGCCAGCAGCCCCTCACCTCAAAAACCAGCCGGATTCGGCGGTTTTGGGGCCTTTGCGTCATCTGGTAGTGATGCAAATGGGACGTCAAAGAGCTCTGTAGATTGGTCGAAAGTGGGATCAGCGAAGGTTGGAAAGCCGTTTAGTTTTAACGACTTGCCTAAGACGACAGATAGCTAGGCTCCCACCCTAAGCCAGCTGGAATTCCAGTTCGTACGTAGGGGACTGCATTTTTACACCTATGTGTGGGCTTGACATTGAGCAATTTTTATAACTAACGAACAGCTTGGATTTCTGTGACGGAGGATGAAGAAATCTGCATATTTGCTAGAGATTTGCAGATTGCTTGACTTGTGGCGGTTCTGGCTGATTTTCTCATTAAGACCAGGCTGGCTGATTACGGTGCTAGTCGTAGGCGTGGCTGGAAACTCAAAAAAGCCTTTACTATGGGAGAGATCAAAGCTCTTTCGGTACTTGAAATTTATCTGTTAACGTTATATCGTGAGCACAGAGAACGAAACTGGAAGTGTTCATGGAAACTAGAGTCCAGATCTTCCACAGTGCCCGGTCACTTATACCTATCTCCTCGTTCCGTTATCTTCTGGTGATGATATGTTGTCAAGAGGGTTTCGATCCTTCATCACCCCTTTCTCGCTTATATGTAGGTCGCCTTTGTTACATTTAAGTTCCATGCGCGTGTCGTTAACAGGTGGTTTTAGTATAATTGGTTTCCTTTAATACACTGTTATAGGACAGAGACGAATTGTGATTTATATGATGATACGCCAATTGAATTAAAGCGCAATGGTCTTTTCGTTATTATACAATATTATTTTCTCATTCTGCCATTTGTTCGGCTCATTAAAATGAGAGGGGATTTTTCTTTTTGTTCTGGTGCTTTGTGAGATTACATCGATGCAAGCAGTCCAATCTACATTTTTGTATATCAGGCTCGGTAATTCGAAGGCATATTTCTCAAAACACCGCGACCAGTCAGATTTATGAAATCCATCGATCATCGATCCAACCACTACATTTGTATAAATTTCCACCTAACTTTACTTAAAACCAAAAGGTACACCCTCTGCAGCGCCCGCCCCACCCGTAGAAGCATTTTGCGTATTGCCCTGGACATTCATTGAAGAAGTAGCATCCATCTCCAACGGTCCCTGCGGCGGCATAGGAGAAGGAGGATGATAAGCTTGATACGACTGGCGATCTGGATTTGGCGCAACCCAACTATTCGGATTTGGTGGTACAGCTTGATTCATTCCGGTTTGATTTGGCGAGACCCATCCGTTTTGATTCGGCGACATAGGTGGTCCAACCCATGAGTTATGGTTTGATGTCGGCGACATCGGTTGGCCCCAGGAGATGTTAGTTGGTGTCGGTGAGTTAGCAGGTGGTACTGATGAGTAGGACACGGTTGAGACTGTGGCGGGCGATTTTACTCGTTGCGGGAGGTTGCTGGGATCGTTGGAGAAAGATTGGGAGGGAGGAATGTAGGGCAGTTGGGGTTCGGAGTGGTGAGGAGGTCGGTATTGGGGTGGGACTTCGGAATGGTGGGAAGCTGGGTTTTGAAACTGGGAGGAGTTAGTAGATGTTCTATAGTTTATTTTGAAGGCTGAAAGTCATTTTTCAATGACAAGAACTGTTGCTACTTTTTAAGTAAAGACTGATAAGAGAGACCAAATAAAAACGGTACATACCAAACTCATTGGTTCTTGAGACAATCGATGTTTTTGAGGTGTTGCCTCGAAACTATTTTTCTTCTTTCTTCGAATCAATAACCAGGCCACAGCCGCAGCGAGAATAAGACCAAATGCTACACTGCCAACTGATGCTCCGATGATGGTTTTCTTGCTTGTCCCGGACCTTGCAGGTGTGGCTTCGGTGGTGTTTGAGGCGGATGAAGATGTTGAACTTGATGCACTGCTAGTTGATGTTGTCGCAGCAGCTGACGACGACGAGCTCGAGGTACCAGACGAAGTTGAGTATGTTTCGGTCACGGAAGCGCTGATTTCTGTGACACTTGCAGTTGATGTCCGTGTTCGAGTAGACGTTTTCTTATCGTTCTTCATTTCTGCCGTTCCAATGAAGTTCTGCTGAACTGTGGGCGCGTCATCCTTTTGTCCGCTATAGGTTAAAGAAACCAGCGCTCCAGTGAATCCATAATCAGCACAGCCCTGAAAATTGTCAGCTCAGGTATTTCCTTCTTCTACGAAGATCAGATAGGTCGTGAGGAGGTTTACTATTTGTGAATAGAAATCAGGATAAAAGAAACCAACGCAAGTCGAAGTGCCAGGACTACTCTGATTAGTCTAATTGATCTCCAAATTGGAAACTTGACTCACCATGTATACAATAACTCGTCACTACTTTTTCGCGTATTCGTGTGCACAGCATCCACACATCCTGTAACGAAAAAGCAATCTCCAATGTCAGAAGTATGGCAACACCCAACGACGTTCCAATCCGTATGCCACGCGCAACTCGAAGATGGTGGGCACGTCATCGGTATATCTTCATTTTATTAATACACACTCCTCAAGACGTCAGGAATCTACTTACTAGACTCGCCATCTTGATACCCGCAAATATAGTTCCCCGGCAGTTCTCGCTCCTGCATAAAAGGCGCCATAGTAGGAACAGGACTGACACCCGTCGCCACCAGCGTGTAAGCAGTCGTCGAGGCAGCGCCATTCCATTGCCAGGCTCTACATAACGAGATCGAAGCCAAGAGCGCGATTACGATCCGCATATTGACGTTGAGGCGCAGACAAAATAAAGAAAGTAAATGTGAAAGTCTGCAAAGATAATGAGAGGAAGAAACGCAGAAATTGGAAGCCTCTACAAAGACGGATGTGCAGTGGCACCGGCGCCCGCGATCTATGGCAGACTTTGCCGCCTGCGAACTGTGGTGTAAACAACCGTGAAGCAAAGGTCTGCGAAGTAAAAGCAGGAAATGGATGTCGAGCAGTGACACCGACCCCCCCGATCAATGACAACCTGAAGCTTGCCGCCTGCGAAAGTGATGAAAGACGGACACTTGGTTGAGGATGGCGAAATTTTCTTTTGACGGGACGTTGCATGGACCCACGATAGTCAAGAAAACTGGTCGCACAGCAACGGTCAAGGTTGGTGAATTTGTGAATTAGAGATTGTGGATATGGGGTGTGGGCGGTGGAAGTGATTTTGAGCAGGGTATCAAATATTTTGTCTGTTTGTTTCCGTAAGTGAGGGTAGAGTAGACTTTATTTCGAGAGATGATTAGATGAGAGGACGCTATATTTTGAGAAGTTCCAGATTCTGAGATGTTTAAAATACTGACACCTACATTGTCCATCACAAAGAAGTGTGTTAGGGCGTATAGTCTTCAGAATTTGGAATCCAGATCGTACCTGAATCCTGTTTTACATGTTGGATGCACATGTAGTTACTCGATGGAAGCAAACAAAAGGAGTTTCCAGCAGTCCTAGGCAGAAAATTGCGTCTACCAAATATTAGCTTATGCTGTGACCAAGAAAGTAATGAAATGTGATACCAAGAATGACCTAAGACTCAATTAAAGCTGTTTACTGTGCAGCTTTGACGGCCAAATCCAAAAACGAGTTAATTTTATATTCAAGATAAAAGTTGAACGACCTTGGATGCAGATGGATAGGAATTTCAATTGATATACAAACCATGTTTCAGGAGGCCAGAAGAAAACATTGATGAACCATGCTATCCTCCCACTTGCTCTAAACATTACTCTAATGCGACTGCTGATACCACCGCCTCAAACAACCACAAATAGACCAACCACCACCACCACCACCATCTCCCAGCAATATCAAATCCAAACTTCTCTATGCAGAATGTGTAATGAATAAGTGAACGCCGACCGTACGCCCCAAAAGAAGAAGTCCTCGCATCCAGATTTGGAGAATCTCCATTATACAGCAAAAATTAATTTGAACCAACACCAAGCAATGGGCATAAATGCATTTGTTTTTCCAGCTTTCTTTCCGGCCACCATATACAGCTCGGTCCTCGCTCTTCATCACACTAAAGTCGACCACCGCTGCCCGTTCTGTTGTGTTGATGTCCCGGCACTGGTGGTCCATTTTCGCCGTCGAAGAGATCCTCCAGATACGCACTAGGCGCACGCTGGTCACCATTGTAGGCCGAATTCAGGTTCAAAGTACTGCTACTCGCCATGTGGCCACGGCTAGATGTCAAATGAGGACTATCTGGTGGTGTTTGTCCAACACTTCTTGGTCTTGCGAGTCCTGCAGCTGACCCAGGTCCCAAATTTGACATGGAAATGTTGTTTCCATGACCTAGTGATATGTGGGATTGACCGTTCGCTGGCGAAGAAGCTCCAGCAGCATAATATCCAGCAGGAAGATAACTTGAAGCACGGTTCCCTGCAGTGTTGAGACCACCAGTACCAGAAGCGGCAGCGCCTGCAGTTGGAGACCAAAACAGAGAGCTTGTACTTGCTAGCCCGTTAGCTGTTGATGGTCGAGGAAGTCCACCCTTTTCTCCCTTATTCTTCTTTCCACTTTTACCAAGTCCACCTAGTGAAATAGTTGAGTCCCGATCATGGTAGTCTTTATAGAATGGAGCAACGGGGGTTCTGAACAAGGCTTTGCTGTCGGTCATGTTTTGGTGCATAGCTGCACGCTTGACCGATCGATGAAGAGACCATGCGACAAGGGCACGCCACAACAGAACTCCCAATGCCATAAACCCCAGGATGGATCCTACAGCAATAAACACAGTGCCTTCAGGCAGTGTTGACTTCTGCATGTACGGTGCATTCTGGGTTGGTGGAACTGACGCTGGATAGATCTTGTAAACGCCTGATAATGTTGGCAGACCGGTAAGAGCACCACCATCGGTGGCCGTAGCATCTCCAGTTATGCTAACCGTTATACTTGGGGCAGTTATAGACGCTGCAGAGGAACCCGAGCCGGTGATACGACCTGTGGTAATAGCGCTTCTCGATGAAGATGTCGCATCGTTGTCGTCCGCAGCTTCTGTTGTTCCCGACGATGCAGCAGATCTCGTCGCAGAATTCGTGTTCGATGCTGTGTTCGAGGCTGTAGCCGTTGGTGTAGACTTTTCCTCTGTCGCAGTCGAAAGGTCTGGTAATGCTGTGGTTTGTGCCGAAGTGCTCATCGCAAACAGAGCGACCGTCGCGGCCAAGTAGAGCGGCTTTCCCTGTAATAGCCTCATCGTGATGATATTTGTATGTATCAAATTTGTTTTGATCTCTTCTCGAAGAAGGTTTGTAATCAGGAGGATAGCGCTGGAGGTCCAGTCGCACAGCTCAGACGAAGAGAGACCGGTATCGTAGGACAAGCTGTTTATTGTCCTACGTCGATTGGAATAACAAATGGGAATGTAGAACGAGCGATGCGAATGCTGTGATTGCGTATACCGGAGATTAATCGATGGCAAACGCAAGGAAAGCGTTTCCCAGGTATCGAGATTGATGCGTTTCGAAGATCAATTATGCAGGAGAAGTCGTGGTGTTTCCGTTGTTCGTCCAACGATCTCGTCAATTCTTGTTTCCGCGTTGCTGCGACCAAGGGGGCAACCCTGACCAGGATGATCTGACTTTCCCCGTGTTCAAGGAGCAAGGAGGAGGCAACGCCAAAGTACGAGAACTCGAAAATGAAGCAGCGAGAATAAAAGCAAAAGGGAGGAATAAATCAGAAACGAATGTTTACGAGAAAGATATGATATGCGCCGCTCTTGAAGTCGAGAGTGAAGTTGCAAATCTCGTAAAAGGGTCGATCCGTTCCTGCGGTCAGGCCCAATATGGTTAGTTCAAGACCGGACTTCGTATGTATTTTTAGCCCCGAGTTAGTCCTGGCCACAATACGGTGACAGAGCGGTGTACGGAGTACAGGCAGAACTTTGCGCCAGGAAATTTCTTAGAGTATGACCTCCATCACAAGTAAAGCCGTGACTGCCAGCTTTCGCAATTCTCGAACTCTCAAGCTGCGGACAGTCCAGTTACCGCCATCATGGGTACTGCCAAGAGGACACGCAAGTTTGGTGCTGTAAGTAAATCCAAAATTGATTGTTCTGTGGTTCAGACCTCGTTTTTTGAACCTATCTGACCCCTCCTCTTGCTAGGTCAAACGTATAATCGGCCAGAATGACGCCCGTTTAAAGAAGAACCAGCAAAAGGCGGAGGAGGAGAGCAAAAAGAAAGAGGCGAAAGATAACGAGGTGATCCGAGAAGTGTAAGTTTCAATCATACAGTTGCCCTTCAGCTGGAATTGCACTCTCATATCTAGACCTCTTACAATTCTCGACCTGCTAACACGATAATTTTCCAGACCACAAGTTTCCTCCGCCCTCTTTTTCCAATACAACACCGCCCTCGTCCCACCCTACAACGTCCTCGTCGACACGAATTTCCTCTCCCACACCATCCAACGCAAACTCCCCTTACTAGAGACCCTCATGGACACATTCTACGCGAAATGCAATCCCATAATCACATCCTGCGTGATGGGCGAGTTAGAAAAGCTAGGCCCGAAATACCGAATCGCATTACGGATCGCTAGAGACGAGCGCTGGGAACGACAACAATGCGATCATAAAGGCGTGTATGCGGATGACTGCATCGTGGATAGATGTGTGAAGAGCAGGATCTATGTAGTGGCTACCAATGATCGCGATTTGAAGAGGAGGATACGGAAGATTCCTGGTGTGCCGATTGTCAGTGTTGCAAGAGGTAAATATGTGGTTGAGAGGTTGCCAGATGCGCCTGAGAAATAGACTCTTGCAAGTCTGGCGGTGATTATACCAGATGGATGAATGGAACTTAGAACGTGCATTATTCGGCGCTTCGGTCGGTTTTGGGACTTGGGCGTTGGCAGGAAAATGTTCTGAACAAATGGTTGGTGTTAAGTGGCGTCAATTAGTATATCTGCCAGTTGTAGTTTCACCAATCACATAGAATATGTATCAGGAGATCTTGAATTGAAGATTGTCTGTCAGTTTGACATAATCAATTTCTTTGTGGCCTGCGTAATTCCTCTATTGCTGCTTGGACTACGAAACGTGAGCTTGTAAGGTTAGACTTCGTGGGGTAAATGGCGTTCGGGATCAGTTGCGGCAATAGTACTAGATGTAAGTACGGAAAGGTTATTGAACATCTTGCATTATGACCCTCGAAAATAAACCCTCCTATTCGATACAGACTGCTACTTCCACCAGGTATTGAAATTCCCATAGTTGCATTCCTAAAGTAACATTGTAGTCTACACGCTCACCGCGCCCGATGAAGAAACCTGTGGCTGATGATATCATACATTCCCAACTCCAAAAGGCACAATCTTATCTCTCTGGAAACTCAGATTAAATTTACTGGGCTTTCTTCTGTGCCGCAGGTCCCATTTCCTTCTCAAAAGCACCGTATGACACCTCTAGACTTGAAATCGCACTGATACCGACACTAAGGATTGAGAGTAGCAGGAGAGACACGAGAATTCCCATGAAGAGTCCTGATATCTGATTAGCATGTGATGGAGTCAACATGTGTGATCAAAGGTGACAAACCAGGTGTGAAGTATTGATATTTCTCAAACAGAGGTCTGGTATCGTTGCTTGCAGTTGGAGCAGGTGCTCTTGTCAACAGAGCCCTCTTGAGGTCCATATGTACGCCAACATCGAATGTAGGTTCGTATGTGATTTCATCGGCGGCTAGAGTGTCTGAGGGGGTAGTGGAGAAGACTACAGTGTATTTAAGCCCTTCCAGGTCCCTCATGAAGTTGTTGTAAAAGTGCGCATCTAATGAGTAACAGACATTAGCATCTACAATCATACCAATGGAAATTGGAGACCCGATGACATACCCGTATTCGCAACCATTGCATCTCTACTTTCTCCAGCAGCAGTCGAGCTTTCGTAATTCCATGAGACTATGATGGGTTTCCCACCTTGCGTTTGTGTCAAGGCCTGCGCCATAGTAGACGACTCATCCGCAGTCGAAGCACGACATTCCTTTCTCACCACCTCCGCCAGATTATCTGCGGTGGATGCAGTCAATCCCAGAGCCTCAGTAACAATGTACCTCCCATAAAGCTTCCTATCGCTGGCAGCTCTCCGAAGATGTGGCGCGTGTGAAGATAGATCAGAAGATGTAATACCGGGCGCATTCACGAAGAGATATACTTCGGTATTACATAGCGATAGCGCCGTGGACGCGGCCGTAATAACTTCATCATTCGTCCGTAATGGTGCTGACTTTTCCAATCCCGTATGAAATCTGCAATCATTAGACAGTGTGATAGCTCATGGATTCTTGTACGTACGGCGAGGTAGAAAAGAGAACGAATGGAGAAGTGTCTTTGAAAGCACTAACACCGGCTGCAAGTGCAGCTAAAGTAATGATCGAGGGACGCATGATTCTGGAGGAACGTTGTGGATGTGCTATGGTTGTCTCTAATCGAAGTATAGCCTTGAGGCGGTCGTTGAAGTTGTGATGCTGCCAAGAGCGGCATTCCGCCCCGCCTCAACCCTTGAACCTCTCAAAGAAAAAAGTTGGAAGAACTTGAAGACGCTCAGAAAACGGATTCGATCACGACAAGAGCAAATTAATATAATGCGGTGACAAGCTACTGGCCGATTCTTCCCTCCCGAATAGCAGAATTTATTGCAACATGGACCCCGCAATTCAAGCAGGCATTTTCCGACACCCGCGCCCAAAAGTTTCCGTCCTCGCAAGCGCAAACCGTGTATCGAAAAGACGGAAAACCGACCACAAGATTGAGGAAATCTCGTTTGACAACGATTCGCGAGCCGACTATCTGACAGGGTTTCACAAGCGGAAGGTTGCCAGGGCGAAACAAGCTAAAGTTGAAGCGGAGAAGAAAGAGAAGGAGGAGCGGATTCAGATTCGGAAACAGGTGAGTTAGATACAGAAGTTTTGCTAGTTTGCTCTACTTCAGGAAGATTGGATTAGAAGATTGGCTGATCCGCATGGAATTTTGTTAGCTACGCGAAGAGAGGAAACAGGAATTGGAGGAACATGTCGAGGCTGTCAATCGATTGTTGCAAGATATGGATGAACCAACGAAGTTAGGATTTGATGATGAGGGAGACTGGGAAGGAATTAAGGACGACGATTTAAGCATTGGAGCCGTTGAACCTATCGATCGCGAACAAGAATATGTGGACGAAGATCGATATACAATTGTGACAATTGAGGCAGTGGACATTACCAAAGATGGGTTATCAAAGGTCGAAGAAGCCGGAAGTGATACGGATGAAGCGCCAAAAGTAGTGCAAACCGAAGAGAGGGTGAAAAAGACATGGCCAAAAAAGCCACGCAAGAAGAAGTTCACTTATGAGACCAAGACAGAAAGGAAGCTCACACGGGGTAAGCAGAAGGCTGGTAACAAGGCAAAAGCAGATGCTCGTCGAGGGAATGGTTGACAAATCTATAATTATCCCCAGAACCAACAAGCATACTACTTCTGCCAATTCATCATGAAGTGACATGTATCAGTGTACATAAACAAAGACGAACTCCCAGGGCAACCATTCCTTGACGACAACTAACGAATATCGACGTCGCTCGGAAAGCCGAATACAGATCCTCCATGCATGCTTATCAAATATAACAAATGTAGCTCTTCCGCAATGCCAAATAATCGCTGAACAATAACAAGCCCGGCCGAAGAGCACCCTAGAGGTTGCTGATTTCGAGTTGAAACTCTTCGTATTCCTTCTGAACAGCTTTGTATTGCCCTTCGAGCGCCTCATATTTCTTCTCCCAGTCCTCGTTTGCCTGTTCCAGAGCTTGAACTTTGCGGGTTAGATGCTCGGCCTTAGCCTGTGAGGATTCAAGTCTGCAAGAAAACTTAGTTCAGTTCAAGTGCAAATCATCGTGGGTCAGGAAAAGTCCGGGTTGTTAGTGCCCAGCATGACTTACATTTCACCAGATACTTTGAGCTTAGAAATATATTCATCGATTTGCTGTTCAAGGACGACTTTGCCTTGCTCCGCAATGGTGTGCTTGGCATCTAGATTTCCGTTCTCTTTGGCATTTTCCTTCAACTTGTCAATGGTTGTGTCGGCTATTGCGATTTCTTCCTCAAGTTGGGCTATTTTTCTCTTTAGAGATTCAACTTCGTATTCTTGAGCCGTGTGTCTATCGTTGAATTCCTTAACCTGAGCTGCGTGGGCGTCTTGAATTGCCTCCCATTCTGCTTTTTGCCTCTTGATCTCCTCCATTTTCTGCAGTAAGATTGTTAGCCAGAATCAAAATGAGTGGTGCGTCCAAAACATCAAAGACCATACTGCTCTTCGGAGAGGGGGGCGGGGGGAGACCTGCCTCTTGCAAACTCTTTGGGGGCGCCATCCTGAAGATACCTCCGTTGAGGTTGGTAATAAGAGCGGTGAAATTTTAAGGATCTCCTTGGTAGTGATTCGTGTAAATCAACTGTTAATATCCGATGCAGAACTCTGAGGTGAGAGGTCAGATGGGGTAAATGGACAGGCGGTATGAGGTCGAGAGTAGGAACGTAAGTTCGACAGATCGCGGATAAGGCAGTCAGCGAGGGGCAGCTTTCGTTGTGCGCTAGCTCGTTGCTGGGTGAACGAATTATATATTTAAACAGGGGTCCACCCAATTCAAGCGTTGACAACTCGGCGATATCCCTTATCCATCACTGTAACCATCACCCATCGCATCAAGGCCGCTGTGTGGCTCATAAAGTCTTTTCAAAAATGCTGGCAGCTCGCGATCAAGAAAATCTGGTTCATGGCCACCACGCCGCCGCTGCGTCGAAGCCGCTCAACCATGGCATCAAAACGTTGCAACCCAAAACTCCAGGAAACAAGTACCCAAAAACGCCCATGAAGATTTCCCATGACGAAAATGCCGCAATTACCTTCGGAAAACAGCCTGCAAAAGGAGCTCAAAAATCTGCGGCCCTTGACAAGAATGCATTTGTAACACCAATACTTGGTACGCGGAGAAAAGCAGCGATCAATAGCAATACTGTATATCTGATGTCCTTACAGGTCCCCAAACACGCGCTCCTCTTGGAATGAAGACCACGAACGCAAAGACAAAGGTCTTCCAAACTCCTGGGGTTCCGGTCCTTAACAAGCAGGGCGAGAGAACGGTTCAGAAACAGACGAGCGCTCGTCGACCGAAAAAGGCGACACATGCTGAGGCAGTCAAGTTGAAGGTCCTGGGAGATGAGAGTCCTTTGAAGGAGAGGGACTGTGACGTGGAATACTGCCCGCCCCGCGTGAAGGAAATGCCCTACGAATCCGAGGATTTTCCCGATGGCTGTCTCGATTACACGTTGATTCGAGGCAAAAACCTTATGAGCGGTATTCCCAGCCATCACACCAAACTCGATACGCAAGGGAGAACTCGACTCGACAAAGTGTTGGAGGACAGCTTTGCAAAATCGGCCAAGAAGACAGATGAATGTGTTCTGAAGATGATGGAAGAACAGTGGACCGTGGGCGACGTTCCAGAAACATTCCACAACATCCAAAGGAAGGATGCTCGATTGCAAGCCGCTGTTTCACACACGAAGCCCGCCGCGAAATTTACGAGAGCACCATCAACAGTCTCCTCGAGACGTGCAGTTTCAGCTCTTTCGGATGTGCATGCGAATCCTGTGATGCAACCAAAGGCCCCCAAAAAGACACAAAAGCCCATGATACCATTTATGTCTCGTCCTAAGCCAGAACCTGCAATGGCACAATCAACACTACGTCAAAGCGCAGTAACGAACATATCAAGAAGCACACTTGGATACTCCAAAGGACGGTCGGCATCTGGGGCCCTCAGCAAACCGACTGTCTTGCGAGATACATTTGTCGACCCCGCGCCAATAAAGCGCGCTCGTGGTGGCATGCAACGAAGCGTGAGCACCATGAGTACAGCTTCTGATAGCACTATAACACCGGCAAAGTTTCAAAAGGAGGAGTCCGAAATTCAGGAATGGAAGAAAAAGTTGCCATTTCTTCAAGCCTTCGATCTTCTTGAAGACAATGATTTAGAACCTGGATTGAGAGGCGTTGTGCCAGAAAGCCTGAGGAGAATGGACGAGGATGACGAGGAAGAGTTTGTTCTGACACTAGGTGGGGATTCTTAGATTCTCTATTCCATAAGCATACCCTGGGTCAGAAGCGTCGGTAAACGGAGATGGTGTAAGGTGTTAGTCACCAGTATACTAATGACTGGAAAGGCCGGATTTGCCTCTTTGTTATGTGTATACTATTTTAGTAGTCTTGTGTTAAGCCTCTGACTCATTGCCAAAGCATTTCAACGTGCTCTAACCTCGTAATGGAAGTGTGCTTGTCTTTCATCAATGTGATTTTCGACTTGGTCGTTTATTAATTATTAGAAATTGTTGGCTATGAGGCGTTCAGGTGTATGTTTTTATCTTTGCATGATCCAAGTTCTAGGATTTGTTGTTATTAGAGTTACATGATGGGATACCCAATATTGATATGCAAGACAGCAACAGACATCGAGGAAAAGGTTATTTGAACGCTGTCTCGTTAAGGTAAATTTTTTACGGTTTCCTTGCTACAATAACATTCGTCAAGCACACTGTATGACCGGATAATACAATGGGCAATACGAGGAAAGAAGTGTTCGAGATATATTGTATCGACGTGACAGTAGGAAGCTTGACTACGTACTCTGCCACAAGATTAAGAGAGGCGAACCGTCTTCCTTACTAAGTCCTTAGAAAACAACTCTATGGACGGGTTGGGAGGTTCGACGTCTTTGTATGTCCAGAGACCCGAGCATATCATGACTCTCTGTGCCGTCTTGTCATCGGACGACCCTGATGATTCCCAATCAATAGTCATTGCCCATATCTCCACCTGCCATTCCTGAGCATTAGGTTTTTGAATTCTTTGTTCCCCAAGAAGCAGCCACTCCAGACTCCCGTTTCGAAACCGGCCATCGAGCTCCGTCAGAGGTTTGCCGAGCTTGGTCATGTATTGCTTTGTCCGAAAGTATAGAAAGCGTAATGGACGTTCAAGATATCTAGTAGGGTGGGACGTCTTTTTCCCGTCCCAGTCGGCAAATTCAATAAGATCATATAACACTACATAGCCGTGAATATTCAGGATTGTTGGGCAGGTTCGGTAATCCTGAAAAAATGCCGCCTTCTCTAATGACACCTTGTGGCCGCTAGAATCTTCGACATCGATTCTACTTATTAGGGAGATAAAACTGCGATACGGAAACATGGAACCCCAGAGGCTCCATTCCACTTTTCCTTTCCAGCCCGCCCATGCCCATGTTGGGAATGCGTCATTTCGGCTCATGACCATATCGTCCGCAGAAGTCCACAATAAAGCTGTGACAAAAGTTCTCAGATACTCCTCTGCTGACTTAGTATCGTCGAATGGAAGACAGATGATTCCTTGAATATTGTGTAGAGGGGGTTGCATGCGCTCAAACAACTGCAAAATGCCACGAAAAGCGTCAAGCGTGTCGTTATGATTTGTTAGATTCCTCTGTGAAAATTCTCCCACGAATATGTAAAAGCGTTCCAACTCACCCACTTGGTCATACTTCGACCTATCAGGATTTGAATACATGTCGATCGCTGTACTAAACCTGATGCCATCGTGGTGAAGTATCCCAGGTTGTATACGTCTATCATACAATCTTTTCTCCCTGAAATCGGTTGCATGCTCAACACCTCCTATCGAATCGCAACACTGCAGATTTTGGGGGCATTGGAAGATCATTTCATGCTCGGTGAAGTACAGTCTTCTACCAGAAAAATATTCCTCTTGAAAAGTCCATCCACGGCTAGACCATTGTGAGTTCCTGAGCTGTGATCGCACCCCAGGCGTCGTGGAAAAAACCATGGTATCACCACGAGTAAAGTTTGCTTGTGGCACGCGAGGTGTTTGACCAACACCTGGAAGCCCAATTCTATCAGCAGCCGCGACGATAGTTAGCGTTGCTTCCGTGTAGATCTCACACATTTGCGCAATCTGTAGTGATCTTGCAGCTGGATTATTCTGATCGATACAGTACTTGTCGACCCAAAGGTACTTATATCCCAGATCAAGCGTGACCGATATTGCATCTGCAATGGTATTGGGGATGAATTGAGGGACTTCGAGACCAGTCGAACCTTTCCTAGGAATTACCCTGGCAGGTAAGGTACCTTGCTCAGGAGTGGCCAGTGACCAGACATAACTTAGAGCAACCCACTGATGTCCGAGCTGTGCTTTTTCAATTGACAAATCTTCGCAATTAATAAGCATCATCGGTGCCAACGAAGGAAGCTTAGAAGGTTGATTACACGAGCGGTGTTCTTTACTACAAGCGTCCAGCCACTTCTGTGCTTTCATTGCATCAAACTTAGGAGGAACTATCTGGAGCCGCAGGAACTTGCCCCTGTTGCGTTTAAGAATTCCGACTAGCATTCCTTCTTCTAAGGCTGCCCTAAGTACACGGTCGACGTCTCGTAAATCGTCTGGCAACGTCCACGGTAAGAATGCAATATCGATTCCGGCGAAATGAGCATCAAGCACTTTGCTTGATCTTGTACTCAAAGATCCACCTCCATCTATAAAGTGACGAGACAGCCAAAAGTCAGAAAGCCGCCAGGCGTAAAGTCTAGAATCGTCCTCGCATGGCATGCTAAGATTAGAAAGTCTGAGTCGTCTTGAGACACGGCAAATAACACACTCCTCTTTCCCTTCATTCTCGTTGCGGTCGTCGGTAAGCCCTACAAATATAGCCCAATATTTGGCGGTCTCCCTTAGTTCGTCAAGTCCCATTTGCAATTTATCTTCAAGGATTTTGAATTCGAGCAATCTCTTTTCTAGAAACCGTTGATCGAGCTCCAGAAAGTACTTAGTCAACTCCTCTGAATATTCTTTATATGTCTTACTTGGTTTAGATACTAAGTCGTCTTTCGTTTCTTGTATGAAGCTTCTGTCAATTTCTTTAAAGCTGTAGTTTTTGCCATTATATTGCTGAAAATGCAACACAGCTGATTCAAAATCGATTTCCTTGCACACACTGCAAAGCAAACCAGACGCAGGGTTGTTTTGCGCCACTTCATCTTGTTCCTCGGATTCTGTAGACATCTTGCTGAATGACACTGAGCTATCAATGTATAGACAAAGAATTGTGTCGCTGGTAAAGTAATTCCAGAAGGAGGATAAGCTGTTTGAAGCCAATAATGTCTGATAGAAATAAAATGATCAAGAGAAAACATGGTACAAAAAGTTGGCAGAACCTCTTGAGCAGAGGTAACAGCCTGTTTGCGGAAGGATGCATTAGGCACGCTGTTCTATGCCTATTTTTATGGTTACCTCGGACCTCATTTTCGGCCAGCGGCTTGAAGATACGTTTTCTCTGCAATAGAAACGCGAAAGATCCAGATAATGTGGGCTCAGGCTCGTGCTGGTATCAAGTAAATACATGAAATCATGACGAATACAGCCCGCGATGTTGACTTTTAGCTTGCCGAAAGGATACGACCCCGAAGATTGAGACTGTAGATTTGTGCAAACTGTTGGGTTGTTGTTGGTTCCCCTAGAGCGGCGAGAAAGATAGGTTTCACCGCAGCCTGCGGTGCAGCACACAGTTCATCGTTTGTCACCAATCAGGCAGACTCGATATATAGAAGCGGCGTGGTGGGCTGATTGCCAACGAAATCGTGCTCTCACTCAAATGATTGTATGGCAGCCAAATTCTCTTGGCCCAAGCGATGTCTCATGGACTTTCTTTTGAGGCTCGTCACACAGCCAGTCCATTCGACTGCGAGCGATACAGAGCAGCTCAAATAGAAACTGCTGACTAAGGGGGAAATTGCTGGTAGGTGGAAAAGGCGACCATGATTCGAAATTAGTACGATCTTGTCCGTTCATCCGGATCGCTTGTAACGAGGTTTCACTGAATAAGACAAGCCTCATTACCACTTTGTAGGTAAACTATTCAAATTAGATCATGATTGAGCTATAGGCACACCTAACGTTGTTTGATTAGGAGTAAAACTTACAAACTTCTCTCGTGCTTAATCCAGGACGTGCAACATAAGATCTTGTGCCAGCTCGATTGCATAGACTTTGTTTTCGACTACTAAGTGTTGCATCCACTAGTAAGTTTTCGTCGGGAACATGGCTGTATTAAAGACTAAACTTTAGAGGACGCTGCTTTCGTAGTAACACATAGCGGCAAATTATGACCTTCAAGACAGTACGAGTAGTTTGGTTGGTGAAAACTGACATAAGCGAAGAACACATTGACATGTATGCTGACTGAGGAATATTCAGTATCCAGCTGTGAGAATAGACCACTCAGAATTGTTGGTCATAACCAGTAACTTAATGTTCCCCTCATGAGTCTTGACTCAACGCGGTGGAAGCAATTATTTTTCCTAGAATCCCGTGCCTGTTGAGAAAACGAAAGATTCCTGATAAGTTGTATAACCCACTGCGAAAGGCTACTAAACCCTCTGTTAAGAAACCAACTAGATTATCGTTATCTCCTGTTCATCCAGATGGGCCATGCTCAAGTCAGTCGTAGGACCATCATCATCATCAAAGCCACCAAAAATCGGATGAGTGTGATAAAGCTCCATGAACCCAACGCGCTCGAAACAATCTTGCCGTGAATTCGATTTAGACAGAACCAAAGCCCCGAGCGTCTGGCCATTGGAGTATAGAAGAAAGCACCATACATCCACTTTGCCAGTATTTGCTTCCGAAGATGAATTTCTTCTCTCAACTACTTTCAATCCGTTCTGTAGCCTGATGGCAAGAGGGCAATCAGGCCAGAAAATAGCGGTTTCGTTGACACAATTGCCGTCTGGTGTGGGGACCATTGGATCGCGCCCTTGAATGAAAATCGGGTAGTGAGGTATCGTGTGATCATCCGGAATCTCACGTATAACGACATAGTCCATCCAATGTGTTGCTTGTGCATTACGCCTTAGAATATAGCTGTCTTCAATGGTGATCTGCGCCTTAAATATTCTTCCTCTCATCGTCAACCCATTTTCTTCAGGCGATTTCCCCAACGCTTTCGGCATGTTTATGACATCTATAGCTCCAAAAGAGTTTCCTTTTGTCATGGCCAGCTTCTCAAAGTTGATAGGACCTTGAATTGAAGCCCAACTCCAAGTGGGCGCAAGATAGGGCTCGGTGACTATGCCAGTCTCTGCGATTCCTTTCCTTCCCCTTCCAGGTTTCCCAAGACACCTCCAAGCTAGACCTTGAAGTAAGTGACTCCTCCAAAAGCCAGCTAAGAAAACATCATCTTTACCAGCAACTTTCAGTCTCTCTTGAAACTGAAACGCCAGAGCAGAAACTGCAGCCAGCCGGTCAGATTCTCGTGTAAGGCTCAATTGGGTGTAGTCAACAAGGAGCTTTTGATGCCAATAATCGTACATCTTCTTTTTATCTAATGGCTCTTTCATCAAGGTCCGTTCGTATATGATGCGATCTGTTCCATAGTAAGACTCTGCACGCCCACACTCGCACCAGTGCGTTGTTCTGCATTCCCATGTCACTTCAGCAACTCGGTACGATAGCAGGCGTCGTGGGACAAGGCGCTCTTGATAACACCATGCTCGAGAGAGAATGGGCTCTTGACTTGGCCAATTCACATGATCAACCTCTGCACGGCATCTCAGCCCGCTACCCGTAAGTACTTTTGGGAGAATATTGCTCTTGCGATCGCGAAGAAACCCAGCCTGCGCATCCACAGCTATTGCAGCTGCGATCGCGATGTAGGAATTACTATAAATATCGCACATTTTGGGCGCCTCTTCCTCCCAATCGCTGGCCGAGTCTTGGATAATACACAGAGAGTCAACTGGAAGTGATGAGTCAGTTGAGCTCTTGAGGAAATTGATGCAATGAAGAAGATACCTACTCCAAAGATAGCGGATTCCAAGCTCTCGAGTTACAGTAATAGCATCTTGAAATGTTTTCGGCAAAATATCCCACCTGATTTCCTCTTTAAATGTGGATAAAGTATCCAAAGTTGTCGTCAATATCGGATCCTTCCCCCAACAATGGCTCAGTGCAATATATTCTGCGGTCTCGTTCTTGCTTCTCTCATATAACCGTACATCATTTCCGTCTTTGTTAGATGACCCGACATCAATTACCCTTTTCGGAAGCTCTGTTACGAAACCTGATTTACAATCCGAGTGTTTGTGCTCATTATCACACCTTTTCGCCCACTGCCGGATCAAATTGAAACAGTCCTTAGATCCAGAATTAGGATGGATGTCGCTGAGAAAGCCATACCCCCCTTGCTTGTTGGTTGTGTCCTGGGGATTTTCTTTCGCGGGTAAGTAGAACTCGCGACCATCGTACCTCACCGGAGCTCCTCCACCAGCTGAAATCCGCTTTTGCTCAACCGCCTCAAGCAGCACACCTGTTGGACAACCCTTTGTGTGTGATTTTGGAGGCTTTGCCGTTATCGGGTTGCCAATATATTGGCAGAGCTTACAGGAACCGTGAGAGTTAGCCATTGATTGGAAGGTAAGTGCGTGATTTCACAAAGCGTAGATAAATATTTTCGGAGACGGGAAGATCTGGGGCTGAGAAGGAGAAGCTGACGCTAGTAACCCGAGGGAAAATCTCACGTGTTGACAATATAACTTTTTGAAAATATCGATTTGCGAGCCGTTGTAGAGATTCCGTCCCTGAATAGCGTTGTTAATGATGAGGTTCAAGTTCGAAGTCTTCATCTTAGCGTCGATCGCTGTACTGATGACGATAGCTAAGCTAGCGCTGATTTAGATTTTTGCGTTACTGAGGAAGGTAAGAGACTAGGTGTTAGATCGTATTCATACAATGTATAAGATAGTAAAAGCTGAGGTCTGATGTGAGCCAGATATACAATTTCGAGGAGATCGGAGTGAATGATCTTATCACGTGCTTCTAGCTGAATACATGCAAGTGAGCAACCAGCGAAAGAAAGTATTAAGACTGATATCATGTGAACTTATAGCTAGGCTGCGATTCAATCGACATTGATACATTAAAGCTCATATCTTGGTCTACTAATACGATCAAACCCGTGACGGTATTCGTTGTCCTGAATATTTGTCACTCCGCTTAGTAAATGGAGGCGCGATAGGTTTAAAAGTTGTTGTTGAACGGCCATGTCGTCGGTTGGAGCTACTAAGCTTTCTTGACATTTCCTGAATGAAAGTCAGCCTGGTACTGGTATCGCAGAACTTGATACTTCCTTGATTAGACATAAGACAGACATTGAAAGTCGAGATCCAGCATGAGTGTAGCCGTATGTGAAAAATGACTTAATGATATTTCAGAGATGAGTAAAACCTTATGTCGCATTTGCTGTCGAAGTTGTTGAATGTTTGTACACAAGGCATATTACTTTGCTTTGAGACTGACTAGGGGAAAGAATTGCATATTCGCCAATTTGTAACTTTACAGACGTAACGAGAAACTAGAAGATGCTAAAATTGCTACATAAAAGTCACGCTACCTCTTTTAGGTGAGCTAGAGAACAAAAGGTGCGTACTAGAGGCTGTATGACTTACTATTTATCGGCACACGGGCTCATCAGAACGTGGCCACTAATCAAATCGTGGAATGTTGCGTTTCGTTAATGAATGAGTTTTTCACAGTAGGTTTTATGGGCGTTCTAGATGGAAGGGCGGAGGGCTTCAAATATGACCATAATCTCTCTTTTTATACCGGATGATCGCTCGTCTTAGGTCGTGTATACCTGAAAATCGCCTGTGGAAACAGCGAGATTGAGAGCTTAGAAATGGTCGGACCATTGTGTTACAAAAGGATCATGAACATCCAAATTGCTTCTCAAACCCAAGTCATGCGGATTAAGGGAAAGAATCATCATAATAGAAGATTCGGTTGAGGATCTCCACTTCCATTCCCTGACCGACAATAGCATAATCTGTTTTTCTCGCGTCAAACACTTGCTGATTGATGGAAATAGTGGAAATCCAGTGATCCATTCCGCGTTTCTCGAGAGAATTGACTTATCCAAATTCAATGCACCTTTTTCAAGATAGATCAATTGGCTTTTGCTGAAACAACTCTTGCCTTGGAGAAAGAGACCTAGACCGCTACAAATGCGTGTTAAAACATATGTCAGCAGAAGGGGGCCGGCTCGCCCCAACATCATTGGTGGATATTGATCACTTTTCATGGAGTTGGGATAGGGGAGGATTTGACAAAGAAGATAGTACTTAGGAAGCTTGTATTGTAGTGCGTCGGGCGACGTTATCGAAGTTGATGGCACGAGGGAGTCTAGCCACACTCTGGACTAACTACCCTCCTTAGCTATGATGTGGGTATTCACCATTTGACTGAAAGATTCCGACCACACTTTCCCTGTTCGGAACGCGTTGCTTGAAAGGTTGGGGTAGAAAAGCTTCGGTCGGCAGTGTGAAAGTGGAAGGTGGCTTAGGCAGACCCAGCGGAGAAGGGGATTGGGCGCTTAGATAAAACTGGCACGTGATATAAGCTAGGCGACGCCCCTGGCTCGCTTGTCATCTCGTTTGACAACTCCTCCTTCAAACTAACCACCCCTTCTACTTCATACTTCAGGAACATCTCAACTATTCTTCTGTCTTGTCATGATGGTGACAAAGGCTTATTCCCACCTTATGGATAAGAATAGTCACAAAGACAATCGACTTGCCTCAATCATCTCCGATGCATCGTTTTAAGCGTTTGCCAAGTGAGCTTGTTGGCCTTTTCTCTTGGCTCTTTCCTCTTATCGCAGTGCCAAGTGCTGTGGAATCATGCGACGCTACGAAGGTAAATGATCGGTACATGTCTGCAACCACTACGGCGTCGACGGTACATCTCGAACGTCAACTCTGGGGAAACATTCCACACCGATTGGCGAGTGCCATATCGTGTAGTGGCGCAACCCGCGGGGTTGACATACAGGAGCACGGTTGACCGGTGGGCTTTCTTGGTTTGCCCCTGGTTGCCACTTCATGAAGCCTTGCAAGTTGCAGTCCATATCGCGGAGCTGTAATGCCCTACTGGATCGTTGTAGGGTTGTCAATTTAAAGATCGCCATATTGCGTGCTCCATTTCCCAATCAATCACTTTCGTTTCACGGTATCGACCGAGGCTTTTGCTTCGCTCACTTACTTGAAGGTACTGGTCGAAGGAAGAGTGGAAGGAGCTGTGATTGTGGCTGACGAGTCCGATAGAACCCCCTGCCCCTGACAGTATCAAACGATACAGTACGCATTACTGGAGGCTACCTACTTTTACGCAACTGGAACTATTACTCCTTGATGACATGTCATTCGTCACTAGTATTTCCCCTTATGCTGATCTACTCGGTCAATGCCGTTTGGTAGGGCTCTGGTTCAGTGTCAAATGGGCAGACTACGTGCTTTGCCCTTGTCAACTTCTTTACCGCAATCTTATTCTGAGGCTCAAGCTAAATAGCTAGCCACTCATTCTCCCTAGGAGATTTAGTCGGGACTCAACTGAATTTCGTGCATCGGAATGTCCTATTGAGGATGGAGACTCTAGCCCTCGGCATCGGCTTTCCCTTTAGCATGGACCTACGAGTACTCGAGTAGACTTCCTTCATGTGTAGCTGATCAACAGCATCGGGGTGATCATGACCTATTGGCTGCTCAGTGTAATCACCGCTACCTTCTACTCAGTTCCTTCCTCTTTCGCATGATATCCTATCACATCAACGCTGCGCTACATTCCTATCCCATGTCAACTTCCTTTTACTCGACCTCCACACCCTTTCCTACCCTGACACTGTCATAGACGTGATCAAAATAGGAAGTTGATTCGATTCAGCATCCAAAGATGTCGCATTACAGCGAAGCTAGGAAGGCTGAGGATTGTCCACACAAAATCGACATCACGTATATAAAGATCAGTAGTTCCACCAAGTCAGTTCTTTTATCTCCAGTCCGACAGTTCACTCTCAACTGCAGATCTCATCTATCACATCATCATTCATCAAGATGCGTTTCTCTACTACTGCGTCCGCTGCTTTCCTAGCCGGGTCTGTTGTCGCTCATCCCCACGCTTATCCTCCTCTCAACGGTCTTTCTAAACGCAAATTGGATCTGAACTCATTCCGCCTAGAGACTGAAACAGAGTACTCTGATACCGCGGCAACTGATTCGACTCCAATCGTTGCGCTTGTGAAGAGAGAAACATACCTCGAGACGGCCACTGCTTTAGTGCAGAAGACCGTTCCGGGTGCAGAATTCCGCGTTGCTGATGATCATTACGTTGGTACCAACGGCATTGCTCATGTTAACCTAAAGCAAACTGTGCACGGGCTCGACATTGATAATGCCGATTTCAACGTGAATGTAAGTAACCATCCACGTCATTAGGTATCATGACTAATACCAGTTATCAGGTTGCTGCAGATGGCAGTGTGTTCTCTTTTGGTAACTCTTTTTACACTGGCGCCATTCCAGCTGAAAATCCTCTCACCAAGCGTGATCAAATTGATCCAGTTGCTGCGCTTAAAGGGGCCTCCAGTGTGCTAGACCTCTCCATCACTGCCACTGCCGCCGTTGCCAAACCAGAGGAATCTCTTGAGCACTATGTCATCGAGGGTAGTCAAGGTGCCCTTTCTGCTCCCAAGGCGCGCCTTCAATACATCTTGACCCCAGAGAACACTCTTGCCCTTGTGTGGAGAGTTGAGACCGACGTGGGAAGTGATTGGCTCTTGACATATGTCGATGCTGCCGACTCGAGCAAAATCCACGCAGCAGTCAACTATGTTGCTGAGGCTTCGTACACAGTTTAGTAAGAGTCACAAATGATTTTGTGATTAGTTCTAACAACTGTCTAGCCCTTGGGAAACTAATGACCCTTCCAAAGGAAGCCGTGTCACAGAATCCAACCCTGCCAACACTGCCTCTTCACCTTTGGGTTGGCACAACGACGGTACCACCACATACACCGTGACTCATGGTAACAATGGTATCGCTCAGGCAAACTACGCCGGTGATACCGCCTATTTGAGCGATTATCGACCAAGTGGAGGAAGCACGAATGACTACCTCTTTGGTCTTAACCTCGCCAACACCAACCCGCAGACCTACTCTAACGCATCAGTCACTCAACTGTTCTACACCGCTAACTTGTATCACGACCTTCTCTACCAACTTGGATTTACCTCTGCAGCTGGTAACTTCCAGACAAGCGTCAACGGAGGTGGTGGTAAGGGTGGAGATGAGGTTATCCTCAACGCGCAAGACGGAGCTGGAACTGATAACGCCGATTTCGCCACTCCAGTTGATGGACAAAAGCCAAGAATGAGAATGTTCATCTGGGATTACACCACTCCAAAGCGAGACTGCGCATTTGATGCTGGTGTTATTATTCACGAGTATACCCATGGTGTTTCCAATCGTTTGACTGGTGGTCCAGCCAACTCCAACTGCTTGAGTGTTCTCGAGGCTGGTGGTATGGGTGAGGGATGGGGAGATTTCATGGCTATTGCCATTCATCTCAAGACTTCTGATAAGCGAACAACCAACTACCCTCTTGGTGACTGGATCTACGGAAACCCTGCTGGAATTCGCCAATACTTGTACTCCACAAGCTTGACCACCAATCCTCTCACATACGCAAAGGTCAACGGTGTCAGCGAAGTCCACGCCATCGGTACAACTTGGGCTACTATCCTTTATGAGCTCCTCTGGAACATCATCGACAAGAAGGGCATCACTGCTACCCGATTCCCTGTTCTTGATGCCAAGGGAGCACCAACTGATGGTCGTTTCTACACCATGAAGATTGTCATCGATGCTATGGCTTTGTAAGTTCCTCCTTCATAAATCCTTTTTTTGTTTATACATTACTAATATCTACGATAGACAACCTTGCAGTCCTACATTCGTTTCCGGACGTGACGCTATCCTCGACGCCGACAAGAACCTTTCCGGAGGGGCCAATGCTTGTGCTATCTGGACTGCCTTTGCCAAGCGTGGTGTTGGATCTGGTGCCAAGAGAGGTACTGGTAACAGCGGCCGCACTGCCAGCAACGTCATCCCCACCGGTGTCTGCTAAGTGTGAGGTCGAAGCCGTGTTTTAGAGCATTGAATTGTCATTGGAGTGGAGTTGTCATGTATCTAGACTTTTTTGACGAACTTTTATGCATTAGACAAATGAATTATGTTAAAGATGATTTGCTTTGACTTCCTCTTTGTTAGTTCGAAGGTGAATCTTGAAACCTTGATGCATATTAAAGATAAACTCTCTTATCCGAAATGGGCATAAAGACATGTGTTCTCTGAGCGACAAGATAAGACTCCTCTGATATAACTGGTGGTGTCAAATCTCGATGCGCTCGCGCCATTATGAACATATTTCCACATCCAGCTCAGACATTTCACATGACACATAATGACTAGCTTGCGAGCATCAGAAAGTCTTTGTTTCGAAGTCTCGATTCATAATGGTATAGGTTTATGTTATGAGTCTTCGTACCAAGTACGGTTAAGAGTCATGATATGCTTGCAACTCCATTCAGGATAACTCCTGTCTTTCTGCTACCGAATCGTATTCACACATTTAATTCCTATCTAGCATGCACACTGTCACAGGGCGTCTGTTTTGAACTTGCTGTTCTGAGTCGTATAAGACTTTATCTCCAATTTTGGTTGGACATACTGTTACGGGTCATGGCATACTCCTCTCCCTATTCGGGAGTTCTGGTTTCGCCAAAAGCCGAGTGAACAAAATTTCGTGGTGCGGAGTTTCGGCCAAACTTTGTTTGGCTTCGCCCACTACCGACCTTTATCGAAAGTCAGATAGACACACGTCCCTTTAAGCAATTCTGAGGTTTGGAATTGATTTGAAGATTTGTACAGTCACATGTCTCATTCGGGATTTTTTTCAAAGCATGCGTTCGACTTCGCCTGCTAGTCGCTAATATTTCTAATTCTTGCAGAGTTGGAAATTCATATACCATAAACGGTAAGTTTTACTGAAACCGGGAACATGTAGAGCTTTTCCCATCATAGCTGTCTGTCCAAAAGGGATTAAGTGCTACTGTTCTCCGGCCTTTGGAAAACTCAGAAGATTTCTTGCACACAACCTCTTTCATCGAAGGTGGTCCATAATTTTCATTAAGAACTCTGAGATAAAACAGTCTAATATGAGGGCTAATACTATTTCGTTGATCTTTCCAGGTGTCTTTCTGCTAGTATGTAGTACAGGCAGGAGGTCAAAGATGAAATCACTAATATTTGTAGGGTATCGCTGCAATTCCTGTGGATGATCCATCTCCACATGAACTACAGTATCCTGGTCTTGGGTCTGAAGATGAAATGCACCCAAGTCGGATTTCCCATATGAGACGAAGGTTGATTACCGCGACTCAGTCCAAAAACGTACAGTAAGTCTGGCTAGGCAAATATATTTGAAAATACCTAGCTTGCTAACATGAATTTTTAGATTGGTGCTGTTTTTTGCCTGCAAAATAGTCCTATCCGTGGTTTATCCGACACAACGTTCTGGCGCAGTGTAAATCCCTGGATCAAAGCCCAATCAAAGAGTACGAGAGCACTATCAGAATTTATAGTCTAGAAAACCTACAATTGACGATCGTTAGGAGAAACAGATCTTTGCGAAGTTGCACCTCATTCATGCACCACCATCAAATGCAATGAGGGAAATACAATCTTCATCTGTTCTGACGTAAGTTCTGACGAATCATTTCGCAGGTGCTTGACTTGCTACTGATTTTACTAAAATGTAGAATGATGAGATCATAAGACCAGTGTGCTCGGACTTGGCATTATATCTTCAAAAGATCGTGGATGAATGCAGCATCTATGTAAAGGGGGCCGGTGTGAAAACCCGGCGTGTTGGTGGGCAGGTTTTTGATGACCGCGGATTTAATGTTGTTATGGGTTACAGCAAAGATTGCTTGGAAGTATCTGCGCCATAGTTTTGCTTGTATTCTCGGGGCATGGATGGTGGTTTGGCAGAGACAATGTAAGACTTTTGGACAAGAGAAATGCTGGGTTCACTTTTTCCTCTACAAACATGTCTCTTTTGGTGGTAAGCAAGTGGGGGAATCGATGCGCACTTTGGATGATCAAAGTAAACTTAGTAGGTACATGCTTCATAGTCACATATACGTGGAGTCTTATGTTGCCTAAATTACCTGATGGCCTTTCGCTAAAAGCTGATGCTCTGCCTTTCCTGGCGATTTCAATAAGTTAATCCCTGGATTTTACTAAAACAGGTACAGTATGTGCGGCGCTCCCTGCTTGGACTTATGGATTTTGTGATTTTTCCACCAGAATACAATAACTCACGGCACGAAAAGAGGGTCCAAAGTCATGTTCCTGGTTGTTTTGGAGTTGTAGATTCATATATCCTAGCTAGGAAGAATCCATGCATACGAAGCGACGGTAAGGTAGAGTTCCAGTCACTGAGTAGGAATTTGAAATACCATAATCAGTTTATGTGACGCTGTAGGCGACTCCGTTGAATCTTTCCATTCATGGACTTCCCGTTCAATATTATAGAGACTCCAGGTCCTGCCTTTCTAGATAGATAAAAAAGTCTTTCCATACACAACTTTATTCATCGCACATCACTCTCCCATAACGATCCACAAATATATCGAAACAAAACACAACATGCGATCGTCCATCATCGTCTGGGCCCTTTTGGTTATTTTTCTCGTTGTACGTATTCCATAAATGATGCCCTTTCAAACGAGAATGCTACTGATATTGTAGGGTGTTGCGGCTGTCCCTCGTGATGAACTATCTTCCCGTGACCTGCATTCTTCTGAAAATGCACCGAACATAGATTTCTCTTATAAAACCCACGTCAATACCGGCAAACAAAGATCAGTCGAGACAAGGACCAACTTGGCCTCTTGGAAAATTGGGGAACTAAAACTTGTAAGCCCCACCTAGAAAGAATAATTGGAAGAGTACGTTTCTGACATGAGTGCTCAGCGACTTCCTCCTATCTGCGTGAAAGACGCGAAAAATGGGCCCGAGCCTCCCATCATTAATGGCATGGATGGTAAACCCATGGAATCTCCGCCAACGTCATACGTACAGACAGCTAAAGAGAAGTTGGCAAGTAAGGTTCTCTGCTCGAGTAATCAATATTAGCTTAAATACCGCTGACAATCCAAAGAACAGGGGGGTATTTGCGAAGTTCAACCTCGAAAATGCGTCAGTCTTTATTGCGACAGGAGAGGAGTTAAAGTCCTTCTTTGTTCCGAGGCAAGTGTCGCCCAAAGTCTAAACTTTCAAATCGCTACTAACTTTTAACGAATGAAGCGCGATGAGGTGATGAGTCCGAAATGTGAAGACATTGCCAACATGCACGTCCAAGCACTCCTTGATAATTGTACTTTGAAATCCTACTACGACAGTGGCGTAAAGTCAACCGCTGGTCAAGTCTTTGATTCTTTTGGGCTAAACGTCGTTGTTGGTTGGCAAAATCAATGCGACTGATAAAAGATATCACCTGCCAATTGAGGGAATAATAACATTTCTGGCGGTAGAAACTTCATATTTAGCAAAGATAGCGTGAGCGAAGGAATATTCTACCAGTATTTTGGTCGTTTTCTTATGCTACCTTGGTAGGAACCATACGTATTTTTGAGGGTCGCATGAAGCATATTTACGTAGATAAATTTGAGAACATGACTCTCAGATTTACGTTATCTTGTCAATTGTATTTTATAGGAAAATGTATTTTTGGGTTGTTTTGCATCAAAGTTATTGAAGTTTCGATTATTTGAATCAAGCCTGGATTTAATTTTCCATCATAAAATCGTGACTCTGAGGGAAAACAAGAATATGGCTCATTCAAGAGAAGAACATGATGCAGTGGACATCTGTGCCGCACTTTTATCTTCAATCTATTTTCAAGAAAAATATATCATGTTCGTCTCCGATTCACCCTACAATAAAACCAAAGTTCGGGTAGAACTGATATGTAACATCACATGATACAAACGACATATTGACAACTGACCAATGGAGTTTCGCTCGACTACTAGGTGTTTACTCACATGCCACACAGTAGGCCAAAGAATCATTATTCACAGCTCAGGAAGCATTCTCAGCACTTTAACTTTATTCAAGCTGCAAGTTCAGGTCATTTGACGAACAGAAGGTTTCTGATAGCTTGAAACGGAAGTTTATATCCTGTATATTCGAAGAATATGAATCTAAATTTAGAGAAAAATGTTATCAAGGCGTGGCAGTATTTATCAGGGACAAGAGCTTCCTACCATATCGTGGAATGCTATAAGCTTATCTAGAGAATGTATATAATTTCTAGGAATTCATAACCAGTTACAAAAGAAGCGTAAGTGAGGTTAATAGAGTAACAGAGTCCAAACATATTTGTCTCGTCATTCTCGAAATTATTCCTCATAGTATAGACCCAAGAAGGAGTCTTCCTACTTTGGCTCAAATTATACAAATAAAATAAATAAATTCTCAACTGCTTATTATCTTCAACAAGAAACAAGAATAAAGTTATAATTCACATTCCTTAGCCCAACTTTTAATATAAGAAGTAAATTTATGAGAATCGGGTAAAACTGCTCTTTCTAGGCATAGAAGGCTATCTTACTTAGAATCATTATGTCTTATCATTTATATCGGAACCATTATATCGAAGCTATTGTGAATGAACAGTCTGAATGAACAGTCTGAACACATGCAAGCACAGATGTATAACTATGTCTCAAGCATGTCCTCCAACCCAACTCTGCCCTTCATTCTTCCCAAATTCGACACTTACAATCTACCATCCTTTTTGAGCACTCAATTTTAAACCCCTCAAGCTTTAACCTATCTCAGACTTCTCGTTGCAACAAAGATACAATGGTTGTTCTAACCCCTCTTCTCTGCCTTGTCGGCATATTTAAACTTGTAAGACTTCCACTTACGACATATTACTTCATGTTTGAAAGGCTGATAACCATTATCAGGCAATTGGTGTTCCTGTAGACGCTCCACTCCCTCTTCCTATCTCCGATTTGGTCTTCAGAGGCGAGCTCGGAGGTCACGAAGTCGAATTCAATGGTACTATCCAGGTAAGTTGTTTACTCCCACACCTCGAAGTTATCCCTAGAGAGATTATCCCGAAAGAGAATTAGCGAAATAGCCAGAATCCAATCCATCTTCAGAATCCACATCTCTCCTCCCATTTACTAAATCCCAACCAGGAAGTCTACGCCCAAGTCGCCGCCACCCACCCATCCTTCAACACCCGCTCCCAACTGGACACAAATATCGCCCTCGCAGCCGCCTCACCCATCCAGATAACCAAGAGAAACAAGGTAAATTCCTCAAAACGCCCATCATCCAACATTATCTTAGCATCACATCTCAGGCCCACCACTTCTGCAACCAAAACATCGGCAAACCCTGGCTCCCCGCAAAAGTAACCTACATCGAAGACGGCATCAAATACCTCAGTACATCCCCCTACCCCCTCCCCCATCCACCCCTATACCCAGACCTAACCATCCCCGCAGAGTCCAAAGGTAAATGCGGAGTCCAATCCGGGCACTGCGCGCGCATCTCCTGTTCCTGGGATTCCGCGATATTTCTCTGCAACGACGTAAGTCTTTGCGTTGTTGTTTAAATATGGGAGTAGGCTAATAGGGTAAGCGTCTGGATTTTATCGAGCCATCGTGTGCTTATCTGGCGTCTTATGCTGAGGATCTTATTGATTGGTGTAAGACGGAGGTGAGTGGGATGGGATCGGCGGTTGCGGGACAGTTGTTTGATACGGATAGTTATAATGTTTTGGTGAGGTATAGTAATTGCTAGACTGGATCAGACAGGCGTGAGTTTGTATGTGCAGGAGCTTCAGATTATGTGGTGTTCTGGTTTTGGTGGTCCGTTAGGAAGCTTCAAGTTATCTGATGTGTCAATTTTGGTGGTATGTGGTGGAAGACTAGGAAGCTTAGACGTTAATTCGATGTTATCCATTTGATAAGATATGTCTTGGTACCTATCGAACCCGTTGGGCTTAGCATTGATCTTTTTTTCTTTTTTCTAGTAAGCCTATTATTCTACCTTAGTGTACCATATGTTCGATATTCAAGTCGGTAGCTAGCTGAATAAGATAAGTGAATTACTTATAATTCCAATTATAATGAGCCACCCTCGGCATACCTCCCCCCGCAAACCCCCCTACAACATTACCAAACAAGCAAATTTGCATCACCACAAACCAAGAAGAGCTCTTAGTAGACACCTCATCAACGAACCGCGTAACACTACTTTAATTTAACGTCCACCTGCCCTGACCAAGCCAACAAACCTCGCATGCAAGTGAGATCAGTCATAAAAACCTAATAATAAACAGCTCCAAGCGGTAAAGCACACCAACATACCTTATCTCATGACTGCGTGATCAAATAGAATCCATACCACTCCAGGTGAGGCAAATCCTACGCTCGAATTACGATGAATGAAAAGTTTGGAAAATGATGGGAATGTTGAAAGGACTGTTTTCCAAATTAGCAAACCGTAAAGATTTGTTGAATCCATCCTGGATAGACATTCCGCGTTCGTTTTCCTGGCTTGAAGCCGAAGTTCATTCAGTCGAGATTCGCATTCTGGTGGGTGTTTTGAATGACGTTCGTTCCTCGATTCTAAGCTATGGGGAATAATGCAAAATTCAGAATCCACGGTGCGTAGAGGTCAAATAACGGAAGCGAGTTGAGCTCCATGAAGATTCATAGTGAGTTAATACTGAATACTGCGTTGGGATTGCTAAGACGGAGTGATTGAATGTATCAAAATTGATTCGAATAACCGACGCAGGCTACGCCATTCAAGACCAAACTGCTACCAATTAGTATATCAAGCCCCGTTCTCAATCTTCTTCTCCTTCTCTTTTATCACCACTCCACAAACTCTCCTACAGAATACGCAATTGCATTGTCTCCATTCGAAAGCGACCTCAATCCCAAAACAACACCACTGAACTCCAGGAAAATCCAATACACCAGCACCAAAAATGAGTCGCCCCAACGAGCGTCGCTCCTCCACAGCCTCAAACCGTGGCTCAAAACCCAAAGACCCGTACGCCCACGGAACCACACTCGCCAGAGATGGCACATACGGCACCATAAACGTCACACGCACCGAGACCCGTGGAACCAGAGACACCCCGAGCTCCTCCCGCAGACCCAGTAGCCCCGTCGTGCATGGAACGAAATTGAACAGAGACAGCCGAAGCTCAAGCACTCAGCAAGGATCAAAGATAGCCAGCCCTCGCGCTGAGACGATGTTGAATAGAGATCGCAGGGACTCGTCTTCCTCGGCGCGACCGTCGTCTTCGCGTCCGATTCCGCCGGCGAGTACGGTACTTCATCGTGATCAGAGCAGCTCAAGTAGACAGCCGCCACAAAGCTCCGTTATTCCACCAGCAAGGACGGTACTCCATCGAGATCAAAGTAGCTCAAGCAGACACCCGCCACATACCCAAATCAATACTCCACCAGCGAGAACGGTACTTCACCGCGACCAGCAGTCTCAGGCACCTGCTCCAGTTCAGAGTAATCGACAAAAGACATTGCTGAGAACCGAGCGAGATGTTGCGATGGCATCGCGTATGATGAATATTCAAAGTATGAACCCGAAGGAACGCCAGGAACAGGAGAAGTGGTGCCAAGAACAAATCAAGCTAAGCGGATCCTGTCCTGCGAGATTCGATTGGGTACGCAAGAAGAACGGATTCCACTGCAAAGGCGGAAATCATTTCATCACCGACAAGCTGCTGGCGATGGGGAACGGATTCTGCTATGTGACAAGCGAATTTTCTTATGATTGGTTGCTCCTTGCTGGACAATGCAATGACCCACGCGCCAATCAATGGTCAGGGCCATACAAACTCACTGGGGGCAATTTTAGACCACACCAGATGCAGGTACAGTACTGTGACGGTATCCCATGTGGTAAGCAAGTCCAAGGACATGAGCTTGGTATTGAGCCTATAACTCCGGCGCAATGGGCAGAATTGGAAAGCCGTCAGCACGCTCTCAGGGTTCACCTGGCGATGCACGGGAATTTTGAGGATAGATTGCACGCTGAGGACTGGCTTGCTATATTCAACCATGCCAGAAGTCCAAGCAGGATGGATAGGCTTGAGGCGGCCCAGGCAGTTGCTGAGATGCAAGCCGCGAGGCAGATGCAAGGATTAATCTGAATTCAAAGTCGTAATCGAGCTGCTCATGAGCAGGCTCCTTCCCGATCGAGTGGTCTTGGGCGATGAAAGTGGCTTGGAGAACAGTATAGCAGGTCAAAACGCGGCGTGATAGATAGACTTAGAGAGAAGACTCGGATACGAATCGCCATAGCGAAAATGTGTCCAGGAATCGAAGATTTATAACAACAATAGCGCAGGCGTGCAAATCCATGGATGGACCAGACCGTATTGATGTGCCGGGAAGATCTTTGCTGTGCGTAATTCCGTATGTATGGGCGATGCCGCTTCCGAAGTACGAACAACGTCTTCGATCATTTGAAGTGGCTTTCTGACTCTAGCTTGTTGCAGCTGCCTAAGAGACCCAAGAATACCACTGGGGTAAAGTTATAAAGCTGGCATTCTGACACAGCCCAGTTGAACCCAGGCTGTTTCCAGGGTGGTGTAAAATCATTTTTTGATGATGTTAGACTCGGGCCCGGATCGCGACATGCACTTTCAGTGAGGAGCAAGCGAGCAGCGATTGACATATTTTTGATGGCCCCTCCGCCTCCTTGAATTATACGAAAACCCAGACAGTTCTATGTTTGGCTAGTTCGCGCTGATGTTAGAAAATCCGCGTTATTCCTAGACGTAACAATCAATCATCGCGCACGACTCGTCAACTTCTTAAACTCCCCAATCGTAGCAAACGGGTGAGCACCAGCATCCTTCTCGCCCACATCCTCAGGAACAGCAACGACATTCTCGCCTCTAAAAATATCAAGCTTCGTATCCTTGAAATTGCGTGCGGAGATCTTATGCTCAAAGAGGATGTCTATCTCAGCATACGTCCTGCCTTTCGGCTCGGGAAGTCGAAAGTAGATCCAAACAACGCAAAGAGCGCAACTGCCAGCCCAGAAGAACGCGCTTTTGGCACCCCAACCCCAGCCAGATGGAGTTGGTGTGAGCTGATATGTGGTGAGGATGTTGACTACGATGCCGCCGATGTTGTAAAGATTCCGGGCCAGAACGATGGTCTTTGATTTCAGACGAGTAGATGACAGTTCAGCGACTAGAGCATAACAAACAGGTCCGACCGTTAGATCGTATACCAGCGTAAAGATGAGGAGCATAGAGCCAATTGCCCAGCGAGAGGCTTTGTTGCTTGATGGTGCGATTGATGCTAGACCGATGATCATGAGAAGTACCAAGAGACTAGCGGCTCCTTTGAGGTAAATAGAGCGGCGGCCAGCGCGTGACATCAGAAACCAAGATCCAAGTGTGCCAATTGCACCCAGGGCATATTGGGCCATCGATAAGTTAAAGGCGGATTCGGTTGGAAGCCCTGCTTGTTGGTAGAAATAGGTTGAATACCCCCTAGTACAAATTTAGCCATTTGTTCGGTATGTCGTTCTTCGTATTACATACATAAAAGTAGAACCACACAGAGCCTGGACGACCCAAGTCAAGCAAACAATCTCGGTGCGCCGGAGGTCGCATCCTCGGAAACAGTCGAGATATGAGGTTCCTTCCGAAACAGATTTTTCGAGCTCGTCTGTATGTTGCATCATGGCAATGGTATTGTCTGCATCGAAAGTATGATCACCTCGAGTCGTAAGTCTTAACAGTTGAGCTTTCGCTTCTTCAATACGACCTTTGCGAACAAGCCACCAGGGCGATTCGGGGGCAAAGATGCACCCAATCAAAATCGGGATGGGCCACATCCACTGAATGGCAAATGGGATACTAAAAGTCTATTAGCACTACAAAGACATGTACTCAACTATGCTTACCGATAAGCCCATTGGTCCTCTCTTGAGAGTAGTGCGCGAACAACACCAGAAGCGATGAACTGTCCCATGACCCAGCATAGGTTAACGTAGGTACAAAGATAGGCTCGGAGAGCAACAGGACAGACTTCGGAAGCGTAGGCCGTCGTGAGAGTTTGAAAAGCGCCCCTAAGACCGTCAATCACTGATACATAACTGGAGCCTGTGTTCCTACCAAGGAATTCCGCAGAGTATCTCTCCTAACAGAAGAACTGGAAGGGTTGGTGAGAAGAATGGAACGAAGATAACAGCAGTCATCATACACAGGGCTCCGATCATAGTTTTACGATAGCCATATTTCTCTGAGATAACACCAGTCGCGAAAAGTCCCAATATTTCTCCACAAAGAGCGCCGTTTGAGAGTCCAGATTTCCATGGAGCCGGTATTGTATAAGCGCCATCATCAGCAATGACCCCGTATTTCTGATTGAACTGCGGAAGAGCGTAGAAAGACGAAAGAAGAACTACGTCGTAACCTTCCATGATAATGGCAGTTGAAAGGAGGATAGACCACCCAACGGCCTTAGGGTAGAGTCTCAAAGCCTCTTTGAGAGTCATGTTATGTTCTTTGCGGGTGGCTTCCTGTGCATCTGATTGAATCTCCGCGAAGCCGTGAACCGCGACTGATGCTCTTCGAATGAACTCATCATCTGCGTGGAGGGTAACGTTCTCAATGGGCGCCTCTGCGCCACCGGATCCGCTGCCAGATGCCATGAAGTTGAATAAGGGTAACGAGCCCAATCTGTGAAGGCTATTACCGAAGGAAGCTCCTTGCTCTCAAACTAAACCGAAGATCGCGTGTACTAAACATCCTTTTCAGAAGCAATAGGTTTGTTGGTGTAACGGTAACGGTCTCTCATCTGAAGAGAGAATAATGTGATGGTTCGAAGCGAGGGGGCACTAGCTCCGCAAGCTGGCGGGACTTGGATCACGCCACCCACGGTCTGCTACCTTCCGCCGGCGAGTTGGAAAACGTCGCTGAAGTCGGTGAGTTCATGAACCAAAGTTCAGATTTGACTGACGGCCGTTAAAGAATGGTCTTCAGTCGCAATAACATGGAGCTGTCTCATCGAAGCACGCGGGGTAGAAAATTTCTAGGTCTGGACTCGACCAGAGCTATTCTGTTGCGGGTTAGTACCAGGGGGGCGGCACCAGTCCATACAAGGATCGTTATGCTGTCACCAAATGCTGGACTGGCGTCTAACAGCTCGAGCTATGGATTATGCGAAATGCAGAGCAGAGGAATCCTGTCGCGGGAGAGGGTAATAACAGAGCAGATTGATTGAAGAGAAGTTGTTTGACCCCGGATTTGTTGCTCGGTAGTGCAGCACCAGACGGGTTCTAGGACAGAACGAGTATTAATTCCGACCCCGCATTTCTCTCACCGACTCGCGGTGAGCATTGAGTTCCCTCGAAGAATATCGAGAAAAATGATTCGACAATGTTCAATTGACTCTACTCATTCGGTCAGCACGTGTTGAGCAACTGTAGGTTAATCACTCCGAAGATGATCACTGCATTCTAGAAGCTCATCTCAAGTCGGGCCCCTGTTTCTGGGGAAAATGAGTGGGACTGGGCAGACAATATGACTGCATGTGCAAGGTCGAAAAGAGGGATGTGTGCCTCGTTGATTGGGGGAGTTCTCTGAGCATGTCTATTCGCAGCTTAGGGGTATGGAGCATGCATCGACCGATTGGGGAGTGGCAGACGCGAATACGTTGAAAAAGTCAACTCCACAACACAAGCCGTTCCTGACTGCACCAGGACGGCTTCCCCTCGGGACCCTCGATCCGACAACCGACAAACGACGATTCTTTGGACAGTCCTCTACCCTGATCACCGGCTCTCGTGAGACAATTGGCTTGCACAATGGAGCATAGCCAGTGACGGAAAAGCTTCAAGTCTCGACAATCTATGACAGAAGGCTCGGATTCATATAAGTTGACCATGTCCACCCCCGCATCGAAGCCCCTGGAAAGTCTTGCTGAAGGCGACAGCTGAAGAAGGACCTTACGTCCGCATTAAGCACCTCGACTTAACCTTCCTATGCGAAGCAGGGACTGGCTTTCGTGTCCTTGTCCTCTTCCATTATAAGGCCAGCGAGGTACTCGAGCTTTTGCGCAACAGATAATATTGTCGCTGCTGATAAGTCTCCGCGTTGATTCACCTGGTGGACCTGAAATCAAGCAAAATCCCGTCCAGAAAGTCCTCTGCCTTGCAGTCCAATTCCAACTTTTTAACCATGTAGGACAATTGCGCAGACTGATAATCCGGCAGAAATCGAGAGAACGAATGCTGTCAAACTTCGATGAAAAGCGAACGCCTTTTGCGGAGCCATGGCAATGCCACTGGATCGAAATGCAGATTTCACCGCTGTGACCTTGCCCCATTCCTCTTCGTCTTCCTTAAGTAGTCGTAATCAATTCCTCGAGGTCAGAGAAGCAAGTGTATTCGTTATTTGGTGACATCGAATCATCGAATCCCCGGTGTCATACTCATTTCTTTCGACTTTGAACTGTGCCAATGCAAGACATGCCGGAGGTGTAGAAGCACGATGAAAGAGGCTGAACACAGCGTGGGTTGCTTCGACGCGTCCTAAAAGCTGGAGTCAATGGATTGAGCGCGTGCGTTTTTCATGGAACGAATAATCGCAGAATCGAGTATATTACCTGCCGCGCTACATGACGCGATTGGAGTCTGATGGCTCTGTGGATAGAAATATGTAGGGAGTTTGGGACGCATGATTGGCAAAACGCAGATGCACCTGCAGCTGCTACGGTGGCCGAGAATAACCTTGAGCCTCAGGCGCCCACCGATTTTTTCCCCATACTCGAGCTCGTGGACCTTCTCAACACTACATTGAGTGACACCCGGGTTCCAATTCCGTCACGCTCAAATCCGTTCCTGCTATACCCTATTTTTTCCTGGTTCAAAGTACTCTGGCTCAGCTACCACACTGTTTTCATATCTCAGCTGTCATATCATGGCCCACCAAGCCCTTCTTCATAAGCACCTTCAAAGTCAATTCCCTCGATGAAAGAATCCCACCCAGCCTGTCACAGGTTAACAAGAAAACGAAAAGAAGAAGCCGACAGGCAACTAACCCAATCTATATCCATGTCATTGGAGAACTCCCAGTTTTGTGGCTCTGGCAGCTTTTCTTCAGTTAGGCAACCTGACTGAGCATACAATTCGGATCCCCCGACAGAGGATGGTTTTGGGGTACTATTTACGACTTCGAACGTCAGGAGCATATCGGAGAGTGTTTGGTACGTTCTTTTAGCATCGGAAGAGGAGTTCCGCACCTCATTCCAAATTGCACAGGAACGCGTCAAGGCCTTTTTCAGAACATTGAAATTCGGCGGACCATCTACAGCTGGGCATCGCCGCTGATGATCCAATTCAAGACTTAGTATCATCCCAGCCAGAATGAAGTCGTGCCTGGCATGCGACAGGTTGTACCAGACAAACAACGATCCTGGTATTAATGCGAATCTATGGAAGAGTTCCTGCTGGGCTAATAGCTCCAGTGCCGACGAGACGCATCGATCTCGAGATAGTTTAAATCGTGCTTCTAATCTGCCTCTATTAACGTACCTTCGATGTAGAGCGCACATTGCCCGGTGGTAGAGGAACTTCATTTGCACAGCTGAAAGTTCACTGGCCGCTTTGCTCTGAGATTCGGAGTCGATAACTACGCCAAGCATATTAGGAGGAAGCTGCTGATATGTCTCTCTTAGTTGATCATCGAGCTCAACAACTTTATCATAGTCAGTTGATAATAGCTCATTATTCAGGTCGCTAATCCCCGCGAGGACATTCAAAAGCCTTCCTTTTGCGATCAAGTACGTGACCGGTGTCCATTCTGTCAGTGGCCGTGACTCTGGCAGTTCGGTGGTGTCTGGAGTTAGCTCCCAGTCGTATAGATTTCGTGGCTCCAGTGTATCCGCATAAACTCTGGGCATCATACTTGGAAAGCCGGCAAGAAAAGATGCGATACAATCTTTTCCAACTATGCCGAGCCAAATGCGGCGTCTATACTCCGCTTGCATCACCGAAATCGATGCTATCTGCGAGGGATCACGATGATAGCCCATGTTGATGGCGGCGCGTATTACCACACCTGTCATCATCCAAAGCCCGCGGCTGTTGTCATCATGCCTAGCCAGCTCTGCAGTAGTGTTGAGTAGTAACGTTTCCAAGGTATATGGCAAGCACTTTGCAATATCTCCTTTCATCAGACACTGTGCCGTTCGCATACGATACTGTTCATAGAGTACCCTAGAACTACCTTTATACTCCGGTGGTTCATTTCCGGCCAAATGATAGGACAGCATCGTCACAGCGAGAATTGAGAACAGCAAACCTATCCACATCACACTGGTATCCGAAGGGTTGTTCCAATGCTCTTCGTACTACATTTTACTCAGCAGATTTCTGGACAAATTTTATAGCCAGGCAGACACTACCTGTTGCATGAAATTTTGCTGATATACGACAGCTAGTTAAGGTGTCAGAATTTATGTTCGTTGAATATTGGGGCCGAACTCACGAGCAGTAGGTATGGCAAAATTCTTATGGTCAAAATATTGACGGATCAGGCTATCGACTTCAGATCTCGGTGGCAAAGCTGCAGACAAATCCGTTTTATTTACCGCATCTTTCCTTCCAGACAAAAAGGCGGATCCGTCAACGTAGTAAGAGAGAGTTTGCTGGGTTTCTTTTTCGGATAATTCATCCTGGCTTTGATTCCAAAATCTCTTCAGCTCGCTGACCTTTCTCTCGGTTAGATAGAAAATCTCATTGACTGATCATATCCATTTTCAACATGAGAATGATATCAGTGGATCCGGCTAGTGCAGAAATTACTTACCTCGCGAAAAACATTACTCCAGTTATCGGAGGCTTTATAGACAGAATGCGATCCATCAAACACAGTTTCACCCGTGCTGGTTGGCGATGTTACTTCGACCCCACCATTTCTTGTTTCTGCGTCAAAATTTTCAACATCGTGATGCTTATTTGAATTATTGCAGTCTTCTGGAGGCTTTGGTTGTTGATTTTGAAGCATCAGACTCTTCACCAAACTCTCTAAACGATCTATCCGTTGTTGCATGCTGTCTGTTACCGCAGTAGTGGGGGCACTCGTCTTCAAACCTCTCCATTTGCAATTAGACTGTTCCCCCCGAGTCGTGCAGTTTTGACAAGGCTGCTCTCGGTTGCATTTCAATCTGAGGGGTCTTCTTGTCAGCTCCTCGCAATTCCGCAGAGGGCGGATGTGATATATTATATCTTACTTTCTCATCCGACAGGGATCGCATGACAGCGTGGCACGAGGGCGTCTACCCGGTTTTTGAATGTGCTTTACAATATCATTCTCCACGGACTTACTACCTTGGGTTGGCATGATTTCGAATCGTTATCAAAATCTTTCCTTGGTGGTCGACAAAGCGGTTGAATAAAACCTGTCGAGGACGGCTGGCTCAACATTAAGCGGCTGATCTTACACACGTGACTTTTGTCCGCGGACATTTCCTTGTTACCAGACGTCCTATCGGATTTTCAAATATGGCCGGTATTTCGGGCGCGATGAGAGAGTAAAGACCGGTAATAGGCATTAACCAGCTCCGTTCTGGCGCTACTGCCATGGCCGTCTAGGTGGTTTAAATAACTACTTAATTGTTCCAAAATCACCACCACATCATACACTTTCAACAACACCCATCTTTCCGCCTTTCACCTCAAGTTATCACTTTTATATTTTCTACGCGATATGGCTCTCAGTGTTAGGGACTTTTTACATGTTCAACTCTTTCTTGATATTCCGAAACCTACGGCTTCATTTTCAGGCAAGACAATCATCATAACTGGCGCCAACTCTGGGCTTGGTAAAGAAGCCGCTAAGCATATCGTTGCTTTGAGCGCAAGCAAGGTTATCTTGGCTTGTCGAAGCGTATCGAGTGGAAAGGCTGCGAAGCTTGAGATAGAAACAGCTTTGAAATGTCGCACAGATGTGTTGGAAGTGGTTCGTAAATCAATTTCTTTAAACTGAGCTTCATTACCTCAGGCGACCTCCTACCCAGAGATGTCACAAAACTTAACGAGATACGGGACTCTCGTATTACATCTATACTGACACTCTAGTGTTCAGTGGGAACTTGATCTTGAATCAGACATCTCAGTCAAAGCCTTCGCCAACAGAGTCAACCATCTCCCCCAATTAGACGTCCTAATCAACAACGCAGGCATATCAGCCGAGAAATTCTCACTCGTCTACGGAACCGAGAGAACACTTGGAGTCAACGTCATTGGAACTTTCCTTCTCTCCCTCCTCGTCCTCCCTAAACTCCGCGAAACTGCGAAGAAGTTCAACACCACACCACACATGACATTCGTCGGCTCAGCTATGCATTCCACTGCCAACTATCCCAAAAAATTTGATGGCGATTTCTTCACATGGTCGTGTGAAAAGGAGAATGTGAATTTGAATAATCAGTATTTTTACACACGATCTAATATCTTGTTCTTTTTCAGCTAACGAAATGCGATTAGATACGCACTCTCTAAATACATCCAACTCCTCCTCGTCAATAAACTCGCCTCTCACATCGACCCTCTCCCCTCAACCACCTCCAAAGAGTCCAACAAAATCATCATCAACTCCCTCGACCCCTGTTTCTGCGGCACCACCGGCCTCTTCCGCGATGTCTCGGGTGGGAAGCGGATCTTTCTTAAGATTTTTAATTTGTTTTCTCGGACCCCTGAGAAAGGATCGAGGTTGATTGTTGGTGCTGCGGCGGCGGGGAGAGAGACACATGGGGGATGGTTGAGGGCGGGCGAGGTGAGGGAGACGGTTGAGATGGTTAGGGGGGTTGAGGGGGTGGAGAGGGGGGAGAGGGTTTGGAGGGATTTGGTGGGGAGGGTGGAGGGGTTGGGGGTTGGTGTTGGGGGTTTGGTGGAGGGTTAG